TCTCCCAGCACCCCTTTGGGGCTGCTCCAAGGGGCCAAATGACTTCCATGGTTGTGTGGTGTGCCGGTGCGATGGCCTGTCAATGAGCACCTTGGGTGCCAGGGGGGGATGGATCCCCATAAGCCCCTCAGGTGTCAGGGTGGTGGAGTCTCCCTGAGCACCACGTGTGTCAGGGGATGGCTCTCCACGTGTGTCAGGGTGATGGACTCTGGAGCACCTCCACGCCAGCGGGGCTGGAGGATGCAAGACAGAAGCAGAAGCGCTGAGGTGTCTCCTCTCCTTCCAGCCACCCCCCTGGACATCCCCAACATGTTCACCTTCTGGGAGGACCGGCGGCCCAACCCTGCCCCGGAGCCCCTGCAGCACATCTCGCTGGTGCAGAGCTCACGGGACGGGCCCCTGCCCGGAGACTGCAGAGCAGGGCAGATCGAGTCCAGGCTGGAGCTCCTGCAGGCCCAGCTCAGCAGGTGGGCAGCTCCACGGGGAGCAGGGTCACGGAGGACCCAGGGGGACTCAGGGCCATCACCTTCTGCTTTCTCTGAGTGGCCACAGCGGGCTGTGTGGTGGCAGCAATGCCAATGGAGGTGGTGGGAGCGCTTTGCGAATGCAGCAGCTTCTCAAAGGGCAAGTCCTGGCCCTGACTGCAGCCCAGCCCCTTGTCTGCCCCTGTGCCACCACCCCTGGGATCTGTCACCACCCCTGGGATCTGCCACAGCGTCACCACCCCTGGGATCTGTCACCATCCCTGGGATCTGCCGCAGCGTCACCACCCCTGGGATCTGTCACTTTGCCGCTGCTTCCAAACTCAGCGCAGTCAGGGACATAAAACCACCCACAGGCATGGCCTGAGCCCTCTGCAGGCCTCCCCTTCCTGCTGCAGAGAGCTACAGGCGTCCTCCTGCTCGAGCAAACAAGCCTCATGCACATTGTTGCTCTCTAAATAAGAAAAAACACAGGATTTTTCAAACTGACAGAGAGGAGGTTTAGATTAAATATTAGAAAATATTCCTTACTGTGAGGGTGGGGATGCCCTGGCACAGGTTGCCCAGAGAAGCTGTGGCTGCCCCTGGATCCCTGGAAGTGTCCAAGGGCAAGTTGGAGCAACCTGGTCTGGTGGAAGGTGTCCCTGCCCATGGCAGGAGGTGGGACTGGGTGACCTTTAAGGTCCCTTCCAACCCCAACTGTTCTGTGATTTTTGAACAAGGGGGAAGAGCCCACACTGAAGGTGCAGGTTTAAGGTCCCCAGGCAGAACCCATGTGAGCTCTGTGGGCTCTGCTGCCCGTGTTGAGCTCACACACCCATGTTTAGGTGACTCACCAATGCACCAGCCCAGCACTGGGGGACAGATCTGCCCCTCTGGAAGTGATGTCATGACCATGCCCTGCAAGGGGGGCTGTGCCCGCTCCTGCCAGAGCTGCTCGTGTCAGTGAGGGTCCAAGCAGAAGGAAAACATTCCTACTTTTCCATTTCCTTCTATTCCTCAGTTAAAAATGGTTGGCACCAACCTGCCCCGCTCCATCTGTCAGCACAAGCTCCTGGCCTGGACAATTGATCCAGATTAAAACAAACCATTGCAATTTTTTTCCCCCCTCCAGGGTAGTTTTAGCCTTTTTCAAATCCCCACTCCAGATCCCACTTTGGCTCCACACAGAACTGGGCAGAGGATGATTGAGGATGGCAGGAGAGTGAGGGCAGGATTGATCTCTCTGGTTTGAAGCTCTCTCTAAAAACCTCAGCGAGCAGCAGGCAAAGCATCATCCCCCCCTCGGGCAGCAGGGCGGGCACCTCCTCCCCAGTGCCTCCCCTGCCCGGCCCAGGGATGCAGGGGGATGCACTGCACTGACACTGGGCTGCTCTGTCCCCAGGCTGGAGTCCAGGATGTCATCAGACATCAGTATAATCCTGCAGCTCCTGCAGCGCCAGCTGTCCCAAGTGCCCCCCGCCTACAGCCCCATCTCGCCGTCCTCCCAAAACCTGGCCATGTACGGGATCCTCCCGCGGAGCCTGGAGCCCCTCACCCCCTGTGCGCCTCTGGAGGACGAGGAGACGGCGCCCCAGGAGCAGGTAAGGTCACCCCTCCTGGCTCAGCCCCCTGGGCAGCTGGATCTGAGCTCCCTGCAGGCAAAGCACAGCCAAACGCTCACAGGGGCCCAGGCAAAGCCCGCTGGACTTGATGTGGGAGTAGATTTTCCCAGTGCATGGCTGATTTTGGGCACAGCTGCCACCCCCAGCACTGCCAGGCTGCCCCACCAGCAGGGAGGGGAGGGGGTTCCTCTACTCTGAGCCTCAAGCGACAAATGACATTTTGGGGCTCGGAGCTTGGTGAGGCTCCGAGGCTGATGAACAGAAAGCGTGGCTGCTTTGTTTTGCTTCTACCATAACCCACTGGATTCCCTCCTTTCCCACCAGAGCCCGAGCTACACGGAGGTAGAAAAGTTCCACTTGAAATCCAGGGACTCCTTGTCGAGCGGGATGCACCTCTCCGGCTCATCCGACAAAACCATGCCAGCCCACTCGGAGCAGGAGCAGCACTCGCCGCCTCTCCCCAGCCCAGAGCCCCCCCACCAAAGGGCACCAAGCACCCAGGGACTCTTGAGGGGCTCTCGCTTCCCTTCCCTCCCCGAGCACTTGGAGGCACCTTCCGAGCACCAGGACATTCAGAGACACCTCTCCGACCCGGTGCTTCCTGGAAGTTAGAGACTGCAGGGCAGGTCAGGAGGAACCTCAACTGCGAGCTGGGTCAGTTGATGTCGATTTTGACTGCAAGGGTAAGACGTTGGACGATGCCATTGGCTCAGGGGTATCATTTGTAGCTGTCTTCTGCCACCGTGAAAGGAAGCGTAGCGTGGCCGGATCCCGAGGTCGACGTTTTCCAGCGGTTCCCAAATAGAGTAGGTTTCATTTGCACATTATAGCCAACCCAGAACAGCTCTTCCAGCCACCAAGGAGCTGGTTAGGCCGAAAGGTACCCACCGCCTCGTCCTTGCCAAGGCTTCCTCTCCAGAATGGCACGAGCCAAGTGACCACAGCGACCACAGGAGGGCGAATCCACGGCTCTCAGCTGTGCTGGGAGCTCTGTGGAGCAGGGACCGTGGGTTGGTAGCAGGCTTAGCCCAGCAGAGCCCGTGGGCGCTGCAGGAAGGGTGGTCAGCACAGGAGGAGGGGGAGATCTCCACGGGGTGCTCCGTGGGGAGCTGCAGGCGGGAAGCCCAGGGCAAGGACAGGGGGCAGGAGCTTGTCCTACTTGACTGCCACTGAGAAACTAAGGGCCAACAGCCCCTGCCACTGCAATGCTTCAGCACGAGCCCCACCGGGGCACTGACTCCTCCAGCAAACCCCACCGACACCTCCCCACACCTCCCCCGGACGAATCCAACCGGTCACCGACCGGCCCGGGCGTAAAGCACAACACTCAAAAGCACAATCCCAAGAGAGCTGAAAAGCCCCCCTGGACACCTCCTCCTGTCCAGCCCTCCCTGCCAGCTTCTCTCTTTTGATAAAAGGTTTGATAGGTGCTTTCCCCCTCCCGGCCAGCCCCTCTCTCCCGGCAGCATTCCCGTAGGAGCAGCCCCCATAGCGCCGCCGCCTCCTCTGCCGCTCGGGTAGATGCTGTGACAGTCCTAGGCCGCCAGCTCAAGTCATGTATCGAGCTCCCCTCGAGAGTAGTCAAACTGTGAGCAGCTCTTTCTCTGGAGTTTTAGTGTACACTTTGCTAATAAAGATGTTTTTGGCACCTGACGCCGGGGTGAGGGTTCTGCTCGGTGGGAGCGCCTGGGAATTCGTTGTTCGTTCCTGGCGGTGTAAAGGGATAAATCTGGCAAGACCTCCCCAAAAAAAGGTTATGTTCAAACCCCGGTGCTTCATCCAGGGAGTGTGGGGCTGAAGGAGCACATGTGCAGCTCTGACAGGTCAAGGAGGGAGCCGTGGTGGGGGGCTTTGCCTGAGGTGTGTTTGCAAGACCATTTCTCATGCACAGCTGGCTGCTGGTGTAGAAAAGCTGTTCCAAAGCTCTGCCGAGCCTCGGCTGCGTCCCATTGAGAAGGAATTACTCGGCAAAGATCACATCAAGGGTCCTTGCAGCGAGTGGGGCTTCGATGGGCACAGCCCTTCCCAAAGACCCAACCTCCCCTGGCATCCCCTGTGAGCGGGCACGGCTCCTGGGAGGCTGGGACCGCTCCTTTAGGGGGATGGACCCAGGATCGTCGACCACGGATCCCACATGGCCCCCGAGAGGCGAGGAACCCCATCGTGGGTTAAACCAGCCCTCCCCGTCCCCACCCCCGGGCTGATCCATCCCGGGGTGCTGAACCCCAGCAAGGAGTCCCCCTTCCCCCAATAAGGCGTCGGGCACGCGCCAGTGATGCTGCTGCCGCCGCTTCCAAAAATAACCGCCGTAATTAAGCTCCGGTTAATTAGGGCCGAGCCCTGCCCCGTCCGCCACCGGGCGGGGGCGGGACTCGAACCCGGGTCCCAGAGTGGCCCCGCCCGCCGCGGGCTGGCGTGACTGACATCGCTCTCAGCCAATCAACCGCCGATACGGGCTCAAGATCCCGCCTCCACCCACTGCGACCCACGGCAGCCAATAAGATGTCGAGAATGCTCGGCCCCGCCCTCAGAGGGCGGAGCCAAGGGCAGCCATAGCTCACCCCGGCCGGAGCGTGAGCCCCTGTTCTGAATGAAGGGCAAACGGACCAATAGCGAACCGGGGCGGGCCGAACGGGCGGGCGAATCGACCAATGGGCGTCCTATTGGCTCTGAGTGACAGGCAGAGCAACCAACCGGCGCGCGGCGGGCGGGGCTCCCCGCGTGGCTTCCGCTCCCGTTGTGTGAGGGGCCGAGTCCCGGACGGGCTCAGCGCCGGCGGGGCCGCAGCGGGACCGGCTCGGGGGGCCGAGCCCAGCACAGCCCAGCCCAGCACAGCCCAACCCAACCCAGCACAGCCCAGCACAGCCTGCCCCGCCGCCGCCGCCGCCGCGGGGGCCGGGCCGGGCCTGCCCCGCTGAGCCCCCGCGCCGCCGCCGCCGCCGCCGCCCCGCTCCCCCAGCCCGCGGGCGGCCCCCCGGCCCAGCCATGTCGCTGCACGGCAAGCGGAAGGAGATCTACAAGTACGAGGCGCCATGGACCGTGTACGCCATGAACTGGAGCGTCCGGCCCGACAAGCGGTTCCGCCTGGCGCTGGGCAGCTTCGTGGAGGAGTACAACAACAAGGTGGGGGGCCCCAGGGTCGTGGGGAGGGGGCGGCTGGGCACCCCCAGAGCCCCCCGAGGTGCAGGGGGTGCGGCAGACCCGGGGGTCTCCTCCCCGCTGCTGGGTTTTTTTGGGGGTAACGCCGCTTGCTACGGGGCTGGGGTTGGCCCCTGAGCTCCGGGAACGGCGGTGGTGATGATGGTGATGGTGATGGTGATGATGATGATGGTGATGATGATGATGGTGATGGTGATGTTTGGGTCACGCAGGCACGGCGTGCTGCGAGGGCTGTGCGGTGCAAAGGGCTGCGAGGGGGGAAGGGGTGAGTGAGGGTGAGGCGAGGAGCTCGTGGCCGGGACTAAAGTTTGTGCATAAATATATATATATATATATATATTTAAGGAAGTTCGACTTCTGCCATGTGGAAGAACTCCTTCCCATGGAGGGTGGCAGAGCGCTGGAACAGGATGGGATGCTCAGGGAGGGTGTGAATCCCCCTGTCTGGAGATATTCCAGCTTCCCCCAGGACACTTCCCTGTGTCACCTGCTCCAGGTGACCCTGCCTGGGCAGTGGGCTTGGCCTGGATGATCTCCAGAGGTCCCTTCCAACCCCAGCCCTCCTCAGACTGTGTTGGGAATGTGCTTTTTCTGGTTGTATTTCCCCGCTGTCGGGGACTCCCGTGCGATAACTTTTTTTTTTTTTCCAAAGTATATAACCCACTTCCAGTGCTCTCCTCAGCCGTTTTCCCTGAGCAGGAGGGTGTAATGAGGCGTGAGATTTTATCTTCAGCGTTTCACCTCACACAGGTGACAGAGGCTGTGCCTTCCTCTCAGCCAGCTCAACGCAGCCACTTCTGAGCAGACTTTGAGGTGCTGAGCTGAGAAATAAAAGAGGGATGGGGAGATGGATGAAGTCACAGGGCATGCAGAAATTTGTGTGAAACTGAGGGGTTTGTGTGTTGACATCACGTGGCTTTGTCGTGGAAAATGCTGTCAGAAAGTTGGGGACTGGGCCCTGGGCAGGGCTGGGGTGAGGGAGGGACAGGGGTGACACCTCTTAGGTGCCTTTTGTTTGAAGACCAGCTTGAAAACGTTCCTGTAGCCTGTGCTCTGAGGAGCTGAAGCAGCAAACCTGCCAACAGTTTGTTGCTTGGAGGTGGCAGCGCTGGTTAATGAGGGGATTTATATTTTTATGCTGCCTTCTCCTCTTGAAGTTTGGAGCGTTCCCCGGGGTTGCCCTCGGTTTCAGTGAGGTCAGATCTGCTTTTCAGCTCAGGCTTCGAGTGTAAAGCAGCTGAGTCAACCCCTCCCTCCTGCCCTTCACACTCGCAGCTGTAGCAGGCAGAAACTGTGTAGGACTATGTAAATTATTGCTGCCTGTAAATATTCCCCAGGGCTCCTCTTGACCTCCGAGCTCCAGCAATAACGATTCTGTTGCCTTCAGTCCACAGAGGCACCACATGCTGGGAGGTCCGAGTGGTGTAAAGAGCTGGAAAACTCCCTGTGTGGGGATGAGATGGGTCTGGATGCTGCTCCTGGAGAAGCAGGGGTGGGATGTGATTAAAAATTAAACCTGTACAATAAATGCAGTGGAACACAACCTTCACTTTGCTGTGTCTCTGATACTTCAGAGTGATTTTTTTTTTTCCTCCTGTCTTTCTATGGTGGTTTTCTTGTTTGATGCTTTTTTTATATGGAGACAGTTAACAGGGAGCTGTCTTGGCTAATTGAAAGTGTTGTTATTGCTGGGTGTTTTGATGTTGTTTCTGCTTTCCTTTGGGGACCAGAACGCTCCTGGGAGTGGGATTTCCCTGCCCAATGGAAATTGCTGAGCCCTTCAGAGGGTGATGGAACATTCAGGGAATGGTTTGATGCTCCACACTGGGAACTCTTGGGCAGGTCCTGCACAGGAGTTTTAAACCCTTTCAGCTTCTCTCTGTGTTAGTGCTATAACTAAAGGAGCAAAGGGAAGGAACTGAAGCTTCCCAATTTCAATAAATATTCCACCGTGCTCCAAAGGAGCAGCTGGTTTTACAGCCTCACTTCTGGGCTTAACAGGAATCTTAAGATTTTTTACAGAGTGGGTGTGAAGTTTTGTCCTTCTGCACATCGTTTGCCCTTCACGGTTGAGATGGTTTATATTGCAGCTTCTGACATCAAAACACACTTTATAGGTGCAGTTGGCACTAATTAAAAGGATAATGAAAAGTGATTTTCCTCTCAGCTTTCTCTTTGCACTGACAGGGCCCCAGTTGCATTTCTGTTCCTGGTGTTGCAATGGTTTGTTCCAAATACCTGCCTTTCTTCCTTATTAACAAAAACAGTCTGGAACAGCCTAGCTTGCTTAAAATCTAACCAAATTACTCTTCTGATTTAGAGTTGCTTTTAAAAAGACTTTAATACCCAAGTGTTTGTTGCAGCAGAAGTGCTCGCTGGGAGGGAATTACAGGGAAAGAAAGAGAATTTTTTTTTTTTCTTGTTTGTCTCTGATTTTCTGTTTGTGTTGTAATTACCAGAGTTTGAAGTACCCACAAGTTACATAAAATGGCTGGTTTACACCTCTTGCTTTGTGGAGAACTCGGATCTGTTGGCTGCCAAAGCCTAATTCCCTGCTATCCCCAATTCCCAGACACCTCCAGCCCCTGTGAGCCCTTCCAAGAACTGTTTGAACCCCAAAGGAGTTTTGTTCCAGCTTGTGCACCTTTGCTGATGGAATCACTGGCACGAGAAGGGAGATGCTCCAGGTGGAAGAATTAAACTATTTGAAGTGGTGTTTCCTAAACTTCTTGGATTAGGGAAGTGCTGTGGCTTCATGGATCAGGAACGACCTGTGGAAAACATTGGGAAAGGCTGATTTTGGGATTTATCTGCAAGACCAAAGAGGGTTCAGGGGGGTTCGTTTTGCCAGGAGGTCATTTCTGCTGTTAAGATTTAGCATTGCAGAGAAAGATTGATTGCACTTCAAAGATTAATTGGTTGCAGTGACATCTTTCTGATTGTACATGACCCTGAAGTAATGGTGAAATGTCGCTCTTGGTAGTTACTAATTGGATTAAAGAGTTGTAGTTTGGTTTTTTTTTTTTTTTTAAATACTGAGAACTTACTTCACTGTTCCTCAAACCATGTGAGACAAAGAAGCTGTTCCCAAATTCTGCACTGTTTAGTTCCGAGCCTGATTCGTGTTGGTGATTTTTTTCAGAAGTTAAGGAATGCTGATTAAAGGCACTTTATTGCTGAGATTCATTTGCAATTAAGCTTTCTGTGGATAAAGACTTGGATTATCTGGAAGGGTTAAACGTGAATCTGCAGCTCAGGAACATCTCCATCACCCCCAGTGAAAAGTGGGGGCCCTTTGCTGGTTCGAGATTTGCTTCTGGTGATGAGCACGTTGATTGCTTTGTGTGGGCTTAAAGCACTGGTGCTGAGCTGCAAACAGCATAAGCAGAGGAGAAATGATTAGAGGTCATTTGTCTTCTGATCCCGACCTTGCCACCAGATTTTTCTATCACCAAGGACAATTTGCTTCCTTTGTCAAATCCTCTTAGTATTTCTGATCCCTGAAGGAGTTAGAAAGCTATTTGTCAATCACTTCAGAAGACAGGCAGATTTTTTTGGACTGATTTATACTGGGGGTGTGTGAAGGATAACAAGGAGTAGTTGTAATAAAGAGAGGGCAAGGCAGAAAGCACGGCTTTTAGGAGGATGTGTCTTTTAGTGTTTGTTCTGGGATGGAAAGGATGGAGCTTCTCATTGTGGTGGGGGCATCTCTAAATGGGCTCATAAAGCTGCAGATATTAAAGATCCACTGAAACACTGGTTATTTTGTTAGGTGGGGGGAAAAAATATGGTAGATTTCCAATCTAGTTAAATACGTCCTCCATTAACCACCGTTGCTTATCCCAGAATATTTAGGGTTTTCCCAGAGAAACATCTCTTTAAAAAGCCCATTAAGGCAGGAGGAAGCTGCTGTGTGGAAAGTCCTGGGAAGTTCCCACTGTGAGCAGCTTACAGAGTTAATTGCAGTGAGTTGTCCCCACGGTGTTTGTGTTTGGGCAGCATCACTGCAGCTTCCACTCATCCTCCCAGCACCCCTTGTTCTCTGAGCACCTTCTGGCCTGTCAATATTTTTCTAATAACGTCATGTCTGGGACCTCAGGCGTCACTTCAGGTGTTGTCATGACCGGGCTGCGTGGAGATGGTTTCTTGTCTGTTGGTCTTTTCATACAAAACACTTGAATTAAGTAACTATTTTAGCTTCCTGATTTTTTTTTTTTTTTTTTTTTTAAGGTTTGGGTTCTATTTTACTTTCTTGACTTTCTCAGTCTTAAAAAATTAATGTTTTGATAAAATGCCCTCTTCGAAATCTGGTTTCTCACAGGTGCAGCTCGTTGGTTTGGACGAAGAGAGCTCGGAATTCATCTGCAGGAACACCTTTGATCACCCCTACCCCACCACAAAGCTGATGTGGATCCCAGACACCAAGGGGGTCTATCCTGACCTGTTGGCCACTAGTGGGGACTACCTGCGGGTGTGGAGGGTGAGTAAATCCTCCCTGGGAGAAGATGAACCATGGCATCAGTTGTGCTGCACGTTGATCTCGTTCTCATTCATTCATTTCAAGATTTTCTTTGCTGCAATAACGTGGCCAAATACCAAGCCTGTGGGAGAAGCAAAAGTACCACGGTGGTTGCTGCTTTAATCAGCTTACTGAAGTTGGAGATGAGGGTTGTGTTTTCCAGAGCTTTAGGATGTAAAGCTGAGAGTTAAAAACCCAGGATTAACTGCCCTGTGTTTTGTGCCAGTGGAGCGAGTCAGGTGATGTTGCTGGTGAAGTCAGATGTGTTTCGTTTTCTCTCAAAGGTGGGTGAAACCGAGACCCGGCTGGAATGTTTGCTGAACAACAACAAGAACTCGGATTTCTGTGCTCCCCTGACTTCATTTGACTGGAATGAAGTGGATCCTTACCTGCTGGGTGAGGCTGCTCTTTCAGCACCCCACTGAATTTAGGCTGGTGGAGTCTGGGCCGTGCCTGACATTGTGACTGGTTATTCTGGTAACTAACCAGTGGGCCAGCTGCTGCATCACAGACACTGCCATTGTCTCAGCTTAAAAATGTCTAAAAAATTACAATTATCACCTCATGGAGGCTTTTTATTTTGGGTTGGATTGGAAGGTGCCCTCTCCACGACAGATGGGTCACTCAGGTTGGGCTAGGGATGTTCCCTGTTTGGGGACAGGGAGTCTTGCCCCTCAGGGCCATTGCAGTGCTGAGTAAGGATGTGCATCAACTCCTGTGACTTATTTCAGCATGTTCTGGGGTGGAGAGACTCTGTGGTTAGTGAAACCATTTCATCAGCAGCAGGAGAGCCAGGAGCCCTTAATTCAGTTGGAGGAGGGGGCTGAACACTTGAGCTTTAATTATAGCCTGCGGGCCAAATTGTGAATCCAAGATGAGTGATCCAGAGGTTTTTGTTTCCCAGAAGAGAACAGCCATTTATGTCAGGGGGATTTGCCCAGAGATTAACAGTGATAATATGTCTTAGTAATTATTTACTACATGATTTATTTTTTTGTGTGTGTTAACATCTCTCATCTCTTAAGAGCTTTACTGCAAACCCCACCTTCAGTCCAGGGCAACAGTCAATTAATAATAACACGCTATCACGATGCTGATTGAATTTTGGGTTTGGCGTGCACAGGAGATGGGCAGGATGGGAAAGTTCATCTCAGACTTGCATATCAGGCTTCTGAATAGATGGAAGAAGCAGACATGAGCTATTTACCCTTTATTCCTGTGTGGAAGGCTATTTCTGCAGCTAAAAGGTTTGGGTCATTGAAATGCATGGAGGGCTGTTGGCTGTTTGACATTCTTGGGTTTAATTCTATTCTCGTGGCTATTTTGATCTGTAGATGTTGGGGGATATTACATTAATCCAGGAAGTGATTAAATCATTTGGGATAATATTAATTTTGCTAACAGAAGGTTGGGTGTTTTTTTTGTTGTTGTTGTTCCAGGTACCTCAAGTATTGACACAACCTGCACTATTTGGGGTCTGGAGACAGGACAGGTTCTGGGAAGAGTAAATTTGGTCTCTGGCCACGTGAAGACCCAGCTGATTGCACACGACAAAGAGGTGATGGGGGGTTTGGATTGTTGGCATTGACTCTTCTTAAAGCAGTAGAAAAGGAACAGAAAAGGAACAGTGAAAAATGTAATGATCCGAAAAGATCACTTATTTAATGTTAAGATACAGTTTTGAATACTTAAATGCTGTTGGCAATTGAAACTACTCTTTTTACTCCTCATAGACTCTCGTTTTACCAGGTTGTGCTCTGGAATATTTTAGGCAAATGAGACAGAACTGGACTTGAAACCAACTTGCAATAAACAACTTGCAAAATTCTCCCCCATGTTAACCTATTAACACTCACATCCAGTAATATACCAAACATCCCATAATTTCTGCTGGGGTCTGGAGCTGGGTGCTGTGTGTGTGTGCAGGTGTATGACATCGCCTTCAGCCGCGCCGGGGGCGGCAGGGACATGTTTGCCTCGGTGGGAGCGGACGGCTCGGTGCGGATGTTCGACCTGCGCCACCTGGAGCACAGCACCATCATCTACGAGGACCCCCAGCACCACCCCCTGCTGCGCCTCTGCTGGAATAAGCAGGATCCCAACTACCTGGCCACCATGGCCATGGATGGGATGGAGGTGAGGGCCCAGCTCCTCTGCTGGAGTTGGGAATTTTGTGGCTCGGTGTTATTTCATCGTTGTTTACAACAAGGTGGTGGTGGCAGTGCCCGGGCTGGGATTGAGGACCGGTTCTTGGTGCACTGAGGAGTTGTAGAAGTGACTTTGGCATTATTTGGCTCATTTGTATTTCAGCTGCTTGGTAAGAGGTGAGCAGCTGGGCAATAATTTTCACATCAAATTTCAGTCACCTTGTTGTTTCCCAGCTCAGTGTTCAGTTTGTCACCCGGGCTGCTGAAGGGAAGAACAAGTTGTTTACCACAATTTGTGGCATAACTCACAAACCCCCTGGGAGATCTGAGTCCTTTTGGGACACACCACACACTGACCCTCCAGAAGCTGTTCTTTGGGAGCAATATTTCCTTGCCAGCTGCATCCTTCAGGAAGAGTGATACCCTTCCTCTTTCAGAGCCATATTTAAAACCTGAGCTCAAAATACTTAGTTTTTTGAAAAAAATTACTAACAAATTTTTTTTTCAATATTAAAAATGGCCTTAAGGCTATTAAAATGATTTGTAAATATTAAAAATATTTTAAATGTATTTAAACATATTTTTAAATTATTTAACTGTGCAGTTTATTAATTCAGTTGTGTTTTGTTTCTGAAGGTTGTGATTCTAGATGTGAGAGTTCCCTGCACTCCTGTAGCCAGGTTAAACAACCACAGAGCGTGTGTAAATGGAATTGCTTGGGCACCTCATTCCTCCTGCCACATCTGCACAGCAGGTGAGCGTCATCTTACTGGGCCAGTCGATTCTTTCACTGCATTTGCAAAATCCTCTCCCTCCAAAAGGTTATGCAGTTCTCTGCCTGCCTTTGGTTAAAGAATACTTATACTTTAGAAGCTGTTTATTAGTGACTTTCCTAAATTTTTATGGAAATAGACACCTACTGGAGTTTATTGTGTGGAAATCACAAGCCCAGTGCCCAAACTGTGCATCTGCTCTGGCTAAGCCTTATTTAATGCTCCTTAGGTTTTTTTTTTTAGTCCAGTTCTTAAACATTTTCAGCTGAGTCCCACTGGTCTTTTGTTTGTCAGCTCTGTCCTGGATAATTTGTTAGGATCCCAGTTTATTTGTTGGAGCTTGGGTGCTGTGTTTCTGGCTGGAATATGGACCAGGGCTGCAACAGCCTTATCCTGCCTGGCCCCTTGAGCCTGTTTGTAGCCACAGGTGGGGATGTTGTTACGCTGTGACTCCACCTCCAACCTTCTCCTCCCCGTGCAGCTGACGATCACCAGGCTCTCATCTGGGACATCCAGCAGATGCCTCGTGCCATTGAGGACCCCATCCTGGCCTACACAGCAGAGGGAGAGATCAACAACGTACAGTGGGCATCCACCCAGCCAGACTGGATAGCCATCTGCTACAACAACTGCCTGGAGATCCTGAGGGTCTAACTCTGCTGCTGTGCCCCCCTGAGGCAGGGCTGTATCATTCCCCTCCCCTCTCAAGTAAGAACACCACCAGTCAAGTGGCCAGTATCTGTTGTTGCTTTGCATCTGCTGTTACAAGGAACTGTTACAAGGATCATGGCAGGTGTCTCCTGCCTCTCAAGACTCTAAAAATGCAGAGACGTGCTGAGCCTCTTGGACCTTCTGGGTTCTGGTTTTCTTGTTGAATTCTTTTTCCCCCCCTCCCTCAGTAAAAGTTCTGTATATTTGTTTGTTGACTGTATTAATAAGCTTGCAGGCTTTTAAGTTGCTGCATATGTCCATGTGTTTGTCAGCCAGCTGGGGCAGCACATCAACCAGTTTAAAATAGATTTGCAGGTGCAAAACAAGGGGGGGGGGGAAAGAAAAAAAAAAGACATTGATGTAACAGCCACCTTGGCAGGAATCTTTCTCATTCCTGTTGTCGCTGCCTCTACACTGTTTAAACGTTTGTATGTTTTTTATATATTGGGCTAACTTTCTATTGAGTAAGGTGGTTTTTTTCTCCCTGATTCTTACTTTTGATATGTGAGCCACTTGCACACGCCCACAGCAGGACCTGTTCACGGACACAAACCACAGTGACACTTCAGGCTCCCTGGCAGTAAAGGCCTGCCAGAACTAACTGTTCACCCTGTACCTGGTGAAGCTGGGCAGAATTTCCTGGTGCTGTGAAGTACAAGTAACTTGTTGCACAATTTTCTTTACACTTTTCCCGACGCTCAAGGCAGTTGTTACTATGGTAAGGCCTTATTTTTAAATGTAGAGCTGAGTTTGTGTGTGTGTCCCCCTGCAGTTGTGGTAGCAAACAGAACGGTGGGAGGTGGCAGAAAGAAGATCCATGCATGACATAAAGCTCCCAGGAGGTAACAATTCCTGGGGGAAAAAAAAAATATATATATATTTGTGATGGACTTGGGGTTGGAACTTCCAGTCAAATGATTTCCCCTCGGAAAACTTATTATCATCTAAACCAAAATAAAATGGTTCCACACTTTGTAGCTTGCTTGCTTGGCAAACAACCTGAGCAGGATTTTGTGGTTAGCCTGGACCTTGGAGCTTGCTTTGTGCTTGGCCTGTTGTGTTCTGGGAGGTCTTGAAGGGAGTGCAGAGCGATGTTTTATCGAGTGTTTTCTTTTTCACTTTGAACTGTCAGGTCTGGTTGAATGACTGAGGTGGGTCAGAAAAGCTGGTCTGCTCTCCAGCAGAAAGCTCCCTCTGAAAGGAATTATTCCCTAATGGAGTGCACAAAGGTGGATTTAGAAGGAAAGAAACTGAGCCATTGTGAGACCAAGGTTTGGCACTTGTCACCCTCTCCTGACTTTCGGGGCTGTGCCCGAGAGCTGCTCTTTGGAAGAGTGGATTGCTCTACATTAATACTTCTCAATCAGAGCTGAGTGGATTAGGCCAGATAAAAATCTTTTGTTGAAGTCTTAATGTACCACAGATAACTGGGATAAAAGCTCTGCAGTGCTCTCCAAATGAAGACATGACAGCCAGAGCTGCTCTGGAAGGGTGTGCAGCCCAGTTTGCATGTAAATGTCAGAAACTATCAGCATTGTCTTTCCACCTAATGAGTATTCACCTGCAGCTGGAGGCAGTTTATAAATAGCAGGACACTGGCAAAGCTGGATCCTGTCAGTTGATGCAGAGTTGAGTTGGGAGGCTGGCACTGGGAACGCTGTCAAACACAGAACAGAACCTGCGAGGGTTTGTCATCCTGGCCATCCAGAAATACTCCTTCTGCAGGCAGCAGGAAAGCATTGCCTCAGGAATTTGATAGGAATTCATTAGGGACAGCTTTAGCCCATCACGCCTTTTGATCTCAGAGAACCAAGAGACTCTTCCCCGGCTCCAGCTGATGCTTTGTCAGCCACGCTCTGTGTTCAGTCAGGGGATTTCTGACAGAGCTGCTTTGGACTTGAAGGTCAGTCTTTTTTACCAGCAAGCAGTGCTGGGAGTGGTGTGTTCCACAGACAGGTTTCAGCAAGATGTCAGAGCAGTGTTACCCAAACACTGAATTACCACTGTTTGCAGCAGAACTTCCTCAGAATCTGGAAAAAAAATCTGAAGTGAAAATTGGGATGTTCTTAGCGGGAGCATCTGATGGCATTCACAGCTTTAGGCCTCATCTGAAATACAGGCTTGTCATGCATTGTTTAATTACAAGTGGTAGGGATAACGTGCTGTGTTACCAAGAGGGAAGTACCTGCAGCATTAGGGCTTTCTGTGCCCCCTTTCTGCACGAGTCAGAGATGAATGTTTCCCTTGCTTAGCTGAAAAATGCATCTTTTGTAATTGTGTTGTGCTTTAAAAAAGGTATCAGATAATTTAGTTGAAGTCATTAAAAGACTCCATAGGTTACACTGAAGGACAAAGGCAGTTTATTCCCAGAGGAATAAAATGTGTTACACTAAGAGGATGAGAAGGGACTCAGTCTGAACAGCCAGGTAGATTGTCCTTCTGTTGGAAAACAATCCTGTTATGGACCTGAAGAGGATCCACTGTCAGTCCTCCATCCACAACAAAACTGCTTGAAGTCTTATTTGTGGAATTGGGTGCTTATTCCAGACTTGTCAAAGGCAAGTGAAGGAATCTTGTGGGCTCCAGTGGGTTCTAAATAAAGCCTGGATCCTGTTTGTTTGATACCTTCTGGATCTCCAGCATATTGCTTTGGGCATCGTCATCCATTGTCATTCTTCACATGAAATTACATTTGAAATCACTGGAGACTGTTTGGGCACAGGGAAATGATACTTAAAATAGCTTCAAAGAAGTCACTTGAAAGGTTAATGACTGAAAAGACGTGAAAATCCCCGTGGGGGAGATGTTCTGTAGTGTAAATGGCACTTCCAGATAGGCAAGGAAGGGAGAGACTTTGGTGCCCTCTTGCCAGCACCTGCTGACAGTGGCAGGGTAGGGAATGCTCTGGTTCAGGTTCATCTGCCAGATAAAATAAACCCTGAGACTTACCAACAATCGAGTAGATTGGGTGTATAAACCCCCCATAATCATCATTTTCCCCCTCAAAGTTTATAAAAAGAAATAATTCTATATTTCATTTCGATTATTTGGTGCAGGAGCAGAGAATGTAGAACAACTGCTTGCAAAATGCCTCCTATCTTTTGAGTCTCAAGTAACATTAAGGAAAGAGCGAGCCCAGCAGAAAAGCACCTGCTGATGTTGGTCCAGGCCTGCCTGATCTGGGACAGAAATTCTTCTCTGTGACTTCAGTAGTTCTGTTAATTAATCCAAGGCACTAAACTATTGTTTGGTTGTTATATTCTTTTTGAAACCAAGCTTTCCACAGGTTCCTGCTCTGATCTGGGCAACCTGTTGGCTCTGCTAAGGTGGGGGGGGGGATCTTGATGATGTAAAACTCGTCAGTGAGGTGAAAACCCGCAGCCAACAGGGGTGGATGTTGAACCGTGTGTAGTGTGGTGGCAGCTCTGTTAATTATCTGCATGAGGTGGGCTTTGGGAGCCTCCATCTCTGGGAATTGTACTTGTGTGTGCAGGGATTTGAGAGGCGAGGATTTGAGTGCTTTGACAATCTGTTTGGAGGGAAGACACGGTGGCTTCAGATGCGAAAGGAGATCGATAATGCAGGTTGTTCCTTGTGGAACCTTGAGAGGTGCTGAACGGGGGAGGCATCGCCTCTCATAAGTCAGACTTAATGATCCTTTCAAAACTTAGCTGTAATTACTCTCCTGAATGTTCTGGATAATAGTAAAAAAGCTCTATTTTTGCCTGGTGGTGCAGTGGGGAAGCTGCATCAGCCTCGAGCGTCGATGAGTGCAGAGCCCAGGTGAGGGGAGGGGTCCCATGCACGGAACTCACAGATGTGCTCGGGCCTTGTTTGAGATGGAAATGAAGAGCTGAGCGTGTCAGTTTCGTCCTCTTGCAGATGGCACTTTAACAAGTATATTTTTGGTGAGATTTTAGGAGGAGAGTCATCTTTTCCTCAGCCCTTTTATGGTAGGAGTTTGTCTGTGTTGCGTAGAAAACATTCAATACAACAGCCACCAAAATCCTGGGCTGTGGTCAGAGTGGACCCTCCTTTGTTTCTACTGAAAAACCAAAAACATGAGCGCTTGACAAGACTGTAAATGTTAAACTGAAGCTTCGTGCTCTAAGCCTGACACCACCCTGTAAGACCAACCCAAGGGATGCAGTGCTGGTGTCACCCCCAGAGCCCCTTCTCCTTGGGAATCTCCTCTTCCACCACCTGAACACGGTGGCAGCAGTGACAGGTTGGCTGTGGAAGGATGTCGCTGGATTCTTTGGATAACTTATTTTTGTGAGAGCAAAAATCTGCAGCTGCTGCCTAAAAATTCAGAAAACTGAAATCCCTGCCAGTGAGCACAGGTTCTCTCTGCCGTGGATTCCCTGCCTTCTGCTCTCCCAGCAATATTCCAGAGCAGCCCTGTCTTCTTTATTGTCCAGAGGTGCCCAAAAATCAGTCGTGGAAGGGGCAGGTGCTGTCAACTCTGCCCCAGTTTCCTCTTGATCTTTGCAGAGAATGCAGGGAATTCGTTGTCTGGGGCACTTTAAGAGCACTTGGTGATGCAGCTGCACATCCCCTGCTTACCTGAGAGGGGTCAGAAATGTCTCATTCTCAAGGGTATTGAGGGGAGTTTGGGATGCCCCTGACTCTTTTTGGTTTTTTTTTTAAGGAAGAGATGTTCAGAACTTCTGATTAGCACCTTTCACCAGCTCTGGAAAAAAAGCAGTAATTAAAATTACAACTAAATAGCAGTCACTGGAGGCTCACCTGGTGATTCATGGCAGACACCAGAGGCAAAAATGAAAACACTGAGAGTTGCTGCTGCCTGTTTTAGGTGACAGTTGTGTGTCTGCCATGGTGGCCTTTTGTGCAGCCTCTGATACTCAGCATCAAGCGAGAACTTCCACAGTCATAAAACTGATTTAAAGTAAACAAAACAAAACAAAAAAAACCCCATGGAGTTATTTCTTTTCAGAAAACCTGATGAAATTAAGAAAAAAACCAGCTATTTCCTGACTAAATAGTGTGGCCATGAGCAGCTGGAAGCCCGTGGTCCAGCTCTGATCCCTCGGATCCTGCTGGCAAAAGGTGGGAGTGCAGCCCCCTCTTAGAGCTGAGGATGGATCTGAACGAGGCACAAAGGCAAGACCCAGGGAAGGACAGAGCAGCTGAGCAGAGATGTCTTGCTTTTCCTGACAAACCTGGGAAACAGGAACTGAGAAATCTACTATTTACAAGGAACCTTTGTTGTTGTTTTGTTTGGTTTTGTTTTGTTTTTTTTTTTTATTATTATTTTATTCCCCACTTGGGTTGCTAGCGGTGTAAAATGTAATTTAAGCATTTTTTCGTTACCAGTAGCTGAGTAGGAGATGTTTTACTTTTTTCTGTGTGTTCTCCCTTCTGCTCTCTCTCCCCCCGTGGTAACTTCCTGAAGGTGTAATCTTTGTAGCATGATTGTACAAACACCCATCTGAGATCCCTGACTTCTCGTCCTCGCTCGAGTATGTTCAAGCAATAGTAGTTTTTACTCCTGTCCTTCTTTCCTCCACCTGCAACTTCGCTCCTCTCCTGTCCTAGAGGAATCCTATTATCCTGCTACTCATTGACATGGATAACTGCAGTGTCATCCCCCACCCCATATCCCTTTATTTTTATGGAGAGAACACAAAAGGGTTTGTTACAGTGGATTTGAACACCTGAGTTTATGGAACTGCGTTGTTAAAACTGTAAATTTTAAGGCAATTTTCTGACCTCGCTTGAAAAGTGGAATGTTGCATCCTTTTATGCTGTTTTCCCCGCTTCCTTAATGTAGTTTTATTCGGATTTTTTAACCCCTTTTCGAAGTTCCAGCCTCCTGTGTATTAGGTACGGTATTTTCTTGCCTTTCATACTTTGTAATAAAAACAGAACATTTGTAGACCGACTGCAGTTCGCTGTGTGGTGAATTGAACCCCGGGGAGCTGAAAAGGGCCCTGAAAAGGAGCTGCCTTTGCTCTGGGTGGAGTTTGCTGCTCCAAAAAAGGAGCTCTGTCTTGCCTCTGCAAAGCTGAAATGTGCTGATCTGCCATCAGCACCCCGACAAACTCCACAATTCCAGCTGCTCTTAAGTTGCAAATTACCCCAAATAATGATATTATTAAGAGCTCAGCAGAGTGGGTGATGCAGCTGCACTTTAAACATTTACCCTCTTAAAAACCTGCTGTACCCCAGTGTTGTTCGTGCTGATGTTTTCCCACTCCTTTGCTTGTTCCCTGCACAACAAGTGGGAATTACCTGCTTGCATGTTTTCATTTTGGAGGTGAGGGGTGTTTTTTAAATTCAAATAATTGGTCTCTGAGGGGGTTTTGAATACAGGCAAATTGAAGACAAAGCAAGTGGACACTTGTGTAGCTTTTAAGCCTCTCCTGTGCAGGGTGACCTCTGTTAAAGGGTGTTTTTCCTCACTGGTGTCGTAGCTGGAACTGGGACTGAGGTGGAAAAGGGGGTGGCAAAGCTTGGAAATTTGTACCTTAGGCTTTGGCAGGCAGGACTGATGACTTCACTGAGTATTTAGATTAACTCTAGCTCAACTAAATTGTTGGGTTTCTTTCTAATTCTTTGTGTACTGGGCTTGGAAATAAAAGCTTATTAAGCTTCATGTCCACAGTGGAAAGAGTTGCCTGTGAAGATGCTGCAGTGGGTTTTCAGCTATATATGGACTTTGTTCTGATAATCCCTGTTTGGAAAAGATGCTTTTCTTCTAAGAACTGTTTGTCCTTTACCCTAGAATTGTAGTTGCATCCTCCTAGATTATTTTTCCCCTTGGATCTGTGGAATTCTCCAGAGAAACCTTCTCAGCTTCCACTCTGGGGGGAGGAGACGACCTGTGGAAATTGGAGCTGCTGGTGGAAAGAAGTCGTGGACTGGTAGGTGATGGGGAGGCAAAACAGGTGCCAAAAAGCCCTGCAGAGGTGTGTGGGTAGAAAAAGAGACAAGCAGAGGTTCTCTCTTCTGTGAGGATTGAGGGAAACCAACATCTGGCACAGCTGGGGTGCTCTGGGACCTTGGGAAAGTCACTGCTCTGACACCAAATGTTAGGTGAAAAGCACATCCTTAATCACTGAGCAGTAAATGATGGCTTGAAAATGCTTAAAAATGAAAGAAAACCTCCATGGTAACACAGCAAGAGGTGGTGGAGGAAAAAGTGGTGCCTGAAATGATTTGGGGGCTTGTGACTCTACCGAGCATTTCATTGTGTGCTTTTTCATCAGTGCTGCTCTCGAAAATATCCAATATTTTTAACAGCCTTCCTCCTTCATTTTACCACTCCTCGAGCAGAAAGGCTCCTGGTTTTTATCCAGCTTCAGAGCCCCCTCTGCTGGAATGTGTCCACAGCCAGGCACGTTCCTCGGGAATGGGACAGGGATTGGAGCAACCTGGGCTGGTGGGAAACGTCCCTGCCCGTGGGCACTGGATGAGCTTTTTAAGTTCCCTCCCAACCCAAACCATTCTGGGCTTCTCTTATTCTATTTACAGCGTTTCTCCTCCTCCCCCACTTTTTTCTGGCTGGGGAGTCCAAGATGTAGAACAAGGAAGTTTTGGCTTGGGACAGGGAGCCTGCTCAGCTCCCCAGGAAGGATGTGTCTACCTAAACAAGAAGGGAAACAGGAAGGAAAGGAGAAATAGCTCATCTGATAGCAAGGAAAAGAGGCTCCTTGAGTCAGGTACGCATCAGCAAATGGAAACACCACCAAAATAGAAAATAAGACGATGGCAGAGTGATTAAGACACTGGGGGAAGATGCCAGGAGGTAAATCCCAAAGGTCCGCTCCAGACTTCCTGAGTAACTTTTAACGAGTCGCTGTCTCTGTGGGCAGTGCCCTTAAATCCCCAAAATAGGGATTACACTTCCTTTTCTCCCTCCAGCATTAAACCATCAGGCCTCTGTTTTAAAAGTTCTTTTAAAACAAAATGGGGCTGCCTGGAAATGTAGGAGCTCCTGGACAGTGTCCATGCACATCTGTGCTGATGATTCTACATTAAATGGCCTCAAACAATCTGAATAAATAGAGTTTGAGTGTGTTTGGAGGAGTGAAACTTTGGTTTTTTGCAGTTTTGGAAGGTCAAGGCCAGGTTGGAGCAACCTGGGCTAGTGGGAGGTGTCCCTACCCATGGCAGGGGGTGGCACTGGGTGATCTTTAAGCTCCCTTCCATCCCAAACCGTTCTAGGATTCTCTGGTTATGCACAAAACTAGCACAGCATTAAGGTGAAAAAAAAAGAATTACACTTTTCTTCTCCAGTTATACAAAATAGGGGTGTCTATTTTGGTAGAAACTTGGATTCCTGTTCAGGAAGGATCTACCAGCTTGTAAGACAGGGGGGGGAAAAAAAAGGGTGTGAGGGTCTGTAGTGGTCCAAAAAAAGTCCTGATGGCACCTCATGTAGATAGTGATGTGAGAATGTCTGGAAAATGGGGAAACCAGCAGATAAAATTGTTGCTTTACACATTAGCCTTGACAGGTGGGTGAAGTGATGAGCTGTTAAGGACAAATCACTCTATTTTCAATTTGCTGAAGGGGGGGAGGAAGGGAAAAGCTTCAGTGAAATCCAGACTCCCTGGGCAGTTGGAGATGGGAAGAGTAAGTTTTTCTGGAGTGGGTGTCTCCTACCATCTGCTGGGAGCTCCTGGCTCCTGTCCCAAACTGCAGCTCCTGCTCTAATATCTCTTGGACTTAAATAAACCGAGTTTCTCCACGAGGGACATGGAATCAGTCCCACTCAACAGGAACTTCAGCTGAGAGTTTTATGTGCAAACATGTAAGAACTGCAAGAGATGGACAGGAATATCAGCTGGGGAGGTGATGATGGAGTGGTTTGGAATCAGTGGAGAATTTGTAGAGGCTCTTCCCTCTCTTAGGAAAAGCCTTTTTTTATAATGACCTTGGCACAAAGAGTGAGAATTAAAATCAAATCAATGGTGATGAATAAAAGTGCCAGGCTTCGATAATGAGGAGGAACTGGAATATCCTGGAGATTTGATGGCTTTGAAAGAGTGAGAAGTGGAGATGAGAGGAGATTAAATGTAACAGCAGAGAGTGCCAGGAGGGGAAATTTAGGGACGAGGAGGAATTTGGGAGTGTTTTTACTTGGAAACCAGTGAGGAGAGGAAACTGGGGTTTAGTTTAGGGGTTGATTAAGGATAGTGAGGAGCCACCACGAAGCTGTGAAACAAAGAATGTCCAAGAGTGGTTCCAAGGTCAGCAATGATGCTGTCAAAGGAGAGAGGAGGTCAGCTTGGAACAGGGAAGACACCACAAATACAGAGCTTGTGTTAGGAAGGGAGAGTGGCTGGATTTCTATCGCAATGAAGACTGGAAGGAGATATGATTATCTCTGTGATGTATTTACAGAGACAATTCCAGGGAAGAGGGCACTATTACTTAATTAAAAGGCTGCCAGAGCTCCAGGAAGGTTTGGACAACGCTCTGAGGGACAGGGGGGGATTGTTGGGGTGTCTGTGCAGGATTGGACTGGATGATCCTTGTGGGTCCCAGCTCAGGATATTCCTTGATTCAAAGTCAGGTTATTGGCTTTTCCCACAGCCTCTTCCTCTCCGAGGCTGAATCTGTGGATCAAAACATTCCTTCACCTATTTCTGTGTCACCACAAGATCTTTTTATTCCCCCATCTAGACACTTAAAAAAAAAAACAACCAAAAAAACAATGATATCACACGTAATGTTGTCATCCCTTGGCTAAATCCCAAATTCCTCCTGCTGTGTGGGTTCAGATTCCTCCACTTGCCCACACCTTTGAGCGATTTCCCCCTCCAATCTGCTTCTCCCCTCCTGGCTGGGAGAAGAAATGCAGCTTATCCAGTGTCAGATTGAAAAGCAGCTGCTGGAACATCTGCTCCAGGTGGCTTTCCCAGCAGCAGGGTGGCCCCCGGGAAGAGGGGCTGGGCTTCTTCTTTAAAACAACAAACCCCCCCTCTTCTGCTGCTCCTCGGGTGGAAAAGGCACTGGGAAAAACATCAACCCACAGGTGGAATGGGAGCAGGAGGTGGGAGAGAGCAGCTGGAGGCTGGATGTCACTTTGGAAGGATCTTTAAGGTCCCTTCCAGCCCAAATCATTCCTGATTTCTATGAATTTCGAGTAGAATTCCTGGGTTAGGTTGGACAATCAACCCTTTGCCCTAAAATCTGTGAAAAATCTGTTGTGTTTGGTTGGTTGATTGGTTTGTTTGAGGTTTCTCTTGGAGGTTGTTTGTATTTAGTGTCACTTTTTCAGCAATAATCCACCCTGCTTGTGGTCTCTGTGTTCAAACTGGCTGGGCAAAGCAAAATGCTGAAGCTGAAAGAAAATCATCATCAAGTGAGTGAAATTGTGGCAGGTCAGTAGTTCCACTCCTGAGAGCAAAAACACTTTCTTATTAAGATCAACCCCTGAATGAAAGGGGAGGAAATGCTGAACTCCAGACACACCAGGCTGGAGGTCACTGCTGCAGGTTGGAGCCAGAGCTTGATTTTAACACAGTGTGTGATTGCAGGGCTTAGAAACAGGACTGGGGAGAAAATGAAATGAGGGGGTTTGAAGGCTTCCAATTAAACTCATTGCCAAGCTGTGCTTGAGAGGAGAGAAACCAGCAGGGTCAGAGAGCTCGGGACCTGTCCCTCCTCCGGGACACCTGCAAGTTGTGGCCTCAGGAGCCCGGATTTGATGTTCAGAGTCTCTCCCAGAATATTCAGTTTCCCAAAGTCAGAAATAGCTTATTCTTACCCCAAAGCTCAAAACCAGACAGAAATCACAGATTCGGAATTACCATTGCTAAATCACTCGGTGCGCCAGCGGTGAATATTCTGAGGCTGGGAAAGGATTAATTAAGCTCCGTTAACGAGTCCCTAATTAAGGTGCGTTTGACACCGGGCTTTAGGACCCGGCCGAGGGGGCGTGGTCTTTCTGTCAATCATTTTGATTGACAGCCCAGTGGGCGTGGCGAGAGGACAAAGGGGGCGTGTCCTTGCCCTCAACGCACCGGGTGATTGACAGTCGAAGGGGCGGGGCATGCACCTCCCCGCGCTCCCATTGGCCCGCGGCGCCGCCGGGCGGGCGCCGATTGGCGGGCGGGCGGCGCGTGGCGCCGTGATTGGCAGGAGGCGGCCGCGGGTGCGCGGCGGGCGCCGAGCGGGTTTGTTTGTGCGGGGCCGGGGGGCGGGCGGGGGACACCGACCGTGAGGGGAGCCCCGTGAGGGGACCCCGCGACGGGCCGGGAGGCACCGCGGGCCCCCCGCGCCCCGCCCCGGGAAGAGGAGGAGGAGGAGGCGGCGGCGGCGGCGCGGCGGGGCCTGGGAATGTGGCGGCCGCGGCGGCTCTGAGCCCTCCCTCCCTCCCTCCTTCCCCGCCGCCATCGGCCCGGCCGCCATGGAGCCGCGGCGGTGACAGCGCCGACCCGCAGCGCCCGCCGCCCGCAGACATGGGTGAGCAACCGGCCGGGGGAGCGGGGCAGGAGGGCAGGGAAGGGAGGGGAGGGGGCGATGCGCCCTCCGCCATGGATGGGCCGGGGTGGGGGGGTCCCCGCGGCTCCGCTGCGGCCCGGCCCGGGCCGGGACCTACCGCGGCACCCGCAGCGCCGCCGGGAAATGGTGGGTTTGTGTTTTATTTTTTTCCAAGGATTTGGTTAAAATGGTTTTTAAAAAAATCGCGTGTTTGCGGGGAGCACCGTGCCACCCCTTTCAACCCACCCCGCGCTCCGGGGTCGAGGCTGCTGCCCCGGGGCTTGCTTTGCTAAACTTGGCCCGCTCGGGCTCGGGGAGCTCCTGCAGCCCCCCTGAGTCAGGTTGGCTCTCCCTGGCACGGGAGTTGATGGGCTTCGGATTAATCGAGGGAGTTTTTGGTGTTAATTGAGGCTCGGGAGTCCATCAGAGCAGTATTTTCTTTATGGAGCTTCCACACGTAAAAACAAGCACAGAAGTCTGGAGGAACTCGTTTTTGTGTGTTTTTTTTTTTTTTTAAGGGGAAAATGTTGCTGCGAGGAGTTGCTATGACTGAAATTGGTTGATTAACTCAAGTTAATTTGGATTGGGACTGTATGTCCTTTGTAAAAAACTGCTTATGGAGGAGGGGGTGTCTTCTAATTCCCTTTTCAGTTTAAAGAGAGGTTTCATGTGCTGGAATTAAATTCTTAATTGCTCTGAACCAGAACTTACTCATATCTGCATATGGATGGGCAAGGGAGTTACTCCTGTTGTAAGTCTGGAGTTTCTTGGCTTCATGGGTACAACTTCAGTGTTTCTTCCCTACAACCAAGTTGAGTTTTCTGAGCCTGTCCTTCATTTAGTCTGTATGCATAAGTAGTTCTTATATTTTTAATTCATAAAGCATTGCTTTATGGGATATCCCATAAATGTTGCTCAGAGCTAAGCTACAGCAGCTTTGGTCCCTCTGCTCTGGTTTGATTTGGTAAATACAACGAATCCGTGCAGGTCCATCACTAGAATTCTCTGAGGTACAGGATTATCTCTCTGTACCTCCTCTACAGAACCAAGGCAGGTGGTTCATGAGCTTAAAATTGTTGGGAGGGAAGAGGCTGGATTTCCATTTGCCAGTGTGTGTTTGTAAACACGCGAGTGCAGAATGAACAGGCCCAGTTTCATGGACTTACAGCATCGTGTGTGCCCTGGGACAGCTGCACACCCCTTACCGTGGGAAAAACCTGAGTTTATTGGGCAGCTGGGCTCAGATAATCCAATTAATAATGGATAATGGGCTCTGCTTTCCTTGCATCTTGTGCTTCACGGCCCACTCTGAGGGGCACGTGGAGTGGTTGGTGTCGCTAGAACTCACCTGCAGCCATTCTCCAACCTTGCCCTCCCAGGGCAATGCCTGAGGATTATTTCCCTCCAGACACCTCCTTGGCAGGCTTTCACATGCAGATATCTTGTTCTGGTGGGTGGAAACACGAGCTCCCCGTGCTGGCAGGGCTGGGCAGTGAGGGGTGGGCGCTCTGGGCAGGCCCCGCTCCGTCCCCATCCCGGCGTTCCCTCGGTCCCGCTCGGTTTTCCTGCCTGTGTCACTTCCTTCCCTTGGCTTCACCCACGGCCACAGCTCCGTGACACCCGGGGGGAGGGACAGAGCTGAGCCTGCAGCTCAGGACCAGCTCAAATCCCAAATCCCAGTCTTTTCCTTTGAACTTCTTGGGGAGAAGAGGGACCCTAAATACATCCCACATTTACCGTGTCCGTAGTAGTCTGATTTTTCATCTCACTCTGCACACCAGTCACTTGTGATTTCCTAAAAACCAGGCAGAACAGCACTTTGGTGCCACTAAAACCACCCACAGCAAAGGGCTCAAAATGAAACTTTCCAAGAGTTCTTGTCTAAAATTTCCTCGTTGCCCCCTGGATCTGCCGGTGGCTCGACCCAACCAGCTTTGCTGTTGTGGGGGAAGATAACAGAGATTTATTCCCTTTTTTCTCTCCTAAACTAACGTGGCATCATTATCACACTAAAGAAAACACCATCCTGGGTTAGAGGGGTTCACAGACTTCCTGTTTTTACCCATGTGCAGATGCTTTCTCTGTTTTTTTATTATTATTATTTCATTTTTTATTCTTTTCGAAAGACTTTCCGTTTTCTGACTCGCTCAGACCCGTGTCAGAAGCCAGGGACTCGTTGAAATAAATGCCTCGTGGGGGGAGGGAACAGCTTTCTCTGGGAGCAGCAATTCGCTTTTATCGATGTCAGAAAAATCCTGGAGCGGAGTTTTTCAAACATGAAAAGCATTTCCTGGACAACATCTTTGCCGCACAAAGCAGAACTTGTGTTTCCCAGACCTGCTGGAGACCAGGCAAAACAGGGGCTCTCAGTGCCCTCCCAAGAATTGCTTCGTTTTGGTTTGTAGCAACTTCTGCATTGTGTGATTAATGTGATGCTGCCCCGTGTGCTTTTCCGAGTCAATCTGTGGCAATCCTCTGTTTTGAGGGAAATAAAGGAGCATTCATGCTCCTCAGCATTAAATCCAGCACGGTGCTGTCCTAAACTGGAGGTGATTTTTCCCCTCACAACCTCAGATCAGTGTTTGACTGGATGTTTTTAAAAGATAAATGCTCCGTCGTTTCCTACCTCGTCAACACAGGGGTGAATTATAGGATAGATGGTTTGGTACTAAAAGCTGCTAGAAAATGTATAATAAGATTCAAACTCACCTGAAGTTGTTCCATCGCCTTTGAGAGAACGTTGACTGTTCCAGTTTTGTGGAAATAGGTCACATTTCAGCTTTGGCACAGAGAAAAGTGAGTTTGCAGTGACCTTACAGGGCACTGCCTGGGGTTTATAGAATTCTAGAATATCCTGAACCAGGAGGGACCCACAAGGATCATCCAGTCCAACCCCTGGCCCTGCACAGGGCACCCCCACAATCCCACCCTGTGCCTGAGAGCGTTGTCCAAACCCTCCTGGAGCTCTGCTGCTCCCAGGTGCTGCCCTTAGGAGTTCAATAGGTTGTAAATTCAGCTCATAAATAAATTCTCCACGTCCCAAGCTACAATCTGTATTAAGAGACACACAGAGTTGGTTGGATGCCTGTCCTCTGTGCCCAGGTCCTCACACAAATGAGTCTCACCCAGCCTGGAATTTGGGATCAAACACCTGTAGGCAACCATTGTCAGCGTTTATCCTGATTTTCCAGTGATGCTCCCGTTTCGAGGGGAACTCTTATTCACAGACATACCCTTTGAGCTGATTTCTTGTCAGGAGCCCTCAGTTCCAAACTGCTTTCATAGCTGGTTTTCTTCTTGCCCAAAGGAGTGCTGCCAACACAAGCTCTTCTTCCTCCTCCTGGGATGTGGCCAAACCCAAACTGCACCGGAGTGGAAAACTTGTCCCCCGGCTCTTCCCGGTGTGTTTTGGGTGGTGGGAACTCCAGGGATGTGCCAATCCGTAGGCTGGAGTGTTTTGTTGTGCACAGTTACAGCCTTTGTCTGCCAGGTGACTCCAAGGCTGTGCTCAATATCAATCCAAATCAAAGAACACAAGTGAGTTGGAGACACTCCAGTGAGGTAAGAGGTTAAATGGGAAGCTGGAAACAGTATTTTTTTAAAAAAAGAAAAAGTTGTGCTTTACCTACCTGGAACTTTAGCTTCATTCACAACTGTTTTTTTCACGTTTTCCTCCCACAAGGGGTTACTTGGTGCTGAGATAGATCCCAGCAATTATTTCCTTTGGCCCATGTGCTCCTCCAAAAGCAGCCTCCTGCTCTGGTTGTGTTATGACACTCCTCGCTCCTTTTCCGTGCAGTTGGAATTTCAAGGAGTGCTCTCCCTTCTCCACTGCCACAATGTGCTTATTGTCTCATTTGGCTTGTCTTGGACAGCAGAGATTTGATGGGGTTTGATTCTGATTTTTTTATTATTTTTTTTTTAACTTTGTCTGCTCTGCTTTGGTTTTTTTTTTTTAAGAGTTTTACTCTAATTTACACCTTCTGCAGATGCACTGGGAGGTTTGTTCCCCTCCATGGGGGATGTTTCTGGGCTTTGGTAGGAGAGTGTGAAGTCCACACAGGATGGACCTCAGAACTTGGGTAGTCTCTGGACTGAGTTAGGACTCACCTAATTGTGAGGACCTGAAGGGAGACAACAGGAAAGATGGAGAGAGAATATTTACAAAGGCCTGGAGTCACAGGACTAGGGGGGATAGATGGGATACTGGGAAGGAATTCCTGGCTGGGAAGGTGGGCAGGCCCTGGCACAGGTTGCCCAGAGAAGCTGTGGCTGCCCCTGGATCCCTGGAAGTGTCCAAGGCCAGGTTGGACGGGGCTTGGAGCACCCTGGGCTAATGGAAGGTGTCCCTGGAAGGTGGAACTGGATGGGCTTTGAGGTCCCTTCCCACCCAAACTCCCCTATGATTCTGTGATCCTATGAAAGTTAAAGCACACCTGGGCAGAAACTACTTGTTGTAGCAAAGATATTGTCAGTGTGACTTCTCCCTGGGACTTCTTTGGATGATTCTTCCTCACAAATAGGTATATTTTTTCCCCCATTTTTCCTTTTAGGAGCATTTGCTCCCTGGCTGCTCCACGGGCTGTGTGCACATCCCACATCTGTCATCTTTAAGCATTGCGAAAATCCGCTTTGTTATTCAGACATTGATGAATTATGAAGCCAATCTGTGCATAAAACATCCCCTGGCTGCTTTGGAGACACTCACCAACAAACACACGCCATGAAACTGCAGAAACAAATAGTCCCAGTGAGTGCCTTGCACAGGGAAATGCAGATGCGACTCAGTCCATCATTTAATGTTCAGCAGCTGTTCCCAGGACAGCTCTTCCAAATGCAAACCATTACCCATCAAACCAGAGTCAGGAGTGAGTGAGTGAGTGGTGGATTGTTAAAAATGACGTTTCAGTTGTTTACAAGTCAGCTTCCAAAAATGGCTCTTTTCGAGTCAAACTCCTCAAAGCGATCGGGATTTTGGGAGGAATTGTGAATTCCAAGCACTGCACACCTGACACGCTGTCATGATTGGGGCTGTGATAACTGATGGGGGCTCTCATCACCTCCAAAAATAATAAAAAAAAAGAAAACAAACAGCTTTACATTCAGAACTAGTGGCCAAATCCACCCAGACTCGTTTAGAAAGGGCAGGTTCTGCTGGGGGCGTTGAGAGCTGATGGAGTCACTGGAAGTGAATCAGGAAGGGTTTCCCTGGGTGTATTTGCCAAGGAGACAACACTTTATCCCCAAAAACCTCTTGCTGGGTGAGACACCAGCTGGGCAATCCAGGAGCAAAGTGAGGCATCTGATGCTGCTTTGTTGGGTTGTGGCAGTGCCTGGGGCAGAGTGGCCAGGGCGGTCCCACTTTGGACAAAACTTCACATGGAATCTTCTTTTACCTTTTCCAGTTTCAAAGAATTTGGGGATCATTATCCCTGCTAAAGCAAAAGATTCTTTTCCGTGGCTTTTAGGCCTTTTTGCACCATCCATCACAGTTACTGAGCATTCCCCTCCTTTCATGTCTTTTTTTGCCCTCTAGATTTCAAAGTTCTGCTAAATAAATCCACTTCTCTCTCAAAACTAACAGGCAGTGGGAGAGGACACATGAAATTGGTTAGATCAGGAATCTTCACTCTAGAAAGTAATTTTTAACCAGTAGTACATCCAAGAAAAAATGGTGTCTGCTCAGGTGGGACTGTTTGTTGTGAAGCTTTTTAAACACAATTAGAGGGACGTTTTAGTCCTGAAAAGCTTTGTTGTTCTGTGAGCGCTTATTCCTGGAACTTCTTGTGCCTGGCAGATGAACAGGAGGCCTTGAAATCCATCATGAAGGACCTGGTGGCTCTCCAGATGAGCAGACGTCACAGGCTGCCTGGGTATGACACCATGAAGAACAAGGACACTGCTCACCCCAACAAACAGGTGATGGCACCCTCCAGGGAGCACCTGGAGTGGGGAAATGGGGAAAGAAGGGACAGAGGATCTGCTGACAGGAGTAACTCCCTCATCCTGCTCAGGCTGGGGGGGAAAGAGGGGAAAATTTCATTTTCATGAAATTTTCATTTTCTATGTTATATTAGAATATAATATAGAATATATAGTGATAACGTATGTTAATAATAGATATTAATAGTGTATTTTCATAATGTATATTGAAATTATTATAATGTATAAGGTTTTATTAAAATATATTATCTATGCTATTAAAATATATAAAATATATTTAAATCTATAATATATATAAAAATATATAAATATATATTTATTTATATATATTTAAATCTATAATATATATAAAAATATCTAAATATATATTTATATATATTTAAATCTATAATATATAAAAATATATAAATATATATTTATATATATAAATCTATAATATATATAAAATATAGATTTTATATATATAAAATATATTATATTAGACATAGTATATGTATTGTCTATTATATAAAAATAATTTTCTGATATAGTAGAAATACAATAAAAATTACTAAATAACATTATAATATAATGATACTAATTAATATTGCAATCTAAATATGTGCTAGAATAAATACGATTTTATATAATATAGAAATTATATTAAAATTGTGTATTTTGTGTTGGTTTAGCTATATAAAATTAAAAGCTATATATAATGATATATATGTAATATTATGTATTTTTAATATTTTTATATATTTTTGATAATTTGCAACATCTGAGTATCCTCCCTTCCCCCTGCATGTGTTTGTGCTGCTGTTTGGTCTGATCAGCTAAAAAAAAAAAATGTACCGAGTGTAAAAATTTTAAAATTGCCTTTTTTTTTTTTTTTTAAATTATTTTATTCCTCTCCAAGAAAAAACACAACGCCAGCAGCCCCCCCCTCCTGGGCAGCCCTGCAATAACGACCCAGTGTGCCTCTGCCGTGGAAGAAAAAAAAATTCCGGTGAGAAAACTGCCTTAATTTCTACATCCTGATGTCACAGGGGGTGCCTGGCTTAGTGTAGTGCCAGGACTGGCTTTAAATTCCCAGAGGGCAGGGATGGATGGGATAATGGGAAGGAATTCCTGCCTGGCAGGGTGCCAGGTTGCCCCTGGATCCCTGGAGGTTTTGGTTGTCTTCCTTATGTTTTACCTGCTCGTAATCTGCTTGTTCAGCTGGACTCTGGGATTTCCCAGAATGGGCTGGACAAATCCATGGATGGAGGAGAACAAAACCCTCCCCAAAATCGCTTTGAATTCGGGGGATGTCTTAAATCAAACCCTGTAACTGTGATTTATGACACAAAACTGGAGCTGAGCTGAGGTACTAAACTCGGATTGGCCTTTTTACTCGTCTCTTAGGAGAGTTTATATGTCTTAATTTAAAAATTGATGGGCTCCCTGCTTTCCAGGGAAAGCACTGGAAAGCTTCACTCCTCGAGTTTCTGGAATGTGAACACTCAGATCACTTTGAACACCTTTTGAAGATCACTTTGAACACCTTTTTCTTAGATCTTTAAAAAATAAGACACGAATGACCAGTGTCTGATCCTTGTGGAAAAACCAGCGGGAGGTGAATGCCAAATTCCATCCCCCCCTTCCCTTTCTTCTAGATTACAGGTTCTGGAGTGATTTTAGTTTGTTTAGGTACCAGCAAGTCTCCAAAGAGCCCTGAAGATCTTTTTAATTGTTGTGTAATTTTAATTAATGAGAGCTGTGTTACTTGGCTGTTCCAGGACCTAAACCACATCTTGAGGTCAGAAATTTAATCTGAAGGATGACTTAAATTCCCATTTCATCCAAACAGTCCTGTTTAGTTCCCTCAGACTGGGCTACTTAGAACAGTCTAACATTAAAAAAACAACCAACCTAATCTAGAGCCTTCCTTCCCTGAAATCCTGATAAAAAGGGATCATTCCTCCATCCAATATGCCTAAAACAACTGTTCCATCAGGAATTGGCTGGTGGGGCATCTTTTATAGGATATTATTGTGCTGTTTGCTGCATTTTTCCCTTACTGCTCAATTCTCATGAGATTCTTTCATTTTGGAGTCATTCTAGAGTAAGTTCTTTCCCTTCCCACATCTAAAAAACATCACTTTTTAAAGTTACCTGTGAATTACCCACCTGCAGGGGGTCGTTGCTGGCACTGGGAAGCTCCTTCTCCCTGATCCATTCCCTGCAGGAATCCCAGCCCTTTGAACTGAATTCTTGACCACTGGGCCTGCCAGAAACTTCCTCCAGCTAAAGAGCATTTCCTGACCTTTTTTTTTTTTTTTTTTTTTTTTTTTTTTTTTGGAAGTTCCTAGATGTATGATTGCCTATTGTCTGAGGCTTTCACAGATGGCTTCATCTATTCCAACCACAGAAATTGTGCAGCAGGAATTATGGAGCCTTATCAGAGCAGATTTATTTATTTTATTTTATTTTTTCCCCTTTTATTTTTATCTTTCTGACCTAAATTGGGATTTGAACTTCGATGTCCAGAGTTGAAAGTTGAGCATGTTGACAGAAGAGATTTGGGCCGTGTGTTAAGAATGAAGAATAGCAAATAGGATAAGAAATAGGTATAAGAATAAAAAGTAGGAATAAGAATAGAGAATGTACACATTCCCTTTATCTCTCTTCTTTCCCATCTTTGCTTTGAGTGCTCAAAAAAAATTAACTTCAGTTGAGATGAATCAGCAGTTAGGACTCAATTTCATATTTTTTCCCACACAGTGTTAAGGGTGTTTTAATTTTCCTTAAAGTGTCCTCTGTTTCAGTGACAGTTAACAAAAATTACAGCTTAGTTTTTACCCCTTTCCTTCCCTTTCTCTGAAAAATACACCAGCCACTCGTTCCCACAGTCTACTTCAACTTCCATGAAGAAATTCAAATCATATTGAAATCCTGTTCTGATGCTTTTGAGTGGCAGAGTGTGGTTGTGAACTCACCTCTTGTTCCTTCTCCTGCAGAATGACGTCAGGATAAAGTTTGAGCACAATGGGGAGCGAAGGTAAGTTGGCCCTCACTGCTTTGATTCTTCTCTTAAGGGAATGGTTCAGTCACCAGCAATTTAGGTGGAATATTTTGTTGGCTTCACTTTTCTTTTTCCTGAATGAAAATCACCCAGTGAAGGCCTTTAACAAACAGGTCACACACAGCTTGGTTATTTTTAGAGATCAGCGTGTCATAAAACACTGATTTATTTCCATAATACCTATCTGCCAGTGAACTGCAGCTGCCCAGCCTGAAATAAATTCAGCCTGAAACTTCCTACACGTTCCCATTTCGGTTTATTTAACTCAAACCAAATGAAGCTGATCAAATCAGGGTCATTCTTTTCTAGTTTCTCACTTCCTGATGCCCTGTTGCTATCACTGTCCTGCTGTGATTGAGCAACAGATACAGAGCAAGGGAAGATTTTTTTATTTTATTTTTTTTCATTGGTGTAAAAGTTTTTGTTGTTTTGGTTTGGAGAGACATTCTTTTACAAGAAAAAGGCGGAAACAACCGAAATGGCAGTTTTCAGTTTTCACAGCGTTGTTTGCCGTGGATTAAAATTGCCTGGATAATTAAAAGTAGGTCTCATGAAGCCTCTTACTTTGCCATAGCACTGAGAGGAACTCTCAAAACATTTTGGGATTTCTGTTAGGAAAGCAGAAGCATTCTTCGTTGGCAAAGCAGGCAGTGGAGAGTAATTTGTGATCTTCCTCAAACCTCGAAGTTGTTTCTTTCACCAAAACCCTACGCTGTGAATCCCGTCCCTAAAACAACCCTGACTTTTGGTGCCTGGGGAGAAAGTTTTAAAACTCATCCTCACTGGGATCTGCTGCCTCCTTTGTCAGAGATCTTCTCAGCACCCTGGTGGGCTGGGGGTTTGTGTGGACAGAGCAGAGGCACAGTGGGACACGTCACAATTTTGGGTCACCCCGTGCCGGGATGAAGGAACTCAGCACCAAAATCTGTCCCCACGAGCTTCTCATCTTGCCCATCTTCAACCCTGGGTGCATTTCAGGTGGCACCAAGAGTTGGGGGAAGAAAGGTTTGGTTTTTTTGGTTTTTTTTTCTCTGAAGTGCCATGAAAATGAAAAGGTTGATTGTGTGTTGCTGTAATTATGCAGTTCCCCTCAGCCCAATTCCCCGCTCCCAGCACGGTGTGCAGTTACAGACAGGGAGCCTGCACCAGAATGTGAGTGTGTGTGCTTGGCTTCCCAGCAGCTGCCAGAGCTGACCACAAATATTTAAGGTGGTCAGGCAGGAATGGGCTCCTCAAACCCTGCAGTCCAGGATTTTGTGCTGGAGGAGTTTCGCAGTTAACGGGGTTTGTGGCACCTGAGAACAGCTCTGCTTTGGAATGCCCTGAGTGCAGAATGGGAGCCTTTGTAAGGCCCTGAGAGCTAAATGACATTTGTGTGCTGCCAGGGGCACTGTGATTTCATGGATGGGTTTCTTAGGGATATGTAGAAAATGTTGTTGTGGGGGCTGCTTTTTAACAAGCACAATTATTCCCAAATAGCTGGGTGTTGGAGGACTGGTAGCAAGATGAGCTTTTCCTAGGAAGGAGCTGAGGAAGCCAATTAACACAAGGGCTATTAAAAACAACAGCTGCATCTCCTGAAAGGATACCCAGGGCTGATGGAACAACCCAAACCATGCCATGATTTGATGGAAAACTGGCAAGCCAGTGTAGTGAGTCCATGATTCAGATGTTTGCAGATGTCTGACCTGAGCATGCAGGGAGCAGACGTGGAGCTCAGGGCACAGCCCACCTTTGGGACAGAGGATTTGCTGCTGTTATCTTCCCTCAGGAGTTCAGGACTAACTTTACTGTGGGAATATTTGTTGAAACTTTTAATATCAAATGCATTTTGGAGATGATTAGGGAGTGAATTTTGAGTTCAGGTACTCGGATACTTAAATTTTTTATTCTTTTGGCCTCTGCAGCTTTTAATTCAACTCTCCCTGAGCGTGTTTTGTTGCCCAAGGCAGTATTTTTTAAGCCAAGGTGCACAGGACATTTGTATCCTATTTTGGGAAAGCCACTAATTCAGCAAAGAATATTTCTCTGCCCAGGGACAAAGGGTTTCTATTTGAAATCTTCAGCTGAAAATTGCATTTTGACGAACCACTGGAAACGGGCCAGGGATCAATAATTCCTGACCGAAACAGCACACGTAAATTTAAATTTGAGAGCCTCACTTACCTGCCTGAGGATGAAAGGAGAGCATTCAGATGTGTTTTGAATGGCTCAGCCCCCTGGTTTGATGGCAGTGTGTGAGGTGTATTTCTGATTTCAGCCGGGGATTCTCTGTCATTCCAGGATTATCCCGTTTGTCCGGCCCGTGCGCTACGAGGACGTGCAGCAGAAAGTGAAAACAGCCTTTGGGCAGCCCCTGGACCTCCACTACATGAACAACGAGGTACAGAGCCCCCAGGGCCTCAGGATCACACCTCCCCCTCCCAAACTCTGTGCCTGTAAATTGAATTTTCAGTTCTCCCTTCAATGCAGCACTGATAGAGCATCACCGTGCTGTGTGTGTTGTACCGACAGCAGCTCTTGCTCCCTGGCACTGGTGGTGGTTGAGAGACTCCTTTGGGGAAGTCAAAGTGGTTATTTAAAGTATTTTATGGTTGAAAGCAACTCTTGCAGGGAGATCTTGTTGCCCAGAGAACAAGGGGAGTCCAAGAGCAGAGGGAGTTTCAGGGGGGCTGTCACTGGTGAAATGAAGTGACACAGGGAACAGCATTTGTCTCTCAGGAACTTGGGTAGTCCATGTTAATAATCCAAAGTATTTTGGTGGCCTTCTCACCCTGGGCACGCTGGTTTTCCCTTTGTTTTTATTGTTGTGGTGTTGCCCTGCCACTGTTTGGAACTGCATCCCTAATGAGGGAGATGCAGACCCCCCATTCACCAGTGAGAGTGGGACAGAAATGAGAGTTCTCCAGGGTTAATAACATTCCCATTTTGGGCTGTAGAACAGAGGGTGTCTGAGCCTGATTTCTTACAAGTTTCAAATTCTAATTTGATTCCCTCTTTCAAAGTCTTCTTCTTTCTCTCTGAAACCCAATTTTCACTTGATCAGTAGGTCTGAATTCATAAGTGCTCTGAGACCACGTTCTCATCAGGGAGTCAGGGACTGACAAGTCCCTGACTTGTTCTTTGCAAACAGCAAATTCAGGTAGCAATTAATATTTTTTGTGGCTGGTGCTTTAGAGAAATTTGCACAGGGTCAGCATGGGAGGAAAAAGCTCATTAGAAAGGGGACAGTGAGACAGTACTGGAATGAAAATTTGTGGGCATTCAGAGTCCTGGCTTATATTCTGATATTTTTCTGAAACACCTGTTGTGGAAATAAACTTAATTTTTTCTGACTTTTCTAATGATTTTTTTTTCCCTTGTCTTTCTTTTGCAGCTCTCTATCCCTCTGAAAAACCAAGATGACCTGGATAAAGCTGTGGATCTCTTAGACAGAAGCTCTAATGTGAAAAGCCTTAGAATATTATTGCTGTCCCAGGACAGAAACCATGTAGGTACCAACCCCTGTGACTGCAGCAAAAGGAAGGGGTTTTTTTTACCTTTAAGTTTCTGAAACACAGTGGCAGTAACAATGATCAGTAAAATCACTCTTTAGCCTTTCTTCCCTTTAGCTTGGGGACAGCTCCCAGGGATTTTTCAGCAGCCTAATTCCATTAAATCCAGCCTTACCCTGTGGAAACCAAGTTACCTTTGATTAATAATGGTGTATTCCCACCCAATTTTTGGGGTTGATTGTCCTGGTTCACTCTCCTGTACCACAGGAGTGAGTGTCAATGTAGTTTGCTTTTTTACCTTTTTTTTTTTTCAGCAGAAAAGATGATGTCATGAGAAGTAAATCTTTAAACCAGGCTCCCAAAGATGCCCCTTTTGGACAGTGAATTTATCTGCAAGCTGAGGAGTGCAAAAAGAGCCTGAAGTTTCCCTTAGTCCTGATCTGGGACTGGAAAAGTTTTCCCTCATCCAATATCTCTCTTTTTTTTTTTTTTCCTTTTTCAGAATTAAGGTCACACAGCTTTTCAAACCAAAAAAAACCTTGATAGCTCAGATATTTGATTTGCAAATGAACCAAATTCTCTGAAGAGTGTGACACAAAAAGCTGCTCTGTTGGGAACAGCTTGTGGATCTCAGATGTTCATCCCTATTCAAGTTCTGCAGGCTGGGGAGCAGCTCAGGCTTGAGAAATAATCCCACCTAGGATTCTTGGAACTGTCAGGGGGACTCAAATACACTTCTTGCTAGTTTTTAATGTGATAATCCATGTTCATGGAAATACAGGGGCCTTCAGGAGTGTTAACAGCCCTTTCCCAAAGGACTGGGAAGGGGTAGGAGGGGATGATGCTGTTCCTTGTGCTGAGCATTTACTGCTGCCTGTCCTGAAGACAATACTTGGCAAGAAGGCCTTTGATGTGACCTGGTGGAGCCAGAATTGGTTCTGTGCTGTCAGGAAACAGCCTGGGAAAGGTGACCTCAGCTTTTGGTGTCACACAGTCAAACAACCCCCCTTTCCCAACCCTCTGTCAGGCCACAAAAGCAGGTGTTAAATGATAACCAACCTACCTTTGCATCCCCCATCCCACCCCAGCTACTCCTGTGGTGTTGCCCTTTTAATTAACCCTTTTAATGAGCTGCTTTTTTTCCTCTTTGGCTCCAAGTACAAACAAACAGCAAAGCCTTCAGTGAGTGCCACTGTTTCCACCCCCTCTCCTCCAGCTTCCTCTGCAGCTCAGGGTGGCCTGACAGGAGAGCCCACAAGGCTGGAGGAGGTTTCTTGGCTGCATGATCTCATCCCACTGAAGGGCAGGGGGGAAGCATTATTTTTCCTGAAGTACAGGATGCAGATTTTTTGTTTTGGTTGTGCTCTCTTTTCTTCTTCTTCTGAGGATGGAAAGGTAATGCCGTGACTTTGGCACAAATTAACTTTACAGCAGTAACTGTTTCACTTGTACCAAGTGAACAGTGTTCAGATTCATTTTCTTGTGCCTCTTTCTGTGGTTCTTTTGTGTTTTGTTTTTTTTTTTTCATCAAGCAGCTCATCCTGTTGTCAATCCTTTCCTCCTGTTTGGAATCCAATGGGGAGAGCTGGTAAAGTTGAACACCTAAAGCCACTCTGTCCACATCAGCACCCTTTATTCAGCTCCCATAAACCTTTTCATGGTGGAGTTGATGTGATTTAAATCCTTACTCATGCAAGTGGATGTGCTTATTAAATGAGCAGCTATTCAATACTTTTAATTTTGGGTTGTGTGGCCTCACACCTTGTTTGACCAAGTCATGTTGAAATCATTTTCACGGGCCAGGATTAATTTCCTCAGGGTGTTTCTTGGTTCTGTTCATCTCAGTTAAAGAAGTTAAGATGAATTCTGGAACACCAGAGGAAGGGAATATTATCATATCCTCTTGTAAAACTCGGTGTGTTGGGTCAAGATTAAAATTGAAAGTGTCTCCAGGTATTGACACAGGATCTCATTGGCTGGGGGAGGTTTGAGTGTCTCATTCCTCTTCCTGCTTTGAATGAGGTGAAGGCACTGTGGAAAAATGATCATTAATTAGATAATACCTAGGCAATTTCATGGAAGGATGAATAAATTCATCTTGGCCTCTCCAAACTCTTGGTGCTCTTAAATCTGCAGAATTGAACATCACTTGGATGGTCTGAATTGTGAGGGTTGTGGGGAGTCAGGTTGATTCTGAAAGAGTGCAGGATTCAGAATTTCTCTCTGCTGGTGAGGATGGCTGATGGAAATTGCAGATTCCTCTGTGTTCTGATCTCGGGGGGTGATGTGAGCCCTGTGTGTGTCCCACAGGTACCTGTTAATGGCAGGCAGACACTGAGACTTCCAAATCCTGCCCCTGAGGCTGCACAGTGCCTTGCTCCAGTTGTTGGACCAGAATTATAAACCTTGCTCTTTTACTGCCTTGGTGATTTCTGAAGTTAATAAGATTTCAGGCTCTGGAACTTTTGCTCAGCTTCTTTCTTACTCCTAAACATGATGATGCTTTTAGAACTGTGACCAGGCTACTTGAACTCCTCAGTCTCATTTTATTTTCCTCTTCTCATTTTCCCCAACAGACCAGTTCTTCACCCCATTCTGGACTGCCCAAACAAGTCAGGATTAAAACTTCCCAGTCTGTGGGGGATGTGAGCACACCCTACCAGCAGCCAGAACCCAGAAGTAGGCATCTGTCTGTCAGTGAGTATTTGTGCCACCTCTGCAGGGTTTTGTTTGGTGAAATGTGTCATTTGGGGCACTAATGTTTATGGGATGGCGTTTGTGAGAGCCAGGAGAAATCAAAAGGTCATTCCAGGACGGGGCAGTTGGTTTGCAAAAGCTTTTCGTGTGTTTACAGTGGAATTTTTCAGTTCCTTACTGAGCTGTTGAACAGCTGAGGAGCTGCTAAAGGGATGTCCCAAAGCCAGATCCATTGTGGTTAGAAATTTGGAAAGCTGGAGTGAGTCCATGAAAGTTTTTATTTACCTTGGCAATTTCAGTTCATGAAACCTAGATAGGATTTTTTTTTTTTTTAATGTTGGGCTCTGGAATCTCTCCTGACTCCTGTAATCAAACATTTTACTTGGAATCAAGGAATTACTCCTACATATCCAACCAGTGTCTCCTACATCCTGACTTCCCTAACCTTTCACTCCTGGAATTAGCAGATGAGTAGAGCACAAGGTGAATATCAGAGGTGTAATAACAAAAGATAATAAGATAAGTCAGGTTATTGCGTACCTTTGTCTCATTTGGGTTTCTCTGAGCTCAGTGAACTCTTCAGTGGAAAGATCCATGTAAGACTCCTGTAATTTTTACTTCTACCTCTGGTAGATTTGTCTGAGCAGCACTACTCAAACCTGTGCTTGAGGGACGCTCAAAAATATAACTTATTATATCAAAAACCAAAACATCTGAAGCAGCTTCAAAGGTACACAGGTCCAAAACCAAAAGAAATCTGTGATTTAGGATTTAACTCCTTGGAGTGAAGATCAGCGAGCAGTGAAAGAGCAGGAGGAAGGTGAGAGAGCATGAAGATGGTGTTCTGTGTAAATTGCTGCTGCTTTGCAAGTGAGAAGAGGTACATTTTGCTGGGAAGAGAAGCAGAGGATGAGTTTGTCCTGCCAGGAATCTGCTGGTCCCCTTTTGTAGAGTTTGCTTTTCTGAAGCAGCAAACAAACAAAGAAGTGCTGAGTGAAGGACGTGACTGAAACAGGGACAAAGAGAGTTTTCCCATCCTCCCTGGTTTGAAGTGAATGTGCCTAAAAAAGAGCAGCGTTCCTGGGTCCTGTGAAGAGAGCAGTGCTGGCCACGCACGTCTGAACACCACGGTTCCTTTTACACAGACAATTTCAGTGCCAAAAATATTTTATTTAATACATGTATTTCTCCTTTATTGGCATCCTGAGGTATCCAGATCATGGTGCCAAAGCCAATAGACTGCAGTGAGTGTCTGTCATGGGTAAACTGTGTAGTAACAAGAGGCCCCTTCTGTGTCCCAGTTGTACAGACTCTTTCCTCTCATCCCAGCTGGTGGATGCTCTCTGTCATTCATCACTCAAGAAAGCATTAGTTTAGTTTTCTGGAGGTCTCAAAGAACCAGCCTGCTCCTTATGGAGAGTTCCATTCCTGTCAGAGGTCTGCTGGTCATTTGGCAACAGCTCGGTCTTGCATCGATTTCTTCTTCCTCCTCTTTCCCTGTCTTTGATTTGGGAGAGGGATGGGCCCCTTTTCCCGGATTTTCAGGCACAGCAACTCTCCTGTTCTTACCACGTGGTGCAGTGAGAGTGCAAAGCAGTGCCCAGCAAAAGCTTTTCCCAGAGATCCATGCAGTTCCTGTGCTCCAGGGTGCCCAGGCCTCGAGCCTGCTGTCCCCAGTTCAGAGGTTTGGAAGTAAAGATAACTTTGATTTAAAAGGGGGAGTGAGGGGGATGAAGAAAACCAAAAAAAAAAAAAAGTTGCTAAGCATTCTGGCAGCGCTTGTGTTTTTTCCACTCACTTCCTTTGATATCCATGGATTTAGTGCCGACTTCCTTTTCCTGCCCAGGGCTGGGGGCCTTTCCACAAGAGCGGCTGGGCCGGTGCCAGCAGGGCCTGGGCTCGCTCGGGGCCAGCCCTGGATTGTGGCGGAAGGAGTGAAAGTGCTCCCGGCTTTATCTCCACACCACTCCAGGAGGCCCGTGGAGCTGCTTGGAAAACCGGGTGGCAGCTCTTGAAGGGCAGGTTGTGGTCTCAGGGTGGTGATCTCAGAGCTCTTCACCACCCTTAATGGTTCCACAGCTCTGTAAATCCCTTTTTCCCACGTGGTTCACTCCCCACGCTCTCCTAAGTCGTGCCAGCACTGTTGTTCTTTGTGCAGTCCTCCCAAAAGTGTGTGCTCTGCTTTTCAACCCTCTAAAATGATCTCTGCTTTCCAGATCTCTCCTGCCTTCCCCCTTTATTACAGCAACTCCAGTAGAAAATATTTTCCTTGGGAGGATATCTGCTGATCTTCACCCATCTTTCCCAGCACCTGAGTACACACAGTTAATTAAAGGCAGCGCTGTAAAAAAAAGGCACAGCTTGAGAGCTGATCCTCAGCTGCTGTCCCTGACTTCATGGGTGACCTCGAGTAGATTGGCTGGACCACAGCAGTTCTAGGAGCTCACAGTGGGAGCTGCAGGTGGAGAAGTCACTGCAGAAAGGGGGTTTTGTTTCTTCCCGTGTCTAAAGTTTCATCTTCTTTGAGATCTGCAAGGAAAAAGTAAATCCTAGGGCTGAAGCTTCTCTCAGTAGGTAGCACAACAGAAACGCTTTAGGTAGTGCCATTAATAGATGATTAAACTGTTTTCCTCATCCTTTGGCCCCTAAACATACTCTCTGTCCATCCAGTTATCCAGTTAACAGGAATTGCAGAGTTGACCTCCACGTGGTTTCGCCCAAACCGACCGCACAGTTTGGTTTTTCTCGCAGTAAACCAGAAATTTGGGGGTTATTTCCAAAGGTAACAGTGCTCCCACGTGCCACTGAAGTTGCTCAGCTGATGCTGACTAGCAGGAGTGTGCTGTCACTCAGAAATTATCCTGACTGATGCAAACTTAGAACAAAGACACAAAGGTTGGTTACCCTGACAAGTGCTTTGTTTAGTGGAGATCGGCAACGAAGTTCATACTCAAAAGCCAGGGATTCCTGGAATCCTCTACCTTCCCTGAGGTACTGAAATCACCCTCAGAAAGTGGAGCAGAAGAGGTTAGGAGCTCCACCAGTAATCATGTAGTGTCTGAACTGTCAGTAGAGGTGCTCATCAAACAGTTTGTTTTCGATGTGACCCCTCCTGGTTCCTGTCCAGGCTCTCGGGATCGCTCCAGACCTACCGTGTGGTCGTGGAGCTGGAGGCCTGCTGTTAGAAGAGATACTTAGATTTTGTGTGTGTGCACGTGCAGTCTCATTCCAGCAGCAGGAATCTAAAGGGAATCTCCTTCTCCCAGGCTCCCAGAACACGGGCAGGAGTTCCCCCCCTCCGGGGTACGTTCCCGAGAGGCAGCAGCGAATCGCTCGCCAGGGCTCCTACACCAGCATCAACAGCGAGGGGGAGTTCATCCCAGAGACCAACGAGCAGTGTGTGAGTATCAGCATGAGAGGGGGGGGAAAAAAACAAGTCTAGCTTGTTAAGGAGCTCTACTGGGATCTGGGCCCTCTTTTTTCACTCCCCAATATTCACCAGCATCTGCACACTGGAACACATTGCCCTGAGAGTTGTGGCCGCCCCGTCCCTGGAAGCGTTCAAATCCAGGTTGGATGGAGCTCTGAGCAACCTGCACTAGTGGAAGGTGTCCCTGCCCACAGCAGGAGGTGGAAGTGGATGATCTCTGAGGTCCTTTTTCCAACCCAAACCATTCTGGGATTCTGCTTTGTGCATTTAAACTGCTTCAGATTGCAGCTGTGTAAATCCAGAGCCTTCGGGTTGCCAGAAGCAGTTGCTGCGTGTGCTGGGCATTGCCTCTCCACTGACTGAGCAGTTTTAGGGCTGTCACACACATGTGCTCAGGTTTTCCTATTGCCAGCTTTGTGTGACCCTCTTGCTTTTGAAAGTCTGCTCTCCATTCAGAAAAGTAGGAAGTGAGGCCAAAGGGCAGCTCGCAGGTGGAGGCAGCAATGCAGCAGCACAGCCTGTTCCTGGAGGCAGCTGGGACCAAAATGCAGCACAAGGCTGACCTAAACTTCCATTTGTCACACCAGAGTCCTTTCAACACTTAAAGCAGTGTCTCAGATTTGATAGGAACTCAATTTCCATTGGATATAAGGGAAAAATGTGCATTTAAAAAGGCTTAAACTCCCCTCTTCAGCTGGACTTCCTCCAGACAAGCAGCAGTGGGCTCCTCTTGCTCTTGCACTGGACTGCACTGATGTTGCCTTGTGATTTCTTCTGTCTTGCAGATGCTGGACCCTCTAAGCAGTGCTGAAAACTCGGTGTCAGGAAGCTGCCAGTCCTTGGACAGGTCAGCAGACAGGTACAAATGTACAGACTGGTAGGGATGTGTGTGCTCTGATTAAAAATACCAGTTGTACTCAGGCAAAAGTCTGCTTTCCATCTCATAATTTTTCTTGGAGAAAACAAGAACTTATTTCCTACATATCCCAATATATTTCTTAAAGAGAATTAACTCTGTCTTCAGGCTGTTTTATTTTCTGGCAAAACCACAGACCAACAAAACTGGTGCTTCAGTGGCTTTCTGTGTTAAATATTGAGTTCTAAAGTGAGCAGTCTGTGTGGAGCCAACACTCTGAGAACATCTGGCTGCAGAGGATTCAAAACTCTTTTAGACAAGGCTTTACTGGTTCACTTAAAAAATAAAATGACAAAAAAATACCCCAAATAGATCATTGAACTAGATTGCTATGTCCTGCAAGATACAGAATTAATTCCAGAGGTAAATAAGGGAGGCTCTTTCTCTGATGAAGAATTTGTCACAGTTTGATGCTCTGGGTCTTTCTCTTCCCTTTCTGTGCTGTTGGTGTGGCTTGATGGGCAGCCAGAGGTTCTCTTAACTTGAATAGCAAATGTGGCTTCCCAGCACATGCAACACTGGGCTTCAGCATGTTTTTAGAATTCCTCCAAGCTAATTCCTGGAGGTAATGTGTGCTTTTATGCCAAACTTACTCTTGCCTTCTTTCTTTACCAGTCCCTCTTTTCGGAAGTCCCGGATGTCGAGGGCCCAAAGCTTTCCTGATAACAGACAGGAGTTCTCAGGTACGTCCTGCTGCAAGGGTTGCTCTGAAAAGCCATAGAGTTGTTTGTTACCTCTTCCTAAAACCCTGCTGCTCCAGGAAAATGTTGGCATGGGAGGGTAAACTTATCTTGTGTCCTTGCCTCTCCCTGCAGACCGGGAGAATCAGATCTACGACAAGGCAGGGAAGGGTGGGACTTACCCTCGGCGCTACAACGTCTCCATGCAGCACAAGGACTACAACGATGGTGAGTTGTTGTTCTCAGACCTCCCATTCCAGGCTGGAAATACAAGGTGAGGCGATGGCATCCTCTAGGGATGAGTGTAATTCCCAGCTGAAGAGCCTGGAAGAGCCCTGGGCCTTGCAGTGAGTGCTGGAGTTGATGGTGCTGTGCATGATGCCTCATCTTCATGGAGACACTCTATGGTTTGTTTGTAATTCTTGGTTTACTTTGTAATTCTTGGTTTACTTTGTAATTCTTGGTTTACTTTGTAATTCTTGGTTTACTTTGTAATTCTCTGTTGACTTTGTGCTTTCTGGGAGTATCCAGGGTGGGCTGGGGCAGTGCACAGGGTTGTTTCCTTGGCCATATGTAGCAGGTTCCTACCTCAGGGATTCATTATTCTTTGCTAATTCACAACACAGACTTCTTTCTGGGTCTTTTAAATATAGCAGGGACTTAAAGAATGACATCTCTGCTCCTCAGATGGCTTTATGCAAATTGCCCTCTCGAAATTTCATGAGGTGCAAGTCACCATAATCTCTGTTTATGGTTTTTATTTCCAAGTCCGGGCACGTTATCTAGAAAGTCATTCTGGGAGTCGTCAGATCTTGTGTGGTACCCTGTAAACCTCACATTTGTGCTTTGGAAGGCAAGTTCACATCTTTGCACCACAGCACTGAGGACATCACAAAGTGTTCTCTGCCTTCTGCTTTGGGAATGATCCAGAGCCAAACTGAACTCAGGCAGCGTCAGCCCCGAACTGTTACATTTTTGCATCTCGTGGGGGTTTTTTTTTTTTCCTCCCTTCTCCTTGCTCTCCAACCACCACCTTCCACTTGCAAGCTTCTATTTAAAATGCCTTTTTCCCCCTTAGGCCGGAGGACTTTTCCCAGGATACGGCGTCACCAGGGGAATTTGTTCACCTTGGTCCCTTCCAGCCGCTCCCTGAGCACCAACGGGGAGAACCTGGGCCTGGCCCTGCAGTACCTGGACCCGCGGGGCCGCCTGCGCAGCGCCGACAGCGAGAACGCCCTGGGGGTGCAGGAGAGGAACATCCCCACCAAATGTGAGCGCTCCCTGACCCCCCTCAGCCAGCTCCAGACCCTACAGATGACCGTGGTTCCCACATCGTTACCTTCGTTGTGGTTTTGAGGCCGGTTTGTGTCACCTGCAGGACGTGTCGTCTTTTTCTTCTCTGTTTTCTTCTCCACGGGGAGGTGGTTTTTGCTTTAGGAAGCCTCAGAAATTCAGCTCAGAAAGTTAAAAAAAACCCCTACATTCAGTCTTTTCAGGGCTCTTTAAAACAGCCAGACAGGCTTGTTTATTTTCTTGATACATTAACATTTGTAGTCAGGCTACACTTACTTTACTGTGTAATACTGTATATATTTCACTTGCTCTTTAGTAGAAAGATTTCCTCCTGTTTTAATAGCATCCCTGAGTTGGTTCTTTGGACAACTTTCTATTATTAAAAAAAAAGAAATGGAACATAAGTCTTTACTAATGAACTTGAGATATCCCATCCAATAATTTAGGGATCAGAATGAGGAGTGTGCTTGCAACACTAAAATACCGACTGGCAGGAAATCTGATTAAATTAGACGTGGCAAAGCTAATCTCGCAGCTCTTCTGTATTTTCACACTGTCCAGATGGCTGGTTCCTGTCTTTGTTTTTGAGAGTTTCTTGTGAGATACAACAGAATTGGATGCATTGCACTGCAGGAGACTGGGAGTGTTGCTTTCCAAGTTGGGGCTGAAGCACCGGTTTTTGAGTGATGTGCTTGGGGATTTGGGGCAGTCTGGAAAACTGGCCTCGGGTATTGATCTCTGGGGTCAGGAGACTGCTGCCCATGGAATGTGAGGAGTCCTAATTCCCTGTGGATGTAACCTCCTGCTGGGGTTGGAGGTGGCTGCTTTAGCTGGGTCTGGTGTGTATTTTTATTGGAATCTGATCGTTGAGCAGCTAAAGAAGGTGCACAGGCTGTGCTAACCTTACAGCCCCAGCTTTATCACTGTCTGGTAGGGAATTATGACTTTAATTTTTCTGCTGTAGAGGGAGCTTTGCAGTGAGATCCTTCCCACAGGAGAAGGAACCTCGGGCCACCTTGGCAAAGACCTCAGAACAACGTCCTTCAGGTTGTCCCAGAAGTGTAAAACCATTCCCGGCTGGGCGGGATTGATTTACCAAGGCTGATCCAGCAGCTGGAAGATGCTCTTTAAGTGCTGAACCATCTCTTAAAGTAGTGGGTTAATAGAATCCACCTGCTGTTCTCTTTTAGCTCCAAGTGCTCCCATAAACTGGCGCCGAGGGAAGCTGCTGGGCCAGGGCGCCTTCGGCCGCGTGTATTTGTGCTATGACGTGGACACGGGCAGGGAACTCGCAGCCAAGCAGGTCCAGTTCGATCCAGAGAGCCCTGAAACGAGCAAGGTAACACTCATCTCACCTTCTAAAATCCTGCAAAATGCCCTCATCTGCTTGTCCTTAAAAACTGGAGGCTTCTTTTAGTTCCTGCGAGGGTTTCGAGTCACGTGGAGAGGAATAGGAGCCATTTAAAAAAAGTTACTTTTTTGTGTTATTAACTTCAGCCTGAAACTAAAATCCATTTTCTGGCTTCGTTTTTTGGCTCTCCCTTCTCAGCTTTCTGGTTTGTTGCCAGGTTACTTGAGGAATGGTAGACTACCCTGTGTTCCTGGTTAGACATGGATGTGAATGAAACTAAACCCAAAAAGACTAGTTGTTTTTTTTTTCAATTTTTTGAGCAAAAAAAGCTGCTTGCACTTGCAAAACCCACTTCTGGGTTTATATGGTACACCCTGTATCAAGTGTGTGAATTACCAGTTTTCACTTCTGAATTCTCCCTGTCCTTAAAACAAATTGAGCTGTGCTGTGTAAATTAATCAAGAAGAGGGATGTGACAACCCATTAGAAACAGTGGAGATGGGAAAGGGCACCTTGAAGTTATGGGATAGCTGGAATGGCTGTTGGGTTCTTGCTTGTGTTTCAACAATGTACCAGTTTCCCACTACTGAACAAATTCACTCTGAGCTGGAATAACTGATCCAGGAAGATTCAGCAAGAACTTGAGACTTTTCCTGGGCAACAAACGTCTGTGATTCCATCTGAAATTGCTGTGTGAGAAGTGAGGTTATAGCTGTGTTGTGGGTGAAGAAAATCAAGACAAGGAACAAAGTTTTTCTGGTACTAAATCCATATATGATACTGCCTTTGTTTTACACCTGTCCTTAGCTGCTGATGCTACAGTGAGGATTCATCGTGAACCACTGGCATTGTTTGCCTTTTCCAGTGCCGTGGATCAGACTTTTCAGGGCAGTGGTAGTTTCATCCTGCCGGTGGCATGACAAATTTATTAGGATGGGCTATTTCCTGGGACTGCAACCTTATTTTCTCCTGCAACATCCATAGGAAGTGAGTGCCCTGGAGTGTGAAATTCAGCTGCTGAAGAACCTCCAGCACGAGCGCATCGTCCAATATTACGGCTGCTTACGGGACCGGGCAGAGAAGACCTTGACCATCTTCATGGAGTACATGCCAGGGGTAAGAGCTGGCACAAGCAGCACGCTCATGGATCACAGAGGGAGATTTGTGGAGTTTGGTAGTTGGTTTATTAGTTACTGTGATCCCCCTGACTGTGTCATCCACCTTAAACCCTCTCAGGGCTGCTCCTTCTCATCGTGGGTTATAATGCCACCACTTTAATTTTATTTATGCCCAAGCAACCTCTTTGGTTTGGTTTTTTTTTTTTCCCTTCAGTGTCTTGTACTTGAAATACATTCTCTTTATTAATCACTAAAGCCAGTTCTTTTGTTCAGTCTAAATTTGTCCTACCAAAGTACTCCAGAGGACTTGGACCAGCTTGTAAATCATAATAACTGAATTACAGTCGTGGTCCAGCAAATGAGGCTAAAACTGACCCTGCAAAAAAAAAAAGAGACTTTGGACCTGGATCAATCTGCTGAACTGTTTTATTGCTTGTCTTCACAACCAGTTGTACCAGCATGGAGGAAGCAGACAGAACCTCCTTGAGCTATTTTTGCCATAAAACCTGTCCTTGCCTTTCTCTAAAAGGACTCCTTAGGGCGAGAAGGCTTTAGAAGAGGCCAGAACTCATTCCTGGGCTGGTTGGGTGTATAACACACCCATGGCTCGTGGGAATTGAATGGAGGCTGCAAAGATCAGTGGGTCTGTCATTTCTTTGCCAACTTTTTCTGTTTGCTTTCGGTGCAGGGGTCGGTGAAGGACCAGCTGAAGGCGTACGGAGCCCTCACGGAAAACGTCACCCGCAAATACACCCGGCAGATCCTCGAGGGGGTCTCCTACCTTCACAGCAACATGATTGTGCACAGGGACATAAAGGGTGAGATCAGCTGCTGATTGAGATGTGCCACGTGCTAAAGAAACTCTTGTAAAGAGACCAAGGGTTAAGAATTTGGTATCCTGGCTGGGGCTTCTGAATGTGGCTTTGCTCAGTTTATCCCATTTCGGTCTTACATCCACTTGTAGATTCCCATCTGATTTCATCCCAGCTTGGTGGTTGGCATTCCAGCTGCCATAAGGGCTCCATGCCTGCTCTTAGCAGTCCTGCTGACCTCAGGCCCTTGTGGCTCTCCTGCCTCCTCTGGGTGAGAAACCTCCAATCTTCCACATAAAGCCTCTGATTAGTCCTTCATCTTCCTCTTCCCAGTATAACCCCCTGGAGCCAGCCAGTCTCCTTAGGAGTGACTGTCAGCAGATGTGGCAGACACCACACAGACTTTTCTGTGCCCTGGAGGGACCAGGAGGGTTGGTGGCTGCAGGTTTCATGCAGGCATACACCAGATAATGCCAACATGGGGTCCTTGATCTCATAATAGCTTTGAAAGGAAGAATTGGTTTTGGTGTCTAAACCTCAGTTTGTGTCCACATACAAACCTAAGCTCTAAAGTTTTCTTTTTTCCCTGGTGCTTCATGTCCAGGACCTCTGACCAAGTAAAGTGAAGATTGACTTGTTTATTGTAGGAGTTCAAAGTGGTTTAATTGGCTACATCTGTTACCCAGCTGACCAGAGAGCGATGCTTGCACTCACCAAAGCAGCATCCCAATAAAATCCTTCTCTCCACAGCTCTGTTCTCTCTCAGCCTGTGGCCTGGGGGGCCCTGCAAGGCTGCCCGAGCTGTTTACAGGCGCTGTAACAATGCCGGTGCTGACTCAGCTTTCATTTCCCTCCCCCCCTTCACTTCCTCGTGTTTTTCCCTGAAGTTTTTTTTTTCCCATTTACAACCATTAGCAATTGGCTTGTCCGCAGCCTGAACTAAAGAAAATGATGTTCAGCAGTTCACCTGAGGCTTAACGGGGAAGGAACCATCCCACGAGCAGGGGTGTCTCGGGTCGGATAAGCGGATCCAACAGCTTGGATCGCGTGGAAACAGCTGCTCCTCGGCTTTTGTTTTTGTGCAGGAGCCAATATTCTCCGGGACTCTGCTGGCAACGTGAAGCTGGGGGACTTTGGGGCCAGCAAACGGCTGCAGACAATCTGCATGTCTGGGACAGGCATCCGCTCCGTCACCGGCACCCCGTACTGGATGAGCCCGGAGGTGATCAGCGGGGAAGGCTACGGCAGGAAAGCGGACGTTTGGTGAGCCTTTGGTAGATCACTTTATCTGGAACCAGGTCAATTCTGCCATCCCTAAATCCAATCTCACTCTTTTGGCTGGATCAGAAGCGGAAAGCCAAAGTGAAGTTGTTGGTTTGAACTCGAGGCTGTGCTTTGCGGTGCCAGCACCCAGCTACTCCTTTAGCTTTTCAGGAACAGCTTCCACTCGTTCCTCCCTTGAACTGACAGCTGGTTTTTTGCTCTCTGACTGGTGCAGCATTGTTATCCTTCTTATGCCTTCTCGAGGTGTCTTGTGCAGGGCCAGGAGTGGGGTTGATGATTTTTGTAGGTCCCTTCTGATGTAGGGGATTCTGTGATATCCCTTAGAAGAACAACTGAAGGTTGTTTAGGGAGAGCCCATTCATTTAGTTCTAAAATAAGTTATGCTTAAAAAGTACTGGAAATGAATAGAATTTGAGCTTAAAAGGAAAGATGCCCAAACCTGCAATAACACAAAAGATCCAGGTCAGATCAGGGATGATCTGCATGAATGGAAACTGTGGCTGTGCTATTATTGGCACAGCCAAGAAACAGCCTCTATCGGAAGAGCAGAATGGTCCTGTGCCAAAATGTTGGGTTTGGAGGCCTTAAAAAGGTGGGATTAGAAAACTAAACTGAGCAACAGCGACAAAAGGTCTGTTTGTGCCTCCACAGTAAAGCAAGGCCTGTTCCCTGAACGAGCAGGGAGTGGAAATGTCTCGTGTGGAAAGAGTTAAGCTCTGCAGACTCCTCCAGTTGGGATGCTTGGGGAGAGAGTGGAGCACGTGCCCTTCCCCCTGGGCTGATGCAGTTGTGGATTTCCTCTTGCTGCTGACATTGGTCCATTCCCATCAAAGAGTCGCTGCCGTTGGCCAGGCTCCAGTCCCTACAATCCCAACCATTATTTCGGGGGGGCAGAATTTTCCAGCTCAGTCGGTCCCAGGGTGGATGTGGATGGCCCAGGGGCTCAGAAACGTAACAGATCCATCCACCTGGCTCTGAGCCACCGCTGCAGGCCCCCTCTCCAGTCTTCTTTTTTCCTAAACAGCAGAATATGTGAGCTATTTGTTATTGCTGGAGTGACTTGACATGAAAAACATTCCTGCTGTTTGCTGAATGTCTTAAAGAAACCGGATCTGCTTAAACGGTATAAATCAGTCTAAACAATAATATATCCCTGCTTGCTTTTTGAGCAAACCCCCAGCACTTCAGCACACATGGTTTGCATTTGCTGTACTCTCTCCTCGAGTAAGTCTGAAATGGCTGAAAAACGGCGTAAAATTTTCACGTTGGATTTTTTTAAACCTTGTCAAGAAATCGGTTCTTGCATATTCCTCTTGTATTAATTCCTTCCCTTCCTTGCCTTGGCAGTTGAGGCGAGCCTGCCTCTGAAAATGTCTTTTCCTTGTTTTTCACCTCAAAATAGAGGGTTTAGTTTAAAGGTAGAGGAGGCAGTTTTGCCTTTTGAACGGGAAGATGTGATAAAAACACAGCACTGGATATTAAAAGTTCCCTGACTGCTTTTGCTTCATCCATGGCCTGGAGGAAGCAATTAATCCTTTTGGAATAAAACCCAATCACTGCAGTGCTGCAGGACCATCTTCCCTGGGAAGGGATTGGTGTCACGTTTGCCTCAGAAAGGTGGCTCAGCCATGTCCCCAGAATCGTGTTCTTGCCTTGAAGGAGCCTGCAGAGCCCCATTAACTTTCCAAGGAATTTTTCCTTTAAGGTAATGATGCATCTGTCCCACTGGGACTTGACTTACAACCTTCCCAGTTAGGAGCTGTTACAGCTTTAATTATTTTTTGACTGATGCTTGGTTTCTTGTGAAGGTATTATTAGGTTGGGTGGTTTTTTTTTTTCCCCCACGTGGGCATTCCAAGGTTGTGACTGAGGAAGGGCTTTTGCTGAAATGGCTTTGTGAGCTCTGATTTGCTTCACCTTGGTTAAAAACTCAGCAAGTCGAGCACCTGAGCAACCTTATCTAGTGGAGGGGTGTGGAACAAGGTGAGATTTAAGGTCCCTTCCAACCCAAAGCATTCTCCGATTCTGTAAATGCTTTTGATGTCCTGTCTCCTGCTAACACAAATGTTTCCTGAGAGTTTGAGCAGAGGGGAGCAGGACAGATGGCACCTCCCAGAGCCCCAGTAGGACCAGTCCCCCTGGCTCAGCACTTCCCTGCTCTCCTGGCAGCAGGGAGGGCAGCAGTGCTGGCAGCTCTGGCTCTGAGCTGGAGCACCCGTGGGGGTTTGCTGAGCACCCACCCCATTTCAGAGCCGCTCCCAGAGCTGCACCTCGCTGTTGGCTGCTTGGGAGCTCTCCCTGACTCAATCCTCACTTGTGTTTGTCCTGCCTGCTTTCCCAGGAGCCTGGGCTGCACCGTGGTGGAAATGCTGACGGAGAAACCCCCCTGGGCCGAGTACGAAGCCATGGCCGCCATCTTCAAAATCGCCACCCAACCCACCAACCCCCAGCTGCCCTCCCACATATCAGAACACTGCCGGGACTTCCTAAAGCAGATCTTTGTGGAAGCCAGGCACAGACCCTCTGCTGAAGAGCTGCTCAGACACCAGTTTGCACAGCTCCAGTACTGAATTACCTCCCTCGCTCTCCGGGCCCCGTCCGGTCTCGTCGCCACCGCCCGTCGCGGTGCCGCGTCTTCGAAACGCCGACTCGGCTGGCCTAGTCCTTTGGGGAAGTCATGCCAAGGAACTTGGGGGTCTGCTCTCGTGCCTGATTCCTTAAGTGTGCTGGACTGATGTTCATCCTGCCAACGGCTGGATTTTTTTTTTTTTTTGCCCTGACCTTGCAGCTGGATGTGACCTCCTGCAGGCCCGGGAAGGGGAAGGGGAAGAAATCTGAACCCAGGTGGGAACTGGGAGAGCTCCACTCTGCAGAACAGAAACAACCAACAGCCTCCAGAGCAGCTCTTGTCTGTTTGAATCCCTGCTTTCCAGCCAGGGGCTCCAGAGGTGTCTCCAGTCCCTGGATCCAGCCCAAAGCCATGTGTCATGGAGCATGCACTCGCTATAGTAGGATATATTTTTCTTCTTAAGTATTCAGCATCTGAAGGTGTTCACAGAAAATACTGATTCAGAAGTATGTGAATAGTGATGTTTTATAATGAGCCCATGGATTTTTGGGGTGGGGGTGAGGGAGGTCTTTCTAGCCAAATGTCAGGATAATCAGAAAAGTTTCAGCAGAGTGCAATCGCTCCGGGGCCTGAGGGAAGGACTCTCCTGCTGATGCTGGAAAATCCAGAGCTCGATTTCCAAGGCTTGATCTGCCCCAGCATTGAGGCAGTGTCAGTTTGTGTCCTCATAGCCAGCAAATCTGTGCTCCTGCTTCTCTCCCTGGGGCTGCTGGGTCCAAACAAAACCCCTCTGGGGAGGGAGTTGTGCAGAGGAGTTTCCTGCTGCATCCATCCCTCTTTCTGCCTGGTGACGTTGTGCCATCCTTTAAACCAAAGATAGTCCATCTGGTGCCCAGGAATTTCCTTCAGCCTTTCTTTGAGCACCTGACTAATGGAAAATGGAGGTTTTTTCGTGGGTAAATTAGCTGGACACTCGGTTGTTTTTTTTGTGCACAGGAAGTTGGGATCGAGCTCAGCCCTTCGGTGGGGTTTGTTTTATGGGTATGCAAGTGGTTATTTTAAGACTTCCATAAATGCCCAATTTAAATAAGCTTTTTAGGAGTTTAGTCAAACAAGGAACCAGAGAGAATATCTAAAATTACCTGGAGATCCCCACAGAGGTGCCAGCAAAACATACCCAAGTGATTTTGCTTTTGAGAGGTACCACGAGTCTGAGGAGTGAGTTCCTGATGCCCTCAAACCCTCTCAGTTGGTTTGGGCACCAATAATCTGTGTGTCACTCATAAAAGACCATCAGTTTTTAAGTGCTGAGGATTCGTGGAGTAATTCTAAGTTACCTCTGAGAAATGAAACTGAGAAAAGCAAATGTTAATTAGCTAAAATGTTGCTTTATAAGGCAACAATCAAGGTGTTCTGCTCTTGTATTGGGAACCACATTAAGGCTCCACACACCTCCACTCCTCTCCCCCATAAAAACTTGAAAATTGCTTCATAATGCAGTAAAATTAAGTTTTTAAGTGAATGCTGATGGCAGGATAAGGCAAACTTTTAATGAAACCAAGCTCCTTGAACACACGATAAATACTGTGTTGAATTTAAAAAAAAAAAAAAAAAAGGAAAAAACCCTAAAAACCCCAAACAACCAAAAGTCCTGAAAGGATTTAAGAGTCTGAAGTGTTTTTCCAGCACCTGAATATACCAAAGATTGGGATCTTGACTCGCCACCCTCCACCCTGCGGTGATGGGGACGTCTGGGGGGGTTTCTCTCTCTCTCTCTCTCTCCTTGGCTTTTCCTCACCAAACTGACACCTCCTCCCATGATTTTTTCCCTGTTATCCCACCAGGCTGTGTTCTGGGAGAGGACAGGGCATGAGGAAATGGTGTCACCTTTTTAAACCTTTTCAGAGCAGCTCAATCCTCAGGACCCGCCGTGGCTCTTTTACCTCATCCGCCTCAACGGGAGGCTGTTCCAGAGCAGAGCAAAGAGCCCCCAGGGACTGATGGCCCTTCCCTGTGCTGAGATGTGCCTACTCTGTGTGTCCCACCTATATTCCAGCCTGTAGTAAATGGAATGAAATAGCTGTCCAGTGACAGAGAACAACGGGGTGCCAGCTTGGACTTGTGTTTGGAACCCCCCTCCAGCCCAGCGTTGGGCACAGGAAGAAGCCAAAGCATTCCCTTGTCTGTTTGGAGATGCACTTTTATGAATGTAGTTTATATCGCTCTTTTTTAGCTCTTTTTACATCATGTAAACGGTGATGCCTCATACTTTTTTTTTTTTTTTTATTTATATCGTTTAAAAAAAAAAAGATCATATTTGATGATTTTTATATATATCGACTGTTACGGGGAAAGGGGGGGAAAGGGGGGTGGGGAGGGAGGGAGGAGGAGGGGAAATAAATTTTGACGCCTTTATGAATTTAAAAAGGAAAAAAAAGCAGCTGGTTTTGCAGAGAATTTGCTGATGGTTTATAACGAGTAGAAGCCAAGCCCCCAAATGCTCCTTTGTTTCCTCACAGCCCTCTGGAAAAGGAAGATCTGGAGTCCTGAGTGCTCTGCTCCGGTGAATGACTTGGGACTGATTGATCCCATGGGCAGCAAAAGAGTTGCAAGTGGACAGAAAATGTAATTCTACCTCAAACCTGAATTACATCTGGCCTCTTTATGCTGGCAGAATTGGGAAAAACTGGGAATAAAACTCGTTCAGGGGAGGGTGGAGGGAGGAGTGCCAGGCTGACAATAAGCTGTTGTGTCCACTCCAAATGTCACGTGGAGATTCCTGCTGTTCCTCCCAGGGAGGGATAATCCAGGGAATGTTGAGTTTTGGGATCCTTGATGGAAGGTGCTGCAGAAATGGAGGATATTCTGTTTGACACAGAGTCCCAGTGTCCTGAAACGGTTGAAACTGGGCAGAAAAGTGTCTGAGACTCCCATCAGAGAGGAACTCGGGGGATTTGGTTGTCCCTGAGTTTGTTAGGAAACAAACTGGTGGCATTTGGGGCTTGGTGTGACGATTCTGTGCATTCCAGGTTATCTGCTTGCTCTCCAGAAGATCTGAGCTTTGCCCGTTCTTGTGGCAGGAGGCTGCAGCAATCTGGATTTATTTCATTTTTGGAGCCATATTCCAAAGGACTTGATGCTCCAAACAGCTCCTGCTGCCGTTAATTAATTTAATTACCAACACAAATTGCCCAAGGGGGAAGCTGGTACCTGCTCAGGTGACACACAATGTTTCCAAGTGCCCAGAGCTGGCATAACTTGCCCCATAAACACCAACATTCCTGTTGTGTAAGCATGGATTTGGGTGGGCAAAGGGGAGCTGAGTGAGGTCAGAGGTGGAGAAAAGGGGATTTTATCCTCCCCATCAACGGTGCAGAGCAGGGAGAAATGGCTTTAACCTGGATTGTGCAGAAGACCCTGACCCAGTAGTCTCTATATTCCGACCGGGGGCTTGCAGTGCAAAGCCAGGCCAATGTATCGTTTTATTTACAATAAAATTATCATTTATATGAAAGCCTGTGCTGCTGGTGGTTGTTGCAGTCCGGTGTCTCTTACTTCTGTGGAAGTGGTGCCCCTCAGGGTAAGTCAACAAAGCCATTAACTGGTTTTCCTTCCCACCAGGGACCTTAAATGAAGGAGGAAGTTTTTCCTTTCTGGAGTTTCTCCCGTGGGACAGATGGAGAAATGTCCTGTTTGTGATGTCACCTCTTGGGTCAGGTGAGTGTGTGCCCTCCCCAGGGCTGTCCCTGAGCAATCTGGATGGTCTTGCATTGACTATACCAGTCATTTGGGGCAGGAGAAGCTTTGCTGTCCCTGAGAAAGGCAAGAGAATGGGGAACCACATCTCCAGAGATTTTCAGGCTCTGGTTTTTTTTCCAGCTGGGTTTTTTTGCTCTTTGATGTCACCACCACTTGAGCAGTGCCTGAGTGTCACCAGGGTCCCTGGAGGAACTGGCCTCCCCAGCCCTGACCACTGATCCTTTTCCCAGGCCATGGTTGTTGTCAGTTAAATCCTGAAATGTTTGTCCATGTGAAATGTGAACAAATCAGGATTAAGGGCTTGACCAGCTGATGCAACAGAAACCCTTCAATGAGCCAAGCACGTGTGTGGGGCTTGGGGCTGTGCCAGGACAGATGAGAACCATCAAGTGGAGTCATCCCAGAAGGAAAATGTCTGGTGGAACCAGAAATAAACCACCTCCTGACACCCTCCCTGTGTGTAAGAACCCCCAAACCCTGCCTTTGCTGAAGGAGGAACTTGGGACTTCTTTGTTACCTTCACCTGAGGAGGTTCTTCCCTCTTTTCCACCTGGGCTGTTCACTGGTGTGGGATTCACCTCTCAGCCTTGTCTGATGGTCTGGTTTTGTCCTGGACTCCCCTCCTGCTCACCCCCCTCAAAAATAAGAAGCTCCACAAGTAATTCTGCTTCCCACAGAATCCAGAGTGTGCATTCCTGGCTGGAATCTTCCCCACAGAATCCAGAGTGTGCATTCCTGGCTGGAATCTTCCCCACAGAATCTCCTGAGCTGGAAGGGACCCACGGGGATCATCGAGGCCCTGCACGGGACACCCCAAGAATCCCACCTGTCCTGTGGTGGTTGAGCAGGGACTGGGAGGGGGAAAAAAAACACCTGGAGTCTCAAAGGTAGAAATGATCAGCCCCAAAACACTGCCTAAAGCACAGAAGAAATGCAGCAAAACCCCTCGATTGCCTTTTTATTTCTTGTGATTTGTGGCCCAAGGGAAGGACTTAAGGTGAGTTCCCTCTCTCCAAATCCACTTCTGAGGCAAATGGAATTCAAATAATCTCTGCAGAGCTTGGCTGTGCTGCACTGCTGGGGCTCTCTGTGTTGGGATAGCAAAGTCTGAACCAGGAATGATGACTTCTGGGTTTAATATTGGCAGGGTGGGGGGAGAGTTGCATTATATTTTATCCAGGAAATGCTGGCACGATCCTCTCTTGTGTCACTGGTTCTGATCCCTGCCTGGTGCTCTTGGACATCTGGATGGTATGGGTGTTTATGGATTTATATGGATTCTTACTGATTCATTTTTTTTTCCCCTTCAAACAGCATTTTTTACATGAACCTGCTGGCTGGAATTCTTGTGCTCTGCCAATCTTACCCCAGATGTGGAGTCAGAACATCCCAAATCCCGGTGACTCCATCCCTGCAGATTGAACTGCTGGTCAGGGGAGGCTGAAGGGACAAAACGTGGACCTTGTGCTTAGAGATGGAGATTTGAAGGGAGAAAGTGCAGTGAGAAGTCCCTGTGAGTGCTCAGAAGGTTTTCTGTGAGTGTTATCCAGAAGTTTGCTGGGGGGGTGGAATTTGGAAAGGAGGGTTCTGCTCTCATCATAAAATCAGCTGGATTTTAGCTCAACTTTAGAGACAAAGGAACAATGTTCTGGGATTATTTTTTTTTTTTAAACTTGTCTTGCCAAAACCTCCCAGTTGGAGGCATTTTAAGCTGGACTTTCTGTAGTGCTGCTTCTGATCCCTCCGAGGAAATCTACACGGCACCTCTGGAATGTAGGGGAGGTAAGATGAGCTCAAAGCATCTCCCTGAGTGTGTCACCACTGGGGTTTCCCTGTGGGCAGTCCCTCGGGAAGCAGGAAATGCTGCTGGTCCTGAGAGGCAGGAAGAGGAACAGAGAGCTCTGCTTTCATTTTCGGGGCCGGCTTAGGAAGGAAGGGGCCGAGGAAGGGGCCCCAACCTGGCGGCATCACCAGCCCGACTGTGCTGGTCGTGTGAATCCCACCCAGGAGCCCTTTAAAAAGCCCTTAAGTACAAAAAAAAAGGGGAAAAACATGTCCAACATCAGGCTCCTGTGTGCCATCCCTTTCTCCTGTGGATGAACCATCCCCATCCCTCTCCCTCTTCCATCCTCATCTCCCCTTTCCGTGGCTGTGTCTGGGTTTTCCCAGACAGGACGTGCTCTCTGGAGCTGATGGCATCAGTCAGTGATGGAACAGGGGCTGTCATGGGCTGTTGGCTCTGCTGGGGCACTCTGAAAAGCCAAATTTCTGTAGAATTTGAAAGACATGGAAACACTTTCTCGTTCAATCTGATCTTACAAACCCGTGGGTGGAGGAAGGAGGTAAATCATTAAAACCAGACTCACCCACTTTCCCTGGTTTTCCTGCATTTGGCTCTCCCACCTGGCAGGCCTTGCTGGGCTCATCAATTTGTGTGGACTGTGCTGTCCAAAAATTGGCTATGGGGTGGATCCAGGGGGGTGCAGTTTGAAATCCTGGGTTTGCTCCCCAAAGACCTGGGGGTCCCGTGGGGGGCAGGAGCTTCTGCTCTGATCTCAGGGGGGAGAGGGGCATGAAGAGAGAATGGTTTTGGTCTGGGGGCTGCAACCCTGTTACCTCTGCCCCTTGTGGCCTGCAGGACCCCTCTGAAAAGAGGTGGATTCCCTCCTTCCCTCCCTTCCCTCACCACCTCAGTCCTATTATTACTCCCAAACACCCAGCAATAATTCCTTGATCCTGCACGGACAGAGGCTCCTTCCACATCACCTGGGCAGCCAGAGGGGGGCCTGACCACACCTCCCCACCCTCCCCAGACACCCTGGGAGCACAGGACAAGGCCGGGAAGCCTGGGAAACCTTGTATTACAAAAATAAAAGAGCGCACGGGCGCGGTGCGAGGCGGAGCCGCCGAGGGAGGCCCCGGAGCACGACGTACCAGTGGAAGGCAAATATAAAAAAGACAGACACTGTTACACAGTCGCAGGGCAGGAGGCTGAGCCACCCCAGCTGAACTGAGCTGATGCAAAGCAAAGAGCCCCCAGCAAGGCAGGATGGGGGGGATGGCAGGAGCTCTGCTGGTTAAGCCCCCAGATCATCTCCTTTTCCATGAACAGGGTTGGGGGGTCCCAGGGTGGGGAGGATGGGATGGGACAAGTGCTTTTCTGGTCTGATCTCAAGGGGCAGAGGGGCCTGAAGAGAGAAGGCTTCAGCTCAGGGGGCTGCACCCCGTCACTTCTGCCCTGTCCTGGCGACCTGCAGGACCCCTCTGAGCACCCCCAAAGCTGGGTGGCTGCCCCCTTACCCTCCCTTCCCTTCCCTTCCCTGCCCTGCCCTCCCCCAGGTCCTGCTTCCCATCAGCTCAGTTCGTGCAGCTCAGCTCGCTCGGGCTCTGCTGGGATCCAGCGGGGCGGGGCTGGCCCCGCTCAGGCCGTCTTGGTGCCGCTCTCCACCTCCTTGTGCACCCACAGCTCCTTGTGCTGCTTGCGCCCGAAGCCCTCGTCGTAGTTGCCTTTACTCTTGAAGAGCTGCTGGAAGTGGGGCTTGCAGTAGAACTCGCCGTGGAGGGCGGCGTAGCTGCCCAGGCTGCGGGGGGAGGGCAGGGTTAGACAGGAACAGGGGATCTGGGGCTTGGGGACACCAGGATGGGGCAGGGAACAGGAGGGAAAGCGCAGGAGGAGACCCTTAGGGCAAACCCCAGTGCGGGATGGTGGGGGCTGCTGTGAGCAGGTCTGTAAAGAGGGGGGATCCCCCTCTGGGAGGGGGCTCTGCCTCAGCTCCGTGTTACCCTGGGGCTGCTCTCGGGGGGAAAAGCATCTCCCCTTCCATGCCAGCTGGGATTTAGCTGAGGCTTGGGAGCAGGGGGGCAGAGAAACCTTTCTTTAGGCACCAGAGAGGAGCTCTGATATGGGAGAGGGAAGAGGAGGTGCAGTGTTTGGAAGGGTTTCCCCCAGCCAGGCCCAGCACAGCCCGGCTCACCTGAGCTTGGTGTGGCAGTGCTTGCAGCAGAAGCAGGAGTTGTGGAAGACGAACTTGTCGGCCACCAGCCGCTCCATGGGGTACACGGTTTTCTGGCAGGCAGAGCACATCTCCTTCACCTGAGCCTTCAGGCTGAACGACTGGCCAGGGGGACACCAGAGGGAGACAACGGGATCAGGAAGGGGTGTGGGATTCCCGTGCCTGGCTCCCATCACAGCTCTCTGCCCTGCTGTTTGCGCTGGCACTCCTGGAGCGTTGGTGAGAGTGAAGCAGCCTCGTGTCCCCCTCCCCAGGCCACCCCACTGATGCTGGGCTGGGTTGGTGCTTGGGCCTGGAGTTTTTGGTCCTTCTCCCCTGCCATGAATCAGTAGGATGAGGCACTGACACAGAGGAGCTGTGGCTGCCCCATCCCTGGAAGTGTCCCAGGCCAGGTTGGACGGGGCTTGGAGCAACCTGGGATAGTGGAACGTGCTTTTCCCATGGCAGGGGGTGGAACTGGGTGATCTTTAAGGTCCCTTCCCAACCCAACCCACTGTATATGATGTGATAAAATCCCGGGTACCTTGGAGCGCTGCACTGTGCTGCCTCCTGAGCTGCTCTTTGCCTCCTGAAAAGGGAAGAAGAGAAATCAAAATGAGAGCTTGGCCTTACACTGAGCTGTGCTGGAGGAGGGGAGGAGGAGTGGCACAGGCAGCTGCTCTGCAGGACCCCGGGGCACACCAGCCCCTGTCACAGCACTGTGACCGTCCCTGAACTCGCTTGCCCAGGGGCCACGACATCTGTCAGGTCCTGGTGTGTGAGTTGCTGCCTGTGCTGTGCTGCTCCTCCCAAAGAGAGATGGAAGAGAGGGAAATGCAGAAAGAGGGAAAACCACGGACATTTTGCAGAGAAGGAATGGAGCACCAGCAGCTGTGGAACCTCCAGGGGCACAGCAGCCTGTTCTCTTATCCAACAGGATCACGGCACAGCTCTGTGTGTTCCATGGCAGAGCTGTTTTGTGGTGGCAGCAGCACCCACACATGGATCCAGATGTCGCAGCATGGGCACTGCAGGGTAAGAACTGTCCCCTGCCCCTCACCACCTGCAGGCAGTGATCACTGTCCTGGACTGCCCAGTGCCACCCCCGTGCACGTCCAAAGGCTGAGGTGGCTCTACCTGTGCCCCAGGATTTCAGGGCAGGGCCTTGGTAAATGCTCCTTCGTCTGCAGCTGCAACAGCTCCTCTCTTCCCAAATCCCCCACCCTGCTCCCCTCCTCACCCTCCCCGCACCGACTGCACCTGGGAGTGTTTCCCCCACCTTTGCACTGGTGGAAATTCTCCCTCCTTCCTTCAAACTGCTGGGATCAAAGAGGCCATCACAGAGCTGGCTCACCCTCTGCACTGCTTGTTGCCAGGGTTGGGGCACTGTCACCCCACTGTCCTCGTCCTTCCCCTCACTGCTGCTTGGCTCTGCCTGACCAGTGGTGCCCCTGTCTGCCCCCAGGCTGATCCCCCACTCCCTGTTCCTCCTCCTCTGCCCTTCCCGCCGTTCCTCCTCCGTATTTTTGGCAACAGTTTGTCCGAGAGAGCCGCGCAGGAAGCTCTCCCCTGGCCCAGCTGCCTCCTCAGACGTTTCCCAGCTGCTCTCCCCGACTGAGGTCAGGGACGTGATTTTCCTCTCCCTCCCACGAGGCTGGGGGCAGGAGCCAAAGTCAGCAGTGGGACAGGGGCAGCCAGGCCGTGTAACACTGGTTGCATCCCCCGGGAGCGGCGGAACAACCGCGGGGGCTCTCCCGGGGCCGGGATTTAAACACCCTCAGCTTTAAACTCCAGGCTCAGCTGAGGCAGAGCTAAGGAAGGCGCTGCCCCTCTGGAGCTGGGACACATCCGTTCCCAAGGCTGCAGCAAACCACCTCGGCTCTGGCTCGGCACTTCTCTTCTCGGCAGCCTCCTGGCCCGGAGCAGGCTCAACATCTCTTCCCTATCTGATCGATCTCCCCTCGGGGGAAGGGCCGTATCCTGTCCCAGCAGGAGATGTTCTTGAGCCTTTATGTTTTTCCATCTCGCTGCAGTCCTAAGCAGCTCGAATGCTCTCAGTTGTGCTCACGGAAAGCCATGGAAACACAAACAAACAGAGGCAACTGGAGATGAGAGCGGGGTGAGAGCTGCGGATGGCCCCGAGCCTGAGCGTGCTCAGCGAACAGCACCTTCTGCTGGAACGTCCCTGTCCCCAGCTCTGCTGTTTGAGCAGCAGTGGCCGTGCCTTTGGTCACCCCGAGGTGTCAGGCCAGCAGCACAGCTCCTGTTCACAGCCCTCCCTCCCTGAGAACCAAAACCGGGCTGAGATTCCCACCCGAGCCGCGGGATCTACATACGTGGGTGGGGGGTGGGCTGGCGGCTCCCGCGGCCTGGAACATGGCTCCTTCCCCTCCTCCGTCTCTCTAGGCCTGAGCTTGAAGTCTGTGGGTCGATGTTCCCCCGGGGAGGTGTCTAAGACGGTCTTCTTGCAACACCTGGAAGGAAATGTTGACAGCAGCGGGGTTGGTTTCATCACCCCAAAGCTCTGCAGGACGGGGCGGGTGCTCGGCTTTCTCTGCAGGCTCAGAGCGGCCTCGTCGGTCTGGGGGGGTTCTGGAGGGAGCCAAGAGGTTGTTCAGGAACACCAGAATGGACCAACAGACAGGAGATGAGAGTCTGGAATGCTGTGATGGGAAGCTGGAGAGTTTGGGACTCTGAGCACCCTGGCCTAGTGGAAGGTGTCCCTGCCCATGGCAGGAGGGTGGAATGAGATGGACTTTAAGGTTCCTTCCAACCCAAACCAGCCTGGGATTCTGCAATCTGGGGCCCTGAGCTCAGTAGCACCAGTCCTCTAATCCCATACAAAGGTAATGCCATACAAAGATTTTGGGCTGGGATGGGAGAGGACTGCTGGGAACGTGAGCAGGAGGTGATGGGATGGCTTCTGCCCCAACCCCACACGTGGAGGCAGCAAAACCCATGCCCCCTGTTTCACTAAAGCAGCCACTAAATGACTGGTGTTGCTGGAGGAAGGACTGTGATTTCAGTCTAATTTTAGCCCAGAACAGTCTCGCTGATCACAGCTCAGCAGAGCGAGGGATGGGGATTTTGTCTCTTCCCTGGGGAACCCACGTCACCTTCAGGCTGAGCCCTGTGAGCCTCGTGTGATGTGCTGAGTGCCCTGAGGATGGGGCTGACAGGGACCAGCACTGAAAGAAAACCACCAGCACTGCAAATCGCCCCTTCTGGTAAAAAAAAAAATAGCTGAAAAGGCACTCAGGGGTTTTTCCCCCCCCGCCACACTTTACCTTCAAAACAAACACCCGTGGGAGATCAGCCCTGGTTTGCACACACAAGGTGTGGGGTTGTGCGAAGGTAGGGGCAGAGCAGGGAGGAGGAGGGGGAAGGTGCAGCTCTGCAATGATGGGGAGGAGCTGGGGGATGGAAAACCAGCACCCCCTCTCCTGCCTGAGGCTGCTCTCATCTCCTGCTGACCCCCCTCGGCCTCATATCCTCATCTCCAAAACCTCCCAAGGGCTGGGACAGACCCCGAGAGAGCCCCGAGGGCCGGGGTGGAGGGCTGGGGGTGTCTCCTCAATGCCCACCTCACTGGGACATTTGCAAACACGCCCTGGGTTTTGGAGGGCTCTTTGGCTGCCAAACAACCCACAGCAGGCTTGCAAAGCACCCAAAATTCGCGGCTGCTCTCGGAGTTGATGGACCTTTGTGTGCCAGGTCCCCGGGGGGCTGCAGAGCCCTCATCACCAACACTTTGCAGCTCATCTGAGGCACTGCTCTGTTTTACCCAGCTCATTTCCCGTCCCTCTGCGGTTTGCTTGTTATTTCCTGCTCTCCCAGCTCGCTCTCAGGCAGCTGCTGCCGAGCCCAGAGCCTGCTGGGGCCGCTCCCCAAACCCACAGCCCCTCTCTGCCCCCCGTTCCCTGGGGCAGGACCTTCCCTCCACTCCCCCGGGGTCTGCCAGGTGCCTACAGCCCAGCTCAGGCCAGAGGGGCACCTGAGGAACCCACAAAAACCCGCTGTGCCCGTCCCACACACGCCTCTGACACGGATGCACAACCCTCCTCCTTCCCACCTGCCTTTCACCTCCACCCCGACCCGTGACACGAATGTTTGTCCACCCCCTGCTCCCCTCCCTCTCCTCCCCAACCCCAGCCACGCTCTGCCCTCGGTTTTCCCACTCCTTCCATCATCCCCCATAACCTGGCCTAGTGGAAGGTGTCCCTGCCCAGGGCAGGGGGTTGGATCCAGATGAGCTTTGAGGTCCCTTCCCCAGCCCAAACCAGCTGTGACTCTGTGATAAACACTCGGTTTCTTCCACCTGCTCAGGGCAAGGTGAAAACCCCTTTGCCTTCCAACCTCCGTCCTTTCTGCCCCTCCTGGGAGCGACTGACGGCTGGTGGGGACAATAAGACCTTTCTCCAGGGGATCTGGGCTCCTGCCATCCACCCAGGGAGATGGAGCAGCTCCTGCTGGGAGCGCTGATGGCAGCACAGGGAGGTGGATCTCGGTGTGGCACCACAGCCAGCGGGATGCACTTGGTGCTTGACCTACCAGTTCTGCTGCCCAGGTCACCACCAGCAGCTGCTGCTCCTGCTCTGGGGGCTTTCTGGGTGATCTCAGTGAGCTGGTGTTTGAGCTGGGGTTGGAATTTGTCCAGCATCCAGAGGGCACACGTGCCTGCTGCCATGTGGAGCAGCTGGAGCAGCGCTCGGCTGCCTTTCAGCCCTGAGCAGGGAACAGTTTGGAGGGAGGAAGGCCAACATTCCTCCCAGAAGCCTCTCCATCACAGAGCTTTTCCCTAACAGCCCCATCCCCTCTCACCTCCCTGCCTGACACCGGGGCAGATGCAGGGACAGGGAACATCTGGTGTGGCCTCTCAAGGAAACTCCCCCATCACCACGTGCCTCCCAAGGATCGCGTTTCCCACGGCCAGGACGGGTGCAGGGAGCCTCTCCCCCCTTCCCCTCTCCAGTGGGGTCACCCTGGCTGCCCCCACTGCCCACCCAGCAGCTCCCAGTGCCCACCCAGCAGCTCCCAGTGCCCCCAGTGCCCACCCAGCAGCTCCCAGTGGGCCCCAGCCCGGCGCTGGCCGTGGCTCTCCGGCAGCCGCCGCGTTTCCTGCCTGGGGAAGCAGCGGGACTGCCAGAGGCCCCTCTCTGCCATCTGGTTCCCATTCCAGCCCTGGGAAGGGTGTGTTTCCTGCAGGGATCACTCCACCACGGCAGGGGCTTTCCCAAAGGCACAGCCTGGCGTGGGGGGGGGATCCGGGCTCCTTCCTCCTCCATCCCCCCCAGGACACGGAGTATCCCCAGGGGCTCCACACCTTGGAGGGGCTGCCAGGGGGGCTTCCCCCCAGGAAATGTGGGCAGTGGGGCTGGATGTGGGGCTGGATGTGGGGCTGGATGTGCCCAAGATCACGGGCAGGATTAGCAAAACCCACTCACCCAGGACAAGCACCGACCCTGCAGCTCCACGGCCAGCCCAGCCCGTGGTCCCTGTCAGCAGGACAGGGTGAGCAGGAGGGGAAGAGGAGAGGGAAAAACCTTTCTCCAGAGCCTGGGAATCACCCAGCTCACTGCCCATCTGCCCCTGTTTCTGCAGCCTGAGGGGTCTCACGGTTGACCCACACTATGAAACAAAAGAGTGTGAAGAGCCAGCACGGAACAGGAGAGAGCCAGAACCAGCCCAGCAGTGCCAGGGAAGGGGCACAGGGGGATGATGGAGCCAGCCCAGCGGTCACAGCTCTGGGTTTAGCCCTGCAAGCCCTTCATTCATCTCCAGCTCTTGGCTTTGAGCCAACCCACTTGACCTCCCCAATATTTGGGAGCCAGGGCAGGTCCCTGCTGGGTTGGCACAGGGTGGAGGACAGCCAAGGGAGGAATATCTGGATATTCTGGGAATATCATGAATATCACTACCCTGCTCATCCCACTCCTGGGGGGGTGGCCCTGTCCCTGCACCCCTGGGCCCAGCACACCCTTCCACCACCCCGCTCCTCTAATCCCCTTTCCAGCCACGTCCCGTGCCCGGGCTGCCTGTTGAAAGGCTGCCAGTGGGCAGGAAATCTGCAGCCCAAATGCTGAGGGATGCTGACAAGGAACAGTTGTGGGGAGGAACAGGCCTGCCTTTGTCAGGGCAACAATGGGGGAGCCCGAGGGAAGCCCCTGCCCACCCACCTTCACCCCTGCCTCGGCTGCTCTCCCCTGGGGAGGAGCTGGAAGGAACAGGGCCAGAGGGACTGGGCTGGAAGATGGACCAGGAGGGTGCTCCAGGGATTCACTGGCTCTCCAGGAGCAGAAATTGAGGCACAGGGCAGGCCATTCCTGGGATCCTGGCCATGTTTAATGGCATCCATTAAAAATCACGGTCTGATGGGAGTGCCTGCTCCCTGGGAGCTCCTGTCTCTCTAGGAGCTCAGATGGAGCAGAAAACACTGCTGGGGGGGATATGAAGAGCCTTTTCCAGGCAGAGACAAATCCTCAGTAGTGCCAGAACAAAAACTGCAGGTTGGGAGGTTCAGGCTGGACATGAGGCAGAAGAAACCTTGGAAGCTCTGCAGGGTGGCACTGATGAGGGGCAGGACAGACCTGCTGCACATAAACACAGCAGGCAAACAGCAGTTCCTGCTTCTTCCCCTCCCCTTTCCAGCTTTCCCATTATCTCTCCCATAAACCACTCTCCACCTGGTTTCCCCCATAAGTGCACATCCATTTACCATCACACATCAAGCCCCCAGTTCTTCTTCCACCACAGATTTGCCTCTCGGTGGGATTCACGAGGATAAATCACATTCCTCATCAGCCTTGCTTTTAGCAGGAGAAGCCAATCCCTTTCAAACTGTTCCCTGTCCCTGCTCTGGTGGCCTGATATGGGCAGGTGAGCTGACCTGGCCTCTCCACACTGCAGGGGATCTCAGAGCTTGGAATTCTGGTACAAAACTCCCCCTGAAAACATCTGGAGCCAGGTGTCCTCCTTCCATTTTGCTCTCTCTTTTCCCTGTCCTCTCTCCACCTAAAATAATCATTTCCTTGGGGCTCTGCCCCACGAGGTCCTGTTGTTTCACAAGTCATTTTTCATCTCTGAGGAAGGCACTGAGCCAACCTGACATGATCTGTGTTAAAAAACCACCCAGCACTTTATTCTGCTTCCCAACAGCACATCTTTGACTGCTCTTCCAAGACCTGTTCTAGGAACCAACCTTTCCTTGTGCTCCAATTAATGGGTCTGGAATTGCCTGTAATCTCCTCTTTCCTCACACACAAACCTGTAAATGTGACTTTGGCCGATTTCCTCTCGTGGAATATCACCTGTTATCCACCACACCTTGCACTGGCACTTCCTAGGGTGGGGTCCCCATCCCTGGAGGGATTTTAAAGCACTGGGGACGTGGGTCAGTGCTGGGGGAATGGTTGGACTCTGTGATCTCAGAGGGCTTTTCCAACCTTGATTTTGGGGTTGAGCCAACCCTGAGACTCCCCCCAAGAGTTTTTGCTGTTTCACCACCTGCAGGTGCAGCAAGAGCAAGAGTGAACCCCGTTCCAGGCACCCCAAAACACAGCACAGCCCCTTTCCACAGTCCCTGCCTCCACACAACCCCTACAAGAGCCGCTGTTTGCTGTCCAAATGCAGAGTGTGCAATTAAAAAAGCCACCAAAAATCGTAATTGCAGTTAAATCTCTCCGAAGACCTCTCTTTGTGAGCTGCCCTCTTTCCAGCCTTCCCCTCCATCCTTCCCCTTCGAGCATCCAGGGCCTGAAAACCCCGAGCTGGCCACATGGAGAGGGTTATGGGCGCCCCAGAGGAGCGAGAAATACGTCTAAAGTGTGCTTAACATCGATGTTGCAGTAATCCCTTCCCCCAGATTGAACCTTCTCCACCTCAGAGCTCTGGCCAACAGCGAGGTAAGCGCTGCAACCCACCCCAGATGGCTCATAAAAATGATTTAACTGGGAAGGGAAAGGCAGAAGGCACCTCTGGGGGGAAAAGCAGCTGTCTGGTGATGGCCAACAACCCTGAGAGGGAGAGAAAAGGAACATAAGAACTCCATCCCCACACGGGACCTGACGGGGAGTGGAAGCCTCACAGGACTGACCCACCAGAAGGAAACCAGAAGAGGAACTCCCTTCCCTGATGAGAAGTCTCGTGGGATTTTTGTTGACCAAAAAAGGTCAGGAACCTAGTTTTGAGCTGCCAAAAATAAAAAAGAAAAAGAAGAAGAAGATGCATCCAGTCCCTTTGCAAAGCCCAAGGGGTTGGTTCTGACCGGCCCTCGCTTCAGAACCGGGAATTTGCCTCTCCCGTTTAAAAAGGACATCGGCACTGGGGCTGCCTCAGACCAAGCTTGGTCTCTTGCCCCGCAATTGTTTTGTGATCTGTGTTAATAATTCTGCAGATGTGCTTGCTGCTCCTGGCCCTAAATGCACGAGGGCTCAGCTGAGGCACCAGATGTCTGCCCTGCGAGAGCCCTCACACGACGCCTTCGGTGGACAAAGCGCAGTTTTCAAGGCTGAATTATCACGTTTGGTTTTTTTTTGGAAACTGGTGGCCACCCCCCCGAACAAAAATCAGCAGAAAATGGGATCTACAAGGTAGCTTAGCTGGTTTCAAGTGATCCAAGGGGATTAAGGCTCAAAACACGATAGTTACAGCACCAAACTGGGCTTGATTCCCAACTCTGCTGCTAATTTTTTGGGTGGCAGTGGACAATTAATTTCATTTTTTCTGTTCCCTTTTCTCCCTCCCCTCTCCCCTCCCCAGTGAAAACAGAGCTGCTCTCCTTTGTGAAGCCCTGGGAGATCCCTGCCTGTTAAGGGTTATGTCAGAGCTTGGGGCATTTGTGTTGTTATTAAATCTCACAGTCATGCAACAGCCTCCCCAGGGAAGTGATGAAAGACCTGTCGCTGGAAAGGTTTAAATCCAGGCTGGAGGAGGCGGTAGGAGACACACCACCGGGAATTAGCAGGCATTAACCAAGGGGGGGATGAGGCAGTCGGGATCTAACAGGTTTTTCTTCCATCTCTACTCTTTCTGATCAGCTTAATAAAATGGATCTGTCCAGCCCGTACTGCAGCGCACAACAAAGAGCGAATTACAGCCCGAATGGGGAGGGGAAGCCCCCAGATTTGCACCCCCGGACACCCCTGGCAGCGGATCCAGCCAGCACAGGCCTGTGCTCGATCCGGAGGGGACCAGCCCCTCGCCCCCCCGGCTCACACCGGGCACGGGGGGCTCGCCCCCCCTCCCACAGCATCGCCCCCCAACAGGAGCTCCGGCAGCGCCTCTTTGCCCCCACCTGACCCCGGCCTAGAACAGCCCCCCCCACCTTGAGACCCCCCCATCAAACCTTCCTCCAGCGACCACCTCGGCCGAGCCTCCTCCCAGAGCGGAAAGTTCCCGGTGCGCCCGGATGGTTCCTCCTCCTCCCGGGGGTCGAGGGGAGGGGGGGATGAACCCCCCGTCTCCCGCTTGGCTCCAGCGGTGCCGCTTCCCGGGGTTCTCTCGCTGCCTTTGCATCCCTCCCTCCCTCCTCTCCATCCCTTTCTCCCCGGCCTCCCGCCCATCGTTCTTATCCCCCGCCAGCTCTCCCACCCCCCGAACCCCCCGCGGTGGGGATGGATGGATGGATGGATGGATGGATGAACCCCCCACATTTCCAGGGACCATCATTGTCTCTCCCGCCGCCGCCTGCCCATCCCGTTGTTCTCCCGCAGCTCACCATGCGCCTTGGGGGGATGCCGAGCGGGGGGCTCAGGGAGGGTCCGTGCCGGTGCCGGATCTTTGGCCGCCCCTCTCCCGCCTCAGGGGCCGGGGCTGTGGGAGCGGGAGCCGCTTCCTGCGCTGCCTCCGCCGCCTCGCAGCGCTTTTTATCGCGGGGCCGCGCCAGCGATTGGCTCCCGGCGCCCAAGCGTCTTCAGCCGCTCGCTCCTTTGTGTGCAGCCAAGCTCGAACCCCAAACCTTCCCCAGCCCCTCTCTCCTCCTCCTCCTCCTCCCCCCAGCTCCCCCTGCCCCGACCCCCGCAGCCCCTCCCCGGCTCAGCGCTGCCGACCCCACGAGGGTCTCTTCCCGCTCTCTGGCGGAGTGGGTGTAATTACCCCACACACACACATCGTAATTAGCTTTTCCATCCTCTCCCCCTCCCTCCTGACTGGCTTCGCTCCAGACTTTGGAAGCGGCCTCGGGCTCACCCACCCGCTCATGGAAGGTTTCCCCCAAGCATCCCAAAGGATCCGTCCCCTCAGGGGTCGGTGAAAGCCGAATTTCCCCTCCCCAACACACGCTCCTCAACAAACTGTTTGCAGAGGGAGAATCTTATCAGGCAGCTGCAGAAAGGGGAATCCCGTTGCTCCCCACTCTTCACCTCCCGGGGGGAGCAGAGCTGGGCGGTGATAGCTCCAGAAATCCAGGTTTTATTCCACGGATCGCCGGTGAGCGGGGCGTGGGAGCTGTGGGTGATGGATCTGCCAGGGCAGGGGCTCACGGGGCGAGCAAAAGCGCTGCTCGGACAGTGAAGGAGGCTTCCCCCGGGGTTTGGAGGGCTGGGATTTCCCCGGGAACGAGGTAAAACATCAGGAATAAATAAGTTAAATATTAATAGTTAAATCCTGGAGGGAACTCAGAGGTGGTTTCAGGGAGGTAAGGAAGCCAGGATGGACCTGAGGCAGCAGGAACCTTGAGGGCTTCACCTTAAACCTCCCAACCCCCCTCAGAGGGGGATCCAAGAAGGAAAATACGCGGTGGAGAGGTGGGAACAGCTTTGATAATGATGATGCAGGAGCAAATATTCCTGTTTGGCTCCGGGACACAGTGTGGAAAGAGCCAAACGCCGGCTGGAGGTGGCCCAAAGTCTGAGCCCAGGGGCAGAGCCAGGTGCTCCGTGTGCGCTTTGCCTGCAACTCCCCGTACAAAAAAAAAAAGCACAATTGGGGAATTTCTGGCAGTGTTTACCGGGCAAGGAGGCAGCAGGGATGTGATTTACCAGCTCCGTCACTCTGCATTGCCCAAATAGCACACACACGTGTCGGACACACACGCACACGCACATACACACACATGTACACATACACATGTTCACACACATGTTCACACACACACGTGCACACTCACCCCCCCGGATGGGCCGTGCCAGGGCACACCCCCTGTCCTGTGCAGGCCCCTGGTCCGGGGTCCCCCCCGTGCCCACCCGAGGGGTCCGGGGGGCGCTGGGACCCGGCGGCGTCCCCGTTGCCATGGAAACCCGCCGGGCCCGCGGGAGCCGGCGGGGAAATGCGGAAAAACCACCCCGGCTGCCGGGCTCGGGGGCCACGGGGAGGAGCAGGGGGGGTGCAAGGAGGGATCGGGGATCGAGGATTGGGATCGGGGAGCGGTCCAAGGACCCCGGCCCAGCCTGGCGCCCCCCGGGGCCCTGCGCCCTCCGGGCCCGCAGGGGGCGCTGCCCGCGCCGGTCACCCCCCGTGCCGCTCTATCCGCCAGCCCGCAGTGTCGGTGGCACATGATGGCGGAGGAGAGCGGAGTCTGCAGCTTCGTGTTCAAGAAGCGGGTCCGGGCCGCGGGCAGGGGACGGAGGAAGCGGCCCGGCAGCGACCAGGAGCAGGGTGAGCGCTGGGGGCACCCCGGGGGCGCGGGGAGCCGGGCCGGGCAGCGCCGGTGCGCTGGGGAGGCGAGGCAGAGCCTGGTGCCGCCCCCAGCGCTGCCCACACGGAGGGGCCCGGCCGCCCTCCTCAGTCTGTGTCCGTGTGGAACAGGGGGAGAAAAGGACCCCTGGGGCTGTGTCAGGGCAGGTCAGGTTGGATCTCAGGGAAAGGTTCTTCCCCAGAGGGTGGTTGGCACTGAACAGGCTCCCCAGGGTGATGGGCACAGCCCCAAGGCTGCCAGAGCTCCAGGAGGGTTTGGACAACGCTCTGAGGGACAGGGGGGGATTGTTGGGGTGTCTGTGCAGAGCCCGAAGTTGGACTGGACGATCCTTGTGGGTCCCCCCAGCTCAGGACGTTTATTCGGTGTGGTTCTGGTGCCGGGGGGGTGAAGGGCCCTGCCTGGGGGAGGCAGAGCCTGAGGCCGGGCTGTGCCCGCAGGGAGCAGCGGGGACGAGGAGGCCAGCGCGGTGGTGAGGAAGGAGCGGCGGCGGGAGACGCCCAACCCCATGATCCAGAAGGTAAGGGGAGCGCCCAGGGGGCACGGCAGGGCCTGCCAGACCCAGTGCTGGGCCCTTCCACCCCCAGTGCCTGCCCTGTCGCCCCTCAGACCCGCAGGTGCCCCAGGGACAGGCCGGAGTACGCCCCGAGCAGCAGCGAGGACGAGGACCCTGCCAAGGACATCGGGGTCACCTACAGATCCACCAGGTCGGCGGTAAGGACGGGCTGAGGGGGTGCTGGGCTGTCACCTCACACTTGAGAGAGAGGATTTGGGAGCGTGGGAGCAGCCATTCCCTCTTTTTTTACCTCTGGATATCTTTATCTCAGCAGCCAAGCACAGCGTGGTGGGTTTGTTCTGACAGTCCCTCCTTCCACTGGGGGCCATCAGAGGTCGGCCCTTCCCTCCTGGAGGTGGGAATTGAAACCCCAGGATGCCACTGGACTTGCCCAACGTTGCACGGAATTTTCAGGAGAGGGAGCACTTGGCTCAGCTTTGCCCAGCTGTTGGGTTTGTGTGTTCAGTGTTGGGCCTCCTTCCTTCCCAGGGAACTCGAGGTGACGTAGGAGGTGCTCCCATCTTTGTCCCTGTGACTCCTGGTGGAGTAAGAGCTGCAGAGAGGTCACTGCTTTCTTGGGGTTGATGGGTGAGGTATCCTGGTCTCCAGCGGGGCTGGAGAGAAATCAGCTCTGAAGTTTGGGCACAAATTGCCCTCCTCAGTAGATTTTACTCTTGGTTCCCTCTTGATCCAGTGACGTTTTGCCCATCAGCATCAGCCTGGGCAGGGTATCAGCAGGATTAGAAGAAGGTATCCATATATGTTCCTCCTCACAGCTCTTTCCTTACTGTGTGTTCTCTGTGTAAATGGGAATAATTCCTGGCTGTCCTCAGGTCTCCTTGTCACATTAGAGGCAAATATGAAAATAACCTCCTGCTGTGATTATTCACTGCTTTAGCTGCTCCCAGAGGGCTCCTTGTTTGCCCTCCTTGCTGGAGAGAATGGGAAGGCACAAGAGGAGGTGACAGCTTTGATCTCCAGAAGCTTCTGGAGGGTTGGATTTGTGTTTAATGGAGGCTGGCTGTAATTATTCTTTGGTTTCTGTGCAGCTGTTCCTGAAGATCTGATAAGACCTAGGAGGAGGTGTCTGGTTCAGTCCATTAAAGAGGAATCTAAACCAGATCACTGCGTTAAAAGTGAATTTGGGCCGCCCCCAGCCGGGTCAGAAGTTCAGATGTGCCATCCCCTGTGTGGGTAGGATGGTCCCATGGTTGAAGGGTTGGACGTGGCAGAGCTGAGTGCAGCTTCCAGCTGAGCTGGGGCTGCAAAAGGAGTAAAATGAGGCCAAGTGTTTCCTGACTGCAGCCTAAAGTTTGGGAGCAGTGGGGAATTGGCCTCCAGCCCATGGGGGATTCTCCTGGGCAGGTGCCCAGGGATGGCAGAAACCGATAGAAGGTAAATCAGGTGTGTGCAGTTCTTGCTCCTTGACATCCCTGCAGGTAGCCAGGGAGCTCCCAGACTTGGCCAGGTTTTCCCTCCGCTCTTGTCCCAAGTTTTCCTTGCTTTTCAGAAACCTGTGGGCCCAGAAGACATGGGAGCCACAGCAGTGTACGAGCTGGACACGGAGAAGGAGAAGGACGCCCAGGCCATCTTCGAGCGCAGCCAGAAAATCCAGGAGGTGAGTCAGCCTTGCTCTGAGGGGCTGGTGCTCTGCAGCAGGACTTTTACTCATCCCCTTCTGCACACCAGCAAGAGTTGGAGTCTCTGCTTCCCCGGGAAGTTGAAAAACCAGGAGTGCAACCCTTGCAAAGAGGGGAGTTCTGTGGTTTTGTTGGCATCTTGGTGTTAAGGAGGGTAGGGCGGGAAGGGAGAGTGAGGAAAGCTGATGAGTGCCATGAAGCTCTCCTGATCCTTTATCTTTTTGCTCTCCCAGGAGCTGAGAGGAAAGGAAGATGATAAAATTTACCGTGGCATTAACAACTACCAGAAGTACGTGAAGCCCAAGGACACGTCCATGGGAAATGCCTCTTCAGGAATGGTCAGGTGGGTTGGGATGAGCCTGGGGGAACTGGGACCATCCCAAAGGCACCTCTTTGGGGCTTCAACTTTGCTGTCACTGCCGGTTTCTGTCTGTCTGGCAGGGCTGGTGTCTGGTTCTGGCCAGGCCCTGCTCCAGGGCTGCTGTGCAGGGACCCTGAGCCCTCTCCCTCCTTCCAGGAAAGGCCCCATCCGTGCTCCGGAGCACCTTCGGGCCACGGTGCGGTGGGACTACCAGCCTGATATCTGCAAGGACTACAAGGAGACGGGGTTCTGTGGCTTTGGGGGTGAGTGGGTCGTCCCTGCAGCTGGAACAGTGCTGCAGCAGGTCTGCAAAGGGATCCAGTCCAGCTGTGAGCCCCTTTTGTGGTGCTGAGACCCACAGTGGGAGTCCTGGGATTCCCACAGGTATGTGGGTCCACTGAGGCCACGGGAGGGATGGGGTTTCCCGTTCCTTATCCCACTTCCCACGTGTGTGACTGCTGGCACTGTCCCTGTGGCACACGGAGGGTGATCCCATACCTGCTCCAGGAGCTTGGCACTGCCCTGGAGCAGGGAATAACCGAGGTTCACCTGCTGGGCAGAGCTCAGGAATGAGGTGTGCTGGTAACAAACTATGCCCTCCCAGCCTGGCTGGTAATTTCTCTTCTCCCTGTGCTGCTCAGACAGCTGCAAGTTCCTGCACGACCGCTCGGACTACAAGCACGGCTGGCAGATCGAGCGGGAGCTGGACGAGGGGCGCTACGGGGTCAACGGTACGGCACCCCTGGGGGGAGGAGGACACCACATCCTGCCTTTTATCATGGATTTCTGGCCAGTATTAATCCAGCCCGGGGGGTGTGCAGTGTGGACAGCAAAGGGCTCGTTATTCCCAAGCTGTGGAACTCCCTGCTGCGGGATAAGCTTGGCTTTGCTGCTTTCGGACAGCCACTGACCCCACTCAGGAGGGGGATTTCCCCTGTGGCTCTGTGACAGGAGAGCCCTGCTGTTGAGTGGGTTTGTGGAGCTGGAGCTGTCCCACAGATGCCCAGGGGCTGTGACTGTTCCCTTTTCTCACTCAGTGGCCCAGGTTGGTGAGGGTTGTTGTGCAGCTGGGGGGGAGGAGGGTGCTCTCTCTTCAGTTGGAGCCAGAGTTTTGGTGGCAGCTGGTTTGGAAGAAAGTCTGAAAACCATGAGGGGGCTGGAGGATGTTTCTCTTTATAGCAGTGAGTGGGTGAGGGAGAAAAGAATTTGCTCTTGTGAGATGAGCACCAGGCCCGCTGGCTCATTAGTCCTAATTATAGCCCAGGCCCACATGTGTGACTGCCATCAGCAACTCCCAGATGCCAGAACTCCATTGTTTCCAGCACAGATTCAGTCCCACCTGCTGTGCCATCCCCATCTTTAATATTCCATGCCCCACACATGGGCTGGGCTGGGCTGGCTGCTCTTGCTCTGCTCTGGTTCACTCTCTCTTCTGCAGACGAGGAGAACTACGAGGTGAGCAGCGATGAGGAGGACATGCCTTTCAAATGCTTCATCTGCAGAGGTTCCTTCAAGAACCCCGTGGTCACCAAGTGAGTGGTGGTTTGGAGCTGTGTCTGCTGTGGATTCAGCCCCATGAGTTGAGGCAAACACTGCCCACAGGCTGGGGGTGGAACCTGCTTGTTGTCTGCCATGGCTTTCTGGTGGGTGGGGAGTCCTCTGAGAACCAGGGAGCCTCAGCTGCATCTGGAGCATCCCCTTGGAAGGGATCTCAAGCCCCTGTTCAGGCACTTTTAGATTTTCACAGATGCTGACTCGTTACACAGTATTTCCCCTCAGCCTTGGGATTTTGTCATGCCTTCATTCCTCCTGGAATGGCAGAGAAATGGGGGCATGGGGAAGCCAAGAGCTTGGTGAGGAGGAGGAGGAGGCTGAGGGCAGCCCTCTCCCACACTGCTGGCTGTCCCGGTGCCTGTGTCAGAACAGGTCACTGGTGTCTGTGTGCAGGGGAAGCTCTGCCTGCAGCTCCCTTTTGCCTCCCCTGGGCACCAGCAGTCTAATTCCTGCCTCCAGCCCCGGGTGACTGTGTGTGGTGATGGCTTGCAGTGAGCCCTGTGTGTCCCTCCAGGTGCAGGCACTACTTCTGTGAGAGCTGTGCCCTCCAGCACTACCGCAAATCCCAGCGCTGCTACGTCTGTGACAAACAAACCAACGGGGTCTTCAACCCTGCAAAAGGTACCACCCACCTGGGGAGGGAGAGACACCAGCTCCTCAGGGACCTTCCTGGTGCTGGGCCTGGAGCTCAGAGCTCTTGGCTGCCAGCAGAGCTTTGTTAGTGCCAGGAGAGATTAAATCCTGGCCTGGGAGGGTCTGGGGGGAATTCAGGGAGTGAGTTCTGCAGAGAAGGGGATGTGCCAGGGGAGCAGCTTGTGCCATCAGTAATGCAGTGATGGACTAACAGCTCATCCTGCCTGTTCCTGTTTTCCAGAGCTCATGGCAAAACTGGAAAAACACAAAGGGGAGGAAGAGGAGGAGCAGCAGTCGGACCACAGCGAGGATCCGCAGTAGCAGAGCAGCCTGTTTTGTAAATAATTGAATAAAGTTTTTGTAGGAGAAAAAAAACTAAACACCCTCCCAGGTGGAGCCAGGGGTTGTGTATCCAACAGTGTCCACCTGTACTGGACCTCTTGTTCACTGCTCTGGCAGAACAGGTAAGGTCAGACTCAGAGCTGTGGTGATCCTGCTGCTGTGTAAGCATAAAACTACCCAAGTTAGTTTAAATCCATAATCTCTGAGCATGGAGCAAAGCTGCAAACAGGGACAGGGAGGAGAAATATGAACTGGCATGAAGTTCATCCTTCACCCTAAAAATGCCAGCTCAGGGGAAAAGAGGCTGCAGCACTGCAGCTATTGGGGATTTATGCCCTCCTGTCTTGGTTATTAGAGCTCATGAGGGATGGAACACACCTCTTGAATCAGCCCTGTTTGTGAGAAAACCCAGCCCCAACCATCATTCACTCAGCCCCAAAAGGTTTCCTGGCAAGTGATACTGTGCTTTTTCTGACTTTAAGTAGCAGGGCTTCAGTCCTGCTAAGGAGTTTTACAAACTGCAGACTTCATAGCAAACCAAGAAATGAAGATCCACTTACCCTAACAAGATTAAATCAGGAGACAAACCTGATCCTGGGGAGGAAATGGCCTGAGCTTACAAACACCCCTGTGCTGGGAGAAGGGTTTCACTGAAGGTTTCAGAAAAGAGCAAGTGCAGGTGTTTGCAGCTTCTTGATTTCGCTGAATTATGTCTCTGAAACATGAAGGCAGCTGCAGTGAACTGGTGACCTGTATGAAGATAAGAGCAAGTATGCACAGCCAGCCTGTGCCACCCTCTGATTCACTCCCATCATCCTGCAGAAACAGCAGACTTAAAAAAACAAAACAACATCAGAAATGTTTTATTTGTTTTTTGGCAAAAAAACTAGAGTAACAAACTTTTTTCTGGGTTCAAGTACAGTTTATAAACACAAGGAGGACCTGTTGCCAGCACCACTCCTGCCATCGACGGCACCTCCACGGGGATTCTCAGTGCTGCAGTGAAGAGCAGACGACCTCCAGCACCGGTGGTCCTTGGAAAAGTCAAACTAAAAGCTTTAAATACACCTCCAAAAAAAACACCCCCCAAATGCTGTGGGATGGGGGAAGGGCAGAGTCACACAGGCAGGAATCACAGGGAGCCACGTGAGCAGCTCTGACCTGTCAGTCAGTCAGGGAAGGCAGAAGAGCAGTGGTAAGGGAAGGGTGAAGTTCAGTGCTGTACAGGAGTCATCAGCAAGAGGATTTAGCAGGAAAATCAACTTACTTTTCCTCTCTGCCAGGGTAAATCACTGAGAACAAGCTGGTAAGAGGGCTGTGTGCTGTGAAACCAGCCCAGATAGCATGAGGTTCAACTGGCTGGGGATAAAACGGCTGGTTCGTGGTCCAGGCATCCACTGCTCTGGTGACATGGGCAGCTGGGAGGGGAGGCTGGAAGGTCCTGTCTGACCTGGAGTTCAGAGTGCTCACCATTGAGAGAGGGGTCTTCAAAAGCCCTGTCCAGAACTGGCACAGCTCAGTGCTGCAGAGGAATGCCCAGTGCAGCAAGAGTGCCTGGAATGGCACCGGCTTGGCTTTGATCTCCCATTTTCCATCACAAAGCAGTAACTTAAGAACATAATCCCTTTGTGTCCCCATCAAAACTTGTCCTGTGGCAACAGGAATCTGACTAGTTCTAAGAGAATGCCCAAAACTAAGAGCTGCCCACCTCCCCTCAACTCTAAGGCACCCTTGAAAGAGAAAGAACCACAGAGGGTAGGGACATGCAGCCTCAGCTGTGATAAGAGGAAGCCAGTGATTTTTAGAAACACATAAATAGAGACTACACAAACTCAACCCCCTCAAGTGATCTACCGGTGCTCAGCCACAAGGCTGGGGGCTCTGGGCACTGCACCATCTGGAATACTCCACAGTTCCCTGGGTTGATGCTTTCCCAGCTCAGGTCTGTCCATGTTTCCAGGCTACTTCTCAAGTAAACAGGCAGATGAAGTTCCTTCCCAAGGACCTGTAAACTCCTGTGTGTAACATTCCTCAGCTTTTATGAGCAGGACCAATAAATAACAGTGCCCAGAGAGCTCCTCCAGAACTCGAGTGTCGTCCCTGTTCTTCTAGAACTCCCAGTCATCCACATCCAGCTGCTCCAGATTTGACACCAACCCAAAGATGCCACTGGGATCCTGGGGCTGTGTCCCTTCCAGGTTGGTGATGGGGGTGACGGGGCGCAGGAGTTCGGGGAGTGCTTCGGACGCGCGGCGCTTGATCTGCACAGAGCGGAGAGAACCCCCCTGCTCGGGTGCTGCTCCTCACCCAGGCAGCAACACCCGCCAGGAAACGCATCCCTCGCTCATCTGGACCAGCTCAGAACTGCCCACACCCCAGAACTCAACAGCCTGTGGGGGAAGTGCTGATGTAGCACGTGGGACAGGCAGATGGACAAGCCCTGTTAGGTAAGAGACGCTTCAGCAACAGCCCGTGCGTGCCCCAGGGATCACCACCCTGCACTGCAGCCACCAACCTGAGTCCTTCAGATCAGAGAATCCAGCAACTCAACAGGCCCACCCTCGGGTTCAGTGGCACAGCAAGACAACTGCAGATAAATTAGTTCCTTACCTGCTTGAAGAAGGGGTGACTGAGCAGGGTGCCTGCGCTTGGCCTGCAGAAGGGAGGGACAATCAAGTAAGCACACAAGAAAATGTGGCAGTCTTTGATCAGGGAGTAGAAAAAAGAACAGACCAGTCCTTCCTGCCTCTCCCACTTCTATTTCTTTTGGCACCAGTAGCACAGTTATTAAGTATTTAATATCACATAATGGATTATGTGAGGTGAGTTCAACCTTCTTTCTAACCTTCCAGTTACCTACTTGCTCCCCCTGACCTCTGGCCAAGGACAGTTTCTGAGCAGTGGGACATGCCAGAGAAGTCTGTCATGGCTACAGATCACCCTGCCCTCACTACAGAGGAAAATGCAGCTCTTGATCCCTTCCTATCATTATTCTCTGCTGGCTGAAGAGCAGAGTGATGGGAACTGGGTAAAAATGGTCTTACAGGGGCCAGAAACTCAAGTTGTTCACTTTGTTTTCTTGATGTGCAGCACCATTCCAGTCCCCAAAGAAGGGTGTCAAGGAATCCTTTCTCCTAGAAAGTGCTCCAAGTGTTAACACTGCTCTGTTTTATGTACTTGGACTGCTCTCCTCGGTGGACAGAGCACAACTTTGGGAAATAACCCTCTGAACTTTGCTGCCTCCCACAGCTCAAGCAGGTGTGAAGAGCAGCTTTGCCCTGGCTTTACCTGAAGTCGGGGTTCCTCTGCAGGCACTGCTCCACAAAGTTATGGAAGTAGGTGGAGAAGGTGCGCAGATAGGGGTGCAGGGCCGGCTCCCCGTTGGCCGCTCGCGCGTTGCCCACGGCCGTGCTCTCGCCCATCCCGTAATTAGCGCTGGAACGGGAGGTCTTCATAGTCAACTCATCAGCAGGGATTGTGGTGGTGTCCAGCAGGCAGGGGACGGTTCCGTTCAGCTTTTCCAAGAGCATCTGGAAGAGCGGGGCACAAGCAACTGTCACACACGCAGGAAGCGAGACAGCTGAGACTCCCCCACTCCCACAGGCACAGCACCCATCACTCTTCACAGCCCAGCCGAGCACTCCACGTGCCAGGATACAGGATGGGAAAGGAGCAGCTGCCAAAGCAAACCTTACCTGAGTGGAAGGCATGTCTTTGAACGGGACGTGGCCGTTTGCCAGCTCACAGGCCGTTATCCCCACGCTGTAAATGTCGGATTTTGCATCGTAACCCTGGAGGTTCTGCGTGAAAAGGGGAAAAGGAAAATCAGCCCTGGGGACTTGACTGGGCAGTCCCCGTGATTTGGTGTGCAAGGCAGCAAACCCAGAGGATCAGCAGGAATAGGACAGCCCACAGATAGACTGGTGGGCTGTGGTGGGGTGGTTTGGATTGTTAAGGCACACAGTTAAGGGCAACATTTGTGCAACTGCAACCAGCCAGCCAGTAGGGATGGCATCTGCCTTGGGGTAACTGGCACCTGATGTGACACTTTGCTAATGAGACAATCTGTAGAGGTACCTAAAATAAACCACTTGTTTTGAGGCAAAAAGGACAGAAAAAAAAGGATAGAGCTCATCCCAAGAAAAAGTGACTCTGGGGGTTTTGTCATGTCCCCCCCCTCACACCTCCTGAAGGTGCCCTAAGAACTCAGAACATCACACAGATACCACAGATCACTAAACACAAGCAGGGTTTTTTAAACACACCTGCTGCAAGACCTCAGGGCTGAGCCAAGGCAGCACTTTGATGCTGTATTTGGGGAAGTCATGAACGACTTTGAGTCGCTGCCCGTGGTTGATCATACTCAGGTTACTCCTCAGGCCAGACAGGTACACCTTCCCATCCACAGAGATCAGGATGTGGCTGGCTTTAACACTCCTGGGAAAAGAAGGGAAGAACAGTCAGGTTCCCTGCCTTTATTCACTGGGCAGGGAATTCACAGGACAACAGCTGATCAGCCCCCTCCCAGGACACTGAGACTCCTAAACCACCACCTGGCACCACTTCTACAAACATTAACAGGACTCTCTTCACCTCCTCTGCACGTTCCCAAAGAATGTTTCTGTGGCAGGGAGAAATGCAGGACTAAAGCTTATGGATTGGGATTTCAGGATAAGTCTGTTCCACAGTGACACTTCCCTGCAGCTTGGTAAGGCCAGTGATATCACCTCCCATGAGTATCCAACTGATCTGCTCCAACAGCAAAGTAATACAAAGCTGAATGTGTCCAGTGCCTCCTGAATCATCCTCTCTGCTCTACTCTGAGCAGTTATTTCCAAGACATTCCAAAAGAAGGGAAATGGATCAATTTATTTTTTTTAATACCTGTGTACATAGCCCATGTGGTGGATGTAGTCAAGTGCTTTCAGTACACCTTGGAGGATATATGCAATGGCCAGTTCACTCATCCCATCCATAAAATGGGTACAGATTAAATCCTTTGCAGAGCCTGAAAAGAAACAAAACACCACCTGTCAGAACAAAAGCCCCAAGGATCCCTCCTCTCTTCCATTTCTTTTCATTTCACACAGTCAGGCAAAGGTACCCCCTCTCCACCTACCATAGGCCATGAAAGATGTCACAACCCACAGCTCGTTGTCAGCTATGAAAGTTGCTTTGTATGGCACGATGTTCGGGTGGTTGAAGAGCTTGGAAACGTGAAGTTCCCCCTGAAATAATAATAAAAAATAAAAAAAATATGTTTAGATTAGGTTTAGTAAATGCAGAAACGTGACTGCAGTAGTGATAAGCACAGCTCTGGCTGTCTCTGTCCTCTCCTCAGCTTGGGGTTACCTGCAGGAACGTGACCATCTCGTTGGTGCAGGCCTCCAGGTTCACCCTCCTGACGGTGACGTACTCTCCGGTGGGTTTGTACCTGGCCAGGTTCACAACCATCAGGTCTTCAAAGCCTCTGCCTGAAAGGAAAGGCATTAAAGCTTCAGCAGCACTGCTGGAACCACAGCCCTCTGCACAACTCCTCCGGCCATTGACCCTTCAATCACATTTACACTCATTTACCGAAGCTATTTCTGGCCTCATGAAAAGGAGTAATGGTTCCATCAGATACCACTTTCCTTGGCAGGCACCCCACCGAGAGGAATCCTCCCAGCCAGTAATATTATCCTGTCCTTCAAAGTCAAGACTGAGGTAGAAATAAAGTGATTTAAGACCACCAAGGACAGGTTTCAGGCTGGTTTTGCTGACTGAACTGCACCCCCAGTATCACTAACCCGCCTCCCAGTTGAAAACCTTTAGGACTGGTTTTCAACCAGTGAGTTCAAAAACCAAAGATGACAGACACCCAACGTCAAAAATAAGCAATCAGTCAAGAAAAGGCCAACAATCTGTCCAGGTTGGTTTTACCTATGATAGTGAGCAACTCGTAGCAGCTGCTGTCTGGCAGGAAGTTGCTCATGGTGTCCCTTTTAGGGGAAGGAGCTATCGACTCGGAGCTCGCCTCATTGGTCTGGGGGCAAAAAAAGAAGGAAGTCAGGTCAAAAGAAAGAAAGATCACCTGCTGGAAAAATCATCTGTGCCTTATGTCACCACACACCTCAAAACAGTGGCAGTACTGAATGCAGAAGAGGATTTAATTGCTGTTACAATACTCTTTAATAGTCATTTATCAATTGGAATTCAGGAGATGCCTCATTTCAGAAGATCCAGACAGCTATGTTACAAAACAAGTAGCAGGTTGGTTGTTAATCACTGTAAGCCAGAATTTATTCCAGGATATTTGGATAAAGCCAATTATTATTTCCCAGGAGAGCCTGAGTGCTGCTTTAAGGTATAACTGCCTTTTTTTCCCATTAATTACAAACTGCTGTGCCACCATCCTGTTGCCTGGGCAAGAGCCAAAGGGAAGCTTCTTCCCAGCACTTCCCTTCCTCGTGGCAGTTCCTGGTGGATGCTGGAGCTCCTGGTTTTCACCTGGGATAAGCCCAGCAGAGCTGAAGCTGCTTGAATGGCACAAGGGATGAAGAAAATCAGACACGTGTGGAAAGAGAAGCTCCAAATGAAAGCAAAAATTGCAAAGCATTTAGTGCTTACAGACAAAAAAAAAAAGGTTTGGAGGGGGGAAAAAGGGATAAAAAAAGCCCCCCCAGCACATGGGGAAGCAGCATTCCTGTCAGCTTTCCCTCACTCCATCTGACAGAAAGCTTTCTGCCTCATTTACACACACATAAATCCTCCCAAGCAGGATTTTGCAGATGATAAACTCCCGACATTCTTACCAAGTTCCTTTATGCCTTCCAACTCCCTCAAATTCCAAAGTCCCCAGGAATGCATCCAAATGGGGATTAGAATTTATTTGGGGTCTAAAAAATCGTGTTTAGTTATCTCCAATTTCCAGCACATTAACTCCTCCTGACATTTGGAACGCCAGCTCAATTTTTCCACCTCATTCTTCATCAACTGCAAGTGCCCTTTATCAGACCTTTCCTCGTGGTACATGAAGCAGAAAAGGTTTGTGCCTTTTCCTGGTGCCACAGCAAACTCCCTTTTTTTTTATTTCCACCACTCAAAGATGGAAACAACACAGTGACAGCTGGAAAACAAGGAACTGGCTGTTCTACCTAACAAGGGGTACATGCAAAGAGCACAGACAGGAATTTGCTGCAAATTCCCTCTGGGTCCCCAGCTGCAGAAATTAAGATTTGTGACCAGTGCTAGGGTATAATTTCAGCTCAAACAACTCACTCCTGTCTCAGCACCAGCACTCCCAAATCCTTTCTCCTAGCCCTAAGACTGCAGTGCTGCCCCCTTGGCTCAGAACAGGCAGCAACTTCCCACTCAGGATTTCAAACTGCTGCTAAAAGAGTCAGTTCTGATCTCAACTGCTATCATCCACGACTCCTTGCAGCAATTTCACACAGTCCTGTCAGCAGCAAGACTGCCAGGAGAGGCACACAGGCAGATGGAAACCTCTGAAGCAAGAAAAGGCACCACCAAGGGGATGATGGAAGCAGGGGGCTGTTGGAAGCAGTTATGGAGCGGTGACAGCGGGTGAGACACTTGAGCGACATGTAAATGGTTTGCTTGATTAAAGTCCACTCCAGGTAGAGCATAAGCCAACAAAACAGATGCAGAGAATTAAAGAAATTGAATCTTATTAATGGTGTAGGCTGTACAGTCATGGGAAAATGCTGTAAATTCTCTTTTTAAGTCTTCCAGCAGGAGGTCTTCACTCACCTCTCCTCGTGTTAGCAGTGACCAACAACAGAGTTAATGCAAAAGGAGCTCTACCAGAAACTTATCCACACCATACAAGAGTTTTCAAAACAAAAGGAAGTTAAACTGAAATGTCATTTATGAGATACTGCAAAAAGCTCTTCGGTGGTTTCACACAGGAGAACTTTTGGTGTATGGTCAAAGGCAAAAGCAGCTGCAACATGAAGCAGCTTTATGGCACAGCATTCAGTCACAGCTGGCTTTTACAGCTCCTGGAGCTGATCTGAATTTGAGATGGATTTAAAGGAAATTAATCTTTGGAAGGCAACCACTGGTATAAATGCCACAGCACAATCTCGGTGTTATGTGATGCTTGCAAGGACCTGCATTTGCCAAATGGCATTGCCCTGAGTTAGGAAGAGGGAACATCGGGGTTGTTCTGCTGCCTTCCTCTCCACCTCCTCATTCCCTCGCTCGCTTTCAGCACAAGCAACAAAAAATTATTTGCTTTTTTCTACAGCCCTGCTGGGGAAAAAAAAAAAAAGGCTTTTATTTAGATATAAAATTCAAAATGAGAATCAGCACAAGTGTCCAAACCCCAAGTGAACACTTTAACAAACCCAAAACAGATGCTAATCTCAACTTGCTTCCAGCCCAGCATATGTGTAACACTCAGCCATTTAAAAAAGGTGTGAATTCACTCAATTTTATACAGAGCACTCCAAATACATCTCCTATTTTCAGCTTTGTTTGTGCCAGTAAATTACTGGCACTGGCACAAAAATGGCTTATAAGAAGCTTGAACTGACAGAGTTCTAATCAAATCACACTTAATTCGTGTTTTGTAATTAACTTCAACTGGAGCAACACCTACACAGGGAGATGTTTCAGTGTGGTGTGGGGAGGTGGGGAATCATTTAGACAAAAATATTGCATTGTCAGTTGTGCTATTTTATGTGCTCATTATGAAGCAGAGAGTGATCAGGGCCTGGAGAACAAACACCACCAAGGCAAAGCTTTCCACTGCCACGTTTTTGTGGCTCTACGTTTTTGAACACCCCCTGTCTGGGAGTGATTTTACTTTTTAGGAGGCAAATCAGGCATGGAATTGTCCCTGAAAATGACCACCAAACTAACCCCTTCCTTCGTTCTCTGAAGAATCAGATCTAAATCACCTCAAAAAGAGACCCTTCAGGGGCTGAGGGGGGAGAGGGGATGACAACACAAATCCGAGAGCCCGAGTTCCAATTTTTTTTGGCACGTCACAGAGAGCTTGAAAAACCACACACCAAAATCTGCACTCCAGGGTGAAACCTGTGTCCACACTCGTAGAGCTAAATACAGAGATGAGATATACAACTAAGAAAAATAAAATTTAAGGAAAAAAAAAAATCAAACTTCCACAAGGAATAATCTCCATGCAATGAACCACAGCACCACAGCCTGCACAAGTCACTTACTTTTCTCCGAGAGTCACCCGGAGGCTGCTCTGGAGTAAAGAAATTAATTGTTCACCATGTTGTGTTCAGCAGATACCCATTCAAATATAGCTGGAAAACTCAGTAAACAACCCTCCACGACACTTGCTGATACCAAACAGACACAGCGCTTTTGTTTTATACACAGACATTTAATTTACATGTAGAATTTCAATACACGTGTGGGAATCAGAGAGGGTCAAGCAGTGCTACTTGTTCATCTATTTGACAGAAATGTGGCTTTTTTTTTTTTTTAATTATAGCCCTAAATATCCCCCTGCCATGTCCCTGCTCATGATCTTTAAAGGTCTCTTCCAACCTAAACTCCTTATGATTTTAAACACGTTCAAAGATGACACTTTAAATACAGAAGAAACTATCGAAAATTATTCCAAGTAATAAAAATTCTTCCACTCCTCCTGAAAGCTCAAGGTCTAGACATATTTCCTATGCTGATTTTTTTTTCCATGCCCATTGATCAGGAGTTCTGCCTCCTGGCAATTTTGGGGTTTTATGCACAAAGGCAGAGCACAAACCCATCAGCTCTCTGCAGGCACACTGGGGAGCCATCAGCAGTTTCAAAATCCACTTTTACTCAGAAAATCATAATTAACTTTCCCAAACTCCAAGTCCACCTTTTGCATGAGGAAAAAAAAAAAAAAAAAAGTGGTTATGCTAAGAAATACAGAATAAAAATAGCCCAGTCATCAACATGGAACTGATTTCCAAAGGGCACTTCCACACTAAATTTCTGTGCTTGGCCAGCTTGAACAACCAGACTTGGTGCTACAACCAGCTTTAATCACCTCTTTTAGTCTTAAGACACATCTTTGCTACCAAATGAACAGCTAAAATGAAACATTTCTAACAAGGTAATCTAAGGAGGGTAGAAAACTTACCTCCAAACAGCTCAAACTCTCTTAAACCCTCAACAATGAACTTCTCAGACACCCACCGCTGAAAGAGAGAAAAACCCTCCACATCAGCAGTTATTCCATCTGCAGACAAATTTCTTTTCCCCCTTCCCCACCAAAAAAAAAACCACCATAAGAGAATCAGTTACTGCCAACCAACATGCACTTAAAATGCAATAAAATTAACGCCATTTTAATCATTCAGACAAGTTCAACGAGGTGATTATCTCAGAGGATTTAAATATCTTGGTTACATGTCTACTGATTGAATGTAAAATTAGAACATAAAGATTTTAAAGCTGTTGCTCTCTCCCAGAATTCGTGTTTGCAATTCACAGCATTAGGAACGTTTCTACCACTACCCAAGGCTGTAATTCAAAGAAAAAAAATTATCTAGACACATAATATATAATAAAATATGCAATTTTAAGCTTGCAGAGTGTTGATCGTGATGTTAGTGTTAAGCAATAAATCACAAACACTCCCAGGGCAGAATCTGTCTACTTGGCAAAATAATTTCAAAAACAGTTCATGCTTTTTTAGCACAAGGGAAGCCAGTCCTAGAAAGCACCAAGGAGTCTTTAGGTGATAACAGCTCAAAACTTGTGTCATTTTAAGGCATTAAAAGTGGCTTTGCTGCAGGAAACCTCCTCACTTAAAAAAAGCAGGATCAAACAAAGCTTAACTTTGAGTTTAACTTTGCAAGCGAAGTGAAGGGAAAAACCAAACTCAAACAGGTGACACAGGTGAGGCGGCCACTTCTTAAAGAAAAGCTGAAAATCAACAGCATTGCAGCGCTTTTTTTTCTTCACTACAAGGCCCCACTGCACACCAAGGAGATCCGTGCGCAGCAATAAACCCTTTAGCACGGTGTTTTTTTAACACCCATCCCTGCGCCTCTCCCGGTGCTCTCCAGGCCCGGCCCCCTCCGCGCAAAGCTCGTCCCACCGACCCGCGGGGAAAGCTGGAAGGTCTTCAAACACTCACCCGTATGCGCTCGGGTTTACTTACAAGGAAAGACATGGGGGCCGCCGCTGTGGCACCGCGAGCAGCAGAAAGGGTGGGAAACCTGCGGGGAACACAGCGCGGCGTCCAAGTGTCACCCCCGGGCACCCCCCGGCCCCTCACAGACCCACAGCCCCGGCAGGAACCGCCCGGAGCCCTCATGAAGTAGCGAGACCCCCGAATACCCTCAAGGCCCCTCGCCCGCCTTGCCCAGCAGCCCCCGCCCCTCAGGGGAGCGGTGATCCCGGTGAGCACCGTCAGGAGCCCTCACAAAGCACCCCCACCCCGAACACCCACCCAGGGGAGCGTTAACACCGGTGAGCACCGTCAGGAGCCCTCACAAAGCACCCCCACCCCGAACACCCACCCAGGGGAGCGGTAACCCCGGTGAGCACCCTCAGGAGCCCTCACAAAGCACCGGCACCCCGAGCACGCACCCAGGGCCCGTTACACGCCTCGGAGTGACCCGCACCGCTCAGGAGCCCTCACAAAGCACCGGCACCCCGAGCACGCACCCTTGGGCCCCTCACCCGCCCCTCAGGGGAGCGGTGACCCCGGTAAGCACCGCCCGGTGCCCTCACAAAGCACCCACACCCTGAACCCCTCCCCCGGGGCCCCTCACCCGCCCGGTGCCCGGCGCCCACACTAATCACCGACACCCCGCTACGTCCCCCTGAGCCCCTCAGCCGGCCCCAGCGCGGGAGGGGCCCCAGGGGAGCGGTGATCCCGGTAAGGGCCGCGCGGAGCCCTCAGAAAGGTCCGACCCCTCCCCAAGTCCCGACCCCTCCCCGGTGCCCCCCCCGGGCCCCTCACGGACCCCTCAGGCTGCGGCCGCCGCTCACCGGCGGGACGCGCTGCGCGTGACGTCACCGCGCCGGCCCGCGAGCGTGACGCCGCGTCCGCGCCTCCCGCGCTCGAAGGAGAGGGGGGCCGCCGCCATGTTGGGTCCCTGAGGGGAGGGGAGGAGGAGGCGCAGGGGGGACCTGCTGGCTCTGCAACTCCCTCGACAGGAGGGGGAGCCGGGCTCTGCTCCCAGGGAACAAGGGACAGGAGGAGAGGGAACGGCCTCCAGCTGTGCCAGGGGAGGGGCAGGTTGGACATCAGGAGGAATTTCTTCCTGCAAAGGGCTGTTAGGCCTTGGGAGGTTTGGAGTCCCCACCCCTGGAGGAGGAAGGACGGGCTGTGGCACTCAGTGCTCTGGGCTGAGGGACAAGGTGGGCTCGAGGATCTTGGGGGTCTTTTTCAGCCTCTCAGATTCTGCGGGTCCCTCAGTGGCCCAAGCTCTGTCCCCCTCAGTCCTCAGGCACAGGGAACCCACAAACCCCATCCTTAAACCCCCAGGGGCAAATCCTCCATCTCCACCATCCCTGCCTCAGGGGAGAGAAACCTTCCTGGATGGGCAAAACCTGCACCAAAACCTACCCAGGACAAACGAGGCTTTTGAGCTCCTGCCAAATAAAAGGACCGCTGAGTCGAGCCAAGTAAAGTAGGCAAGTGCAGTGTTTCAATTATATTTTACTCTTTAGATTGTTCATTTGAATGTTCATATTACAAAATTAGCTGCCACGGCCCACAAGTGGATGGGACTTCAGGAGAGCTGTCCACTTACTCAGAAGAGCACAAAGTAGTTAATTCCTTTCCGAGAACTCTGTGAAACAACACTGTAATTAATCTTTCAAGCTAAATAGTGCTAAAATTCCACACACTCTACATGAGTTTTGGTTTTAAATATTTTCACCAACCCTTATAAAATGACTGTATTTGCATGTATCAGGTCACAGACATTTGCATTTCAATCAGGGTGAAGCATCCCATGGTGGAACAAGTTTGAACAGTTGCTGTTTCAACAGCAGCTCTTTCTTACTGCCTCAGAACCAAGTTTGCACCAGGTATTGAACAGGAAAATGCCAAGACACTGTTTCCCCACACAGCTGTTCAAAGCCTGGCACAAGCAACGATTAAAATGCCTTCTGGATAGGCAGCATTTATAAAATGCAGAGCTCTCCCAGCAAAGTGCCTGCACGGGGCATTCACCTCCTTCTCCCCCTTTGGATTCAAAGCCTTCCAGTGACCACTGAGCAGAGAAGTGTCTGAACAGCTGAAAACAGCCAAGGAAAGCTGGCTGGAAACTATCCCTGTATTCCACTCCCTCGGTTCTGCCCATCCCTGTGTTCTATCCATAAGCCAGTCATGCCCACAGGTGACCCAGTACTGCTTCAGGCCCTTGTTTGTACAAAAAAAAGGAAAATAAAAAAATCACTTCTACTGGGCTTAAATCCCTGAAGAATCCATACTGTGTATGGAAGGCTCTAAGTTTTGTGCCTTGATGCAAATAAATGCACAGTAAGTGTTTATTGTGCAGTTTTCCTCCCCTTTTAAAGTTTTTTCCCCCCCCATTCTCCCCTCCCACTTCACCAAACCCCAAAGTTTTAAAACCAAAGCATGAATTATGTTACCGGCACACGTTGGACAGGTTTACAACCTTCTGGTTTTTTTTTTTTTAAAGAACAAATGACAAAAGAGCATTCAAGAATATCGCAAATTTTTGTTTGTTTGTTTGTTTGTTTTTTAAACGGACAAATAGCAAAACTTTTTTACCCCCTGGAATAAGGAGTGCCGAGACAAAGCTCTCCCACACACACCTGCATGTTGCTGTAATACTTAAATAAGTAACACCAATGCAAGGACTTTTCTCTCAATGGCTACGAGTGCTCAAAGAAGCAGAGGATTATGGAGTTACAGAGCTCTTGGTACCCGTGAATTACAGTTCCCCAGGTGGCTCCTCCTCACATGGCTTTCACTTTGATTTGCTTCATCTTCATCTGCTTCTTCTCCAGCTTCTTCTGCTCCCGCCGCAGAGCAGCTTCCTGTGGGCAAGGACAGAGGGGGGAAGAAACATCAGGGATCTCCTCAAAGAGCAAGTGGAGCATTTCAGAGCCAAACAAAGCTCCCAGTTCTGGGTTCACCTCCCTGCCTGGCTCCTCAGGGGCAGGGCAGGGTCCCCACAAAGACAAAACCTTTCCCCCAAGTCTAAGGGGAAGCACAGCCCTCTTTGATGCTCCAGCCAGCACAGGCTCCACCATCCTGCCTTTGGTTCAGACAAGTCACACTGCAGCTGTGCCTCAGTCTCCCCATGTTTAACCAGCAGGGAAGTCACAGAATCCCAGAAAGGGCAGGGACACCTTCCACCAGCCCAGGTTGCTCCAAGCCCTGTCCAACCTGGCCTTGGGCACTGCCAGGGCTGGGGCAGCCACAGCTTCTCTGGGCAACCTGTGCCAGGGCCTGCTCACCCTCAAAGGGAAGAATTCCTGCCCAATATCCAGTGTAAATCTACCCTCCTTCAGCTTAAAGCCTTTCCCCTTGTCCTGTCACTGCATGCCCAAGGAAGCTGGGAGATGTTCCCCTTCCAGCTGGTTTCAGAGTGAGGGGCTGCCCTGTTTCAGAGAGCAGCAGTGAATCCCCTGACAGCTGCCTGCCCTCCAGCAAACAAATCACAGTGTGCCCTGCTGCTGTGCCCACAGGAGTGTGGCAGCAGCCTGTGCCAGCCTGAGCACCCCCCTCACCTCCAGCCGCCGCTGCTTCTCGGGATCCTCCTCGTTCATGATCCGCTCCTTCTCCGCCCGTTTCTTCTCCTCGCGGCGGGACTGGGCAGCCTCCTGTCTCTGCACGTGGGTCAGCTTCAGGAAGTTCTCCTCCACACGTGCCCTGTTCTTGTCAGCTTTCTGTTTGCCCTTTCCGTGGAGAAAATAAATAAATAAATAAATAAATAAATAATAGTTTACACAGATTTCCCCACCAGCAGCATCTCCAGCAGTCCCACGTGAAACGTGACGCTCCTGATCCGAAGGATCCAGTGGTAAAGGCTGCAATTTCCCACAGCATTCAGCAGACACAAAAAGACGAGACTCACTTCTCTGTTCAGCCGGAACTTCTTGGCTTTGTCAATGGAGTAGATGACCATGCTCATCAGAGGCAGCAAAGACTCCATGTCCTTTGGGGAAGTGTTGCCTGAACCAGGCACTGCAAGAAAGAGTTACTTGTTCAGAGAGACTGGCAGCACTTTTCTACCTGCTGTAACGCTCCCTCCTTATTGCTCCACAGATGACAGAACTGGAGCAGGTGACTTGCACAAATAGAGCCCAGCACTCCCCCAGACACACACACACACAGACCCCAGTTCTCTTACCGTTAAATGTAAACAAAAGTGTCTTTTTAGTTTCGGGCAGTTTTGTGAGCTGGCCCTCCCTGGAGGAGAGAAAAAAGTGTTTGGAATGAGTGGCAAAAAAACCATAATTGACATCGTTAGGGAAAACCTCATCAAGAACCAAGAGACACTTGGAAAGTTAAATTTCAAACTCTTCAGATTGCTGAAGTGTTTTACTCCCAGGTGTGCAGGGAAAAGGCATGAATGGAAGAACATGCAGCACCAGCCCATCTGACTGTCAGGGGAGTACTGAGGAGGCCTGCACATTTTGAATTACACTCACTTTTACACATCCTGTTGTTTATACCACTAGAGATCCATAAAACGTGCTAGGAAAACAAAACATCTTGTAAAGAATTCAAGCCTTCACTGCCCAAAATCCCACAGTCTTCTCGTGTGAGAAACTCAGGCCTACATTTCACAGATCCTCCCCAATTTCAGCACAAGGTGCACACGCTGCTGTCTGACAATTAAATCAAAATCTGTTCCTTTTTTTGGAGGAGAGTCTCAAGTTTGGATAGAGATCAGTTATTTATATGCCTGTGAGCATAACACACCCTTGCACAAACCCACGTGATAATTCAGATTAGATCTCCCACCACTTGGCAATCGGGAAGCAGCAGGAAAACACCTCTGGAACGGGAGGCTCAGAGAAACAGCAGAGGTGGGCAGGCCAGCAGCTTTCAAAATGCAAACGAGTTAGGTGGCCTCTGTTTTATTTGGGGTTACAAAACCTACTGGGGGGCAGAGATCTGGCTTTGTACCTACTCTTGCATAAGTTTTGGACCGGAGAACTGGTCCGAGAATTGGACGGACTCGATCTTGTCGGCGTAGTGTGTGAGGAAATGTATCATCTGAAAGAGAAAGCGGGGTCAGTTTTGCCCAACCCCAATCCATCTGCAGCCTCCCCACTCCACAGGGGTCTGCCAGCCTGTCTGCCCACCCCAGGGGGTTGCAACTTCAGCTGGCTGGTGAAGCTGCTCCCAGGCTTTGAAAGGCAGTTTTCAGTCTGCAATTCAGGACAGATTAACAGCTGTGATGTAAGAAAGGAATAAAGAGAATTACATCCCTGTCCCAGCCCTCATGCTTCACTAGGGTCTTGATTTCCCCCCACCAGGGCCATTTGGCTTTCCTGTGATGCTCACAGGACACAGAGGTCAGAACCTTGTCCCACAGGCTGTAAGTGCCAGGGTTTCCAAGGAATATCTGCATGAATTCATTCCAGTTTACCTTGGCGTCCATCATTCCCTCCGTGACCTCTCCCATCTCCGACAAGATGGCCAGTGAATCTGGAAGCCCATATTTTGCACCAGACTTGGGTTTATCACTGCAGAACTCGCTCTGTTTCCAAGAGAACAATGAGAAAGCAAAATAAACCCAAAGCCTGTAAAAGCATCTTATCAGACCGACCCCTGAAAGTATCAGAAAAGGAATAATAAAAAATACACTCAGTCACCGAGCCTGGCTGGGGACATTTCAAACAAAGCAAAGCACGAAGCATCGACAGCCTTTAAGTTGGTATTTCCCTTCAGCAGTCAGCACTTTCAGGAAAAAAAAAGATAAACCAATTCCAATCCAGCCACGCTGGAATGCTCCAAGTTGGATTAAGGCATTTTTGCTCACACTGATAACAAAAGCTGGCATCCTCCCAACCACACTCCAGCTGCTGTTACTTGAGAGAAAAGATTTGCAAAGCACTGCTTGTTATCACTGGATTCTTTGCAAGCTTCAGGGGTGGAACATATGGAAAGCTTCCATTTCAGATCACATAAAAACAGATGACCCACATTTTCCACTTCACAGATCCCTAATGAAGTTTACTTTTCAAGCCCTGAAAAAGCCGTTTGTGCAGATTAAATGAGGTGAAGTGACATTTGTGTGTCCTGCCAATACACCACAGCCCCCTCCTAAACGAGCTGCTTTCCACTGCAGCTCTCACACTTCCAACCTCTCATTCCATGAGACTTTCATCCAGCAGATGAAAATGTCTTTCCCCCACAGATTCCAACAGGTCAGTCACAAGTTTCCAGCTGTTCCCAAGAAAACAATGAATCTGCAGGTTGTTGGTTCTTACATGCTGTTATTTATCAACATGCAGGTACATACCAGGTCCTGCATCTCCTTCTGAAGTCTCACCAGTGCTTTTCTGGTTCCAACAGCAAACACGTACGTGTCCATGTCCTCATCGTTCATTGTCACTTTTATTTGCTGGGGAAACAGGAGGTTATTAGCCCTGAGCAGATTGCAGGGTCTGACACTGATTCCTAAGAGCAAACACTAAGCAAGGTCAGGCACAGCTAAGAGGGAGGTGGCTGATCCAAAGCTTCCCAGAGTGTCTTAAAGTAAGGGAGCTTATTAATCAGATTGAGCACTTAGTTCAGTGCTGTGGTGTAATGACAGGGACTAGAACAGCAGAGCTGTACAAGTAATTTGCAATTAAATATTCTCAATAGATAGAAGTAAATACAGCTATAGATAAATGCAAAGAGAATTCACAGTGCACACAGCCACTGCTCTTCCAAATGGAACCTCTCCTGGCATTTATGCTCTCCAAGAGCAGGGGAGAAAGTAAAGAGTAACACTGCAGGATGTAATATCCAGACCAACACATGGATTAAACACTGAGCAGAGAGAAGAACAATCATTAAGTATTTCAGATTGTAAAACCACTTTTTATCAAGCTGAGGCCTCGAGTCACAACTGACTGCTCACCAAACCACTCAAAAGATAAAGCCCGCAGGCAAACCAGATTTCCAGCCATCAGCAATCTGCATTTCACGGGCAGGAAAGAAACACAACCAATCCTTTCCAGATTGTTTCAAGAGCTGCTGACCTGGAAGACGTGGAACACCCCAGAAATCACCTGGAACAACCGAAAGCAGCAGGGGCAGAACCCAAGGACTGCAGGTTCATCCCAGCTGACCTGCAGGGCTCGGTACGTACCACTTGGTCCGACGCCGGCCTCATCATGCGCGCCAGCACGTTCAGCAGGTCTTGCCTCTTGAGGAACTAAAAACACAGCTTGGTAAACGCACAGAACAGCACTCACTCTCACCTACTTTGGTGGGCACAATATGGGCCTGTGCAGGTATTTAATTATGCAGTTTGGCTTCGGTGTTTGCACGTTCAGAGCTCTGTGTCTGAACGGGAGCACAAGAGCCAGGCTGGGCTTGTTGCTCACACCGGAATGGAAAAGCCTCTAGAACCTGATAACTGGTGACAGGGAAACAGCCCCACCAACTCCCCCATCCTTACCTTCAGCTGGATGAGCATTCCTTCACAGCACACCCTCCCAGAGCACCACAGGTTATATATGTGTTCATTTTCTTGATTTAGCTTCCCAGTGCTTGTAGCTTCTTTATTAGTGCCATCATCCCCTGGAGGAAAAAAGAGCAGTGAGACAGAACTGCAACCTAAAAGCTCACCAGAAGGCTTGGAAGCTCACACCACATCACAGAAAAGGATTTGCTACAGCCCACATGGTCTAAACCCAAATACCAGAACTTTGTCATTATGGAACTCACCCACAAGAGCAAAGTTACTTTCCAGCAGCTCCCTGTGGGTGTTGAACCAGGCATGAGCCAGCCGGTTGTTTTTGTTCTTGCCGATGATGTAGTTCATGATGTAAGCCAGGAGCCCTGTGACCATCAGGATCTCCATGTAGTAACTCTCCCAGCTGTTCTGAAGGTGAGCAGGGACCTGTGTGAGGCAACAGAAACAGCAGGGAAGCCTTCCTGACCTTGGCACCTCAGAGATTAATTGACCGTTCTGTTATCACTGTACCACCACTGCAAGTGCACATCAGTACCCCAGTGACGCTCCTGGCACACTGCCTTGAGAAAATAACTGATGCAACTCCATCTATAAAGCAGATCAACAGTTGTACCTACGTTAACTATCGTTATGGGGTCTTTGTTTTTGCTATGAGATGCATCTGGTTTCTCTTCATAGCCTTCAAACTCCTCATCATCATATGGTTCACTCTCAGTGTCACCTTCCTAAAGGACAAAAACACAAACAGCGTGAAAATCCCAAGCCCAGGAAGTAAAATCCAGAAAGACAAGGTGAGAAAGGGAGAGACACTATCAGGAAACACAGAGACAGGAGATGAGGCCTTACCTGCGTGTCTGCATCATCAAAGTCTTCCTGATTCTCATCCTGACCTTCCAGCTCTACAGTGGCTTCTTCTTCATCATCTTCTGTAGTGATGATCCTCTGGGGAGACTCTGTGACTGCATCTTCATTCACATCCTCAAATTCGGCGAAGTCGTTATCATCATATTCCATGATGTCATCCCCATCCTCGAATTCATCGTACTTTGCCAAAGTAAAGCTCCACGGGATGAACAGGACAGCAAGAAAAAGATAGAAATTCTTCATTTTCACTGGAAAAAAAAATAAAAAATCAAATCAATCACTGCATAGAGCCCTTATCAGTTTTGTTACATCACACCATTACAATCCCCAACTCCCATGAGCTATCTGAAAACACTACCAGGGTCAGACCAGAGAGAGAAAATAAACCCCTGTCTGATCTTGCCATTTTCTCTATAAAGTGACTACTGCTAAAAGAAAAGCTAACTTTGAAGGAGGGATTGCTTGTGGCAGCAGCAAATTCCCATCTGGCCACGCTGCTCAGATGAGCAAGTTTGGAAGCAGAAATGTTCCACTCTAAAACTGCCTCTCCATTAGCATCTCCCAGCCAGCACTGCCAGCTCACTTCTGAGAGCACACTCTGTGCCTACAGTTGTTATTAATTAGCAATTAGACACAGGCAGCTCAACCAGTGTGTCAGAGCAGCAGTAAACCCTGAACTGCACTTAAGATTAATTTCAGTGATGCTCTGATAGCCTCTTAGTTGCAAAGTGCCCATCTGTGATTTTTCTAGGCTGCCTGCTCAGAACCAGGTCCCAAACTGTCCCAGCACGAGCTCTGCTTAGAAACAAAGACCTTTTGTTGGGAGTTCACAACCATAATTAAAAAAAAAACAGTCCCTAAACCAACAGAGTAAACTGGGACTCACGAGCCCAAAGCTCTCCCCGGATCAGCCACCACCTTTTTTTCCCCTCAGCTTCCTATCTTTTCTGCTTGATCTCAAAACAATCCCAGCCCCACAACGAGGAGTTTCTCCAGGGTCTGAAAAAGGAGCCCCAAAAGGCAGCTCTGACCCTGCTGCTGCACCAGGAGGATCAGCTGCACCAGGCTGGGCTGGGAGGCTCAATTTACTCCCTCCAGCAACCAGAGCCGAGCGGGAACCCGAATGTTAATGAGAGTGTGCTCTTCCAAACTCGGAATGGTTTCTAAATTTGACCAGCTCTCACACAGGGAACCCGCTGTGTGATGAGGATGACAAGGACAGCTAAAATAAACCCCTCTGTCAAAGGCTCCTCATCCAGCCAAACCTGCACAGAACACGTTCACAGAACGTTCAAACAAGATGCAAAAAGCACGAGGCAGAGCCCAAGACCATTGTGTGGACACCTCGCAATCCGATGTGAATTTAAACAGAAAAAAAAACCAAACCACAATTTAAATAGGACAGAATTTGCACTCAGAGGTTAAAAACCACCTGGACAACGGAGCCACCTGCTCGACCAAACCACACCAGTTTCACAGGGAGAATTTCGAGACTGTCCGAGCACAACCACTTTCAGAAGACCCCACAGCTCCAAGCAGCTTCCCGGAAAATAAACTGCGGCCCATTCCAAGGACACGTTTGAGCTGGAGGCGGCTGGAAGCTGGAGCACCCCCCCCCAGCTCAGCATTCCCTCAGAACAGGTTCCAAGCACAAACTCCAGGAAGCAGAAAATGCCCTGGCGGGCCCTGCACGCTCCACACCCCACCGAGGGACGGGTTCCCTCCGCGATGTCCACACGGGCTGCCCGGGACTCACTGCCGACAGAAACAACTTCACCATAACCCGCAGGTAAATAAACAGCGCTGCTGCTGCTGCTGCTCCCCGAGCAGAACATTCACCCGCCTGTAAATAAATCTCGAGTCCAGACCCGGCTCAGCAGAAGGGCCGGGCCCTCACCGTGACCCCCACAGGTGCCGCCCGTGATCCCGCCGCTCCCAGCACAGCTCCCGGCTCCTTCCCGGGACACGAGTCACGGTTAAACGACACAAAACCAGCGCCCTGCCTTCCCTGCACCCCCGGGGCTCGGCACAGGCCGTGCCCTCCGCGCCGGGCTGCGCCTGCCGCGGGCACCGCGGGCACCCGGGGAGGGGGCGAACGCGGCCCAGGGATGCGGGAGCGGGGTGTGCCATCCCCGCAGGGCCCGACCCCAACAACCCCGAGCGCCCCCGGCCGGGCCGCGGGGCCGCCTCACCTGAGTCACGGGCCCGGCCCCCGCCCGCCGCTCCGCGCCCGCCGGCCCGCGGCGCATGCGCGGCACGGCCCCCGCCGCATGTGCGGGGCTGCGCGGACACACCCGCGTGGGCGCGGGGAGGGCGGGCAGGGGAGCCCCAGCCCCGCGGGCGGCAGAACCACGCGGGAAGCACCGGGTGGGCGGCGCGGCCAGGGGGCCGCCGGTGCCGGTTACCCCCCGCTTTTCTCCCAGTTCTCCCCGCTCCCGCCTTTGCCCGCTCCGGGCGCCCACACTTGGGCGCGGCTTCACCCGCGGGCAGCGCGCACGCGCCGCGCGCGTCACCCCGCGTGCCGTGCGTGGGCGCGTCGGCGCGTCGCGACTCCACCCCCCGCCCCGGTAACCGGGGCAGTGGCGGCGGCGGCTGCGGGGCCGGCGGGTGAGTGAGGGGGCCCCGGGCGGGCACCGAGGGCAGCGGGGCCGCAAAGCCGTCCCCGCCGGGCCCCACCCCGCGCCGGAGCTGCCGGTACCGCGGCCTGGCAGCGGGCGCGGGCGGCCCGGGCCTGCCCCGCACAAAGGGCCCGCCCCGCGCCGCGGCCCCGCGGGCGGGAAGGGCCCCGCGCAGCGCCCGGTCCAGCGCCTCCCGGCCCTGCCTGCGCGCTCGGCCCACCGCCACTCGGGCGCGGCGCGGCCCCGGGGAGGGCTCCGGGGAAGGGTCCGCGCCTTGGGAGCTCCTCCCGCGGAGCGGCGGCCGCGGGGAAGAGGAGCCTCGGGAGCTGGCCCGTGGTCCCTGTGCTCGCTCGCCGCTGGCTCCGCGGGCAGGCTGAGCGAGTCTTGTGCTTTCGCGGCTCCACGGCCGTAAAAAAGGTGGTTTTCCTTATTTTCCGCAGTGGCGGGAGGGGGGAAAGAAGGTTGATGAGTACGGTGAGGAAGGATCCTTGCAGGCAGGCTTTAACTCGAGAGTTTTAACGTGAAAGGTTCTCCTGTCAGCAGCAGGAGTGCAGCTCCGCCTCTCACCCTTCTGGGGCACATTTGGAGCTGCCGCAGACCCGCAGGTGGGAAGGCCACAGGGTGTGTCAGGGCTCCAGGGTCAGCCCCTGTCGTGCCGAGCTGAACTGCAGAATTCTGCCCCAAAATCCGCTCCTGAGCTCTGCTCTAGGCTCGGGGTTTATTGAGCAAGTCCCAAGCTGGTAAATGTTCAGCACAGGGAGCAGCAGCACTGTTTACCTTTGGATTATTGGGAAGTTGTTTCTCTTGCCCACGAGTTCTGATCTCACCGAGGATTCTCAGTGAGAGGATTTGTTGTTTAAAGAGACTTGTAGCCTTTGGACAGCTGATTCTATTGCACTGCAAAGCTGTGGGTGCCTTGCTGTTTAGTGCCTTACAGGTATGATTTACTAGACCAGGCAGATAATTAAGTTATACAGAATGGAAACTCTAAATCTTAATATATCAGTTCAGTCTTCACCTTAGAAAATCAATCTCTGGGCAGATTGTTATGTGGAGCATTTAAAATATGGTTTGAAAAACGTAGGTAGGAGAGGATGTTTACACTCAAGGATGGGACTGGGTGGCCGTGCAAAACAGGAGCTGACTTTTCATCTCTCATTCCTCATGGTGTTCAAAGTTTTGGCCCTGGGGTTGTTTGTCTTGGGCTGCAAACAGACAGGACAGGTAACATCTTCAATATGCTGAAGAAAGCCTTGAGGGACGTGACCTTTCTTTTCAGAAGACAAGCACTTGGTTGTTTTTTTTTTGTCTCTGGAATTGTGGATGTTTTCCCACTGGCAAGTACAGAGCCAAATCCTTTGTGGGAAACAGATCAAACTTGTCACTCCCTTTTCCAGAGCTGGCGTGATCCACTAACAAGGAAAATGGTGAAAATCATCTCTAACTTCCTGGAGCACAAAGGGCATTGATTTTTGTCTTTCCTCGTTTGACCAGGTCCACTGGGGGCATCATGAATTGGAACAAAGGTGGGCCTGGCACTAAGAGAGGCTTTGGGTTTGGTGGATTTGCCATAACCCCTGGGAAGAAAGAGGAGCCCAAGCTGTCCCAGCAGTCCCACAGCGCTTTCGGCACAGCCGGGTCCTCGGCAGCCTTTGCCAAGTCAGGGCCTCCTCAGCTGCCTTCCTTCTACAAAATTGGGTCAAAGAGAGCGAATTTTGATGAAGAGAATGCGTGAGTACAATCATTCCTTGGATTTAGCAAAGCTTTCCCCTCTCTAGAACGTATCCCAGCTGAGCCCCAGTCTGCTCAAGCTTATTCACTCTGTGGTATGTTCAGAGTTGGAGCCAAGGATATTGGGAAGGAATTCCTGGCTGGGAGGGTGGGCAGGCCCTGGCACAGGTTGCCCAGAGAAGCTGTGGCTGCCCCTGGATCCCTGGAAGTGTCCAAGGCCAGGTTGGAGCAACCTGGGCTGGTGGAAGGTGTCCCTGCCCATGGCAGGGGGTGAGACTGGATGGACTTTAAGGTCTCTTCCAACTGAAACCATTCCATGAAATCTGGAAGGGAGTGGGGTCAGAAAAGCATCCCATGTCCACCAACATAGGAGAGTCACTCAAGAAGATCAGTTTTTCTCTTTGTCCTGCAACCACTTCGAGCTTATGACATAAATAATTGTAAATAAATGAATAAATCTCAGCTGTCCATCCTGACTTTTGTTATCCCTGTGGGAACCTTGACTCACCCAGAAGCCACGAAAGGCAGCACAGTGCTGTGAACTGCGTGCTGAGTGGGCTGTTGGTCGTTTCTTTTCAGGTACTTTGAGGATGAGGAGGAAGATTCCAGCAATGTGGAATTGCCCTACATTCCCGCCGAGAATTCCCCCACCCGGCAGCAGTTCCATTCCAAGTCAGCGGACTCTGACAGCGATGATGACCCTCTGGAGGCTTTCATGGCTGAAGTGGAGGCAAGACCCGGCTGGGGAAATGTTTGTTCGTTGGTGTGGCCACAAAATCAGGAGCAGCAAATGCCACTCAGGGGCTTTGGCAGCTGGAAACACCTCGTTTAAATTCGGTTTTTAGGTGTTAGGTGGGTTAGGCAGGGAGGGGGGGGATGTGATTTACAACAACTTGACTGCTCTGAGCACGTCAGAGCAATGCAATGCAGAGCTGTGCCTGTCTCTGGATATCAGATTGAGGTTTTCTGCCTTTTCCACCACCAGAATGTTAATTATTTGTATTCATCACGGGCTGTTTCTTAGCTGTGGGTCTGTTTTTAGCCCAGTGTTTTCAGGAGGAATATGGGGAATGTATTTTTTCAACAGCACTGCCACAAACTTAAGGAGTATATAAATTCAAAGGTATTAGCAGGAGAATCAATTTAGGATAATCAGATCTGAAACACAGGCAAGTTTAACCCAAAAGGTGTCATCTCCGTGCCATAATGGTCTAGTTATGTAGGAACATTTTTCCCTTCCACGTTTTATCATCTCGGTCTTTTTAACATATGATAATTTTATGACCTGTTAGGATCAAGCTGCTCGAGACATGAAGAGGCTGGAAGATAAAGACAAAGAAAAAAAGAACGTTAAGTAAGTCCTGTTTTCTCATTCCCATCCCTGCCTGTCTCATGCGGTGCTGACAGAATTCTGATGCCTTCTGTTGCTGATGGTTGTTCTTTAGACAGCACAACACACACCTAATAAATAAACAGCATTAAACAGTGCATGATATTCCCTGTGGGCAAAGCTTTTTGTGCTGTAAAAATGGGATGACAGGAGGGAAGGATCCACGGCAGCATCCCGGGGTAAACTGCAACAACGCTCAGTTATCCTACACAAGAAGCCTTTCTAGGCCACAGAAATTGGGGCAGCACATTGTCCTCCTGCCACCTCCCAGAGCAGCCTGGATAGCTCTTCTTCTTCCCACACCCTTGGAAAGATCAGGATGGTTCAGCTTAAAAATTGCAGTTATGTGAGCAGAGGAACTCGGTGCTGCCGTGCCTGAGTCCTGGAGATTCTTCCAAACTTCAACTGGGTTTTAAGACATTTAGAGCTGATATATTAGGTAGCAGGTGATAATTGGGACACTAAATTTGGAGTTCAAAAGCAGTTTTAAATTTTTTGCAGCTGTTTTCAGCAAGGGAGATAGTTATGCTGTTGATTTTTTTTTGATAGAAATGTCAGATAGATTGGTAGATCTTGCATTGCATGGGGTTGATCAGATCACACACGGTCCTGAAACACAACACTGGCTCCAAATCACCACCTGGGGAAGTTCTGAACTGGATTTGCACTTCCTGGCTCCTATTCCTCTTCAGTTATGGGACTTCTGTAGCCTCAAGAGCTTTAGACCAGGATGATCTTTGCTGTGGCCTCTGCTGGGAAGACGGAGCCCCAACCTTTCGGTCTCCTTGCTAGAATTAAAGAGAAGCCTTTGCAGGGTCGCTGTTATGGTTGGCACCAGATGCCAGAACTCCAGGGGTTGGGGTTATAAATGTTGTTAGTGTTGTGTCTTCCACGGAATCTGGAGCTCAGCACTAAAATCAGATGCAACTTGTGCAGCTGAGTCTGTGGAACACTTGCAGGGAAGTTTTTTTTTCTCCGCTTGTTTTTCCAGGGGTATTCGAGATGACATTGAAGAGGAAGATGACCAAGTGAGTTCCTATGCAGTCTTTCTATCTTTTCTTTTTTTTTTTTTTTTTTTTTTTGGTTGTTGTTGTTTTGTTTTCTTTTACTTTCCCTCTCCAAACACACAACTGCAAGGCACAAACAAAACTCCAGTTATCACTCACAGTACCCGGACAATTCAAGCTCTAGTGGTCACCCTGTGCCTCTCCACCCTTCTAGGTGTTTCAAGAAGAATATTAGGGGACAATTGCATTCATTTAAGAAGATTTTCTTTCAGTCAGTTTGAACTTCAGCTTCCTGTACAGGTTTTTCAGTATCTGAGGGTTTCACCCAGAGCACAGTCACCTACTGTTTGACACAGGGAGAGGCTGTTGGAGTGTGGAGGTGACTTGCAGTGGAATTTAGTGTCTGTTAAGGGCAAGAATCAGGCTTTTTGCTCTTCGTTCCCAGAGGAGCTCCAGTTCTTCCTGAGGATTGTAACCAATAGAATTAGTGAAGAGGAAAGACTTCATTTCAAAACATACCTTACTGCTGACACGTAATTCCTGTGCTCCTGGCGTTAATGCAGAGCTTGGCAGGGCTGTGTGACCTCAAGGCCTTTGCTTCCA